TAAATGATGATCTAATTACATTATTTTACGATCTACTTTGTATATATCTTTTCCATATAGTGTTAGACGATTTATTTGAACTATCTCATGTGTGAACTTAGTAAGAGATCAAATAAAAAATCAAGTGGTCAAATTTGGAAAGAGTATCTCAATAGTGAAATGTCAAATTATTAGGTTGATATAAAAGGATGAAAAAGTTGATCTAGATCTATATGGATATGCAACTATTCTCTATAATCTTACAAATCTCTAGTTCAATTGCAATTCAAAAGGATATGAAAATAAGTAGATTCCAAGTACAGAACATCCAAAATGTCAATATCACATGTTTCAAAAAATGACAAACTTTTTAACAATTTTTTTAAAAGTTGAAGAATTGAGAAAGTAAGAAAATACTTATTTATTGAGGAAGTGTTATGAATTAACATAATAATGCATAAAGTAAGTTTCAATATTGATCATCAAGTTCTTCACGTTGTATGCATCAATAGCATACAAAAAAGCTCCATTCTTTTCATCAGCTAAGTTTGACAAATTATCAGCTCATCTATTATGATTATTACTTTCCATCGGGACCTAAAGTAACAAGGTGGTTAGGAAAAATATATTTGAGGAGCCACAAGGTCCTTGTAGCTCTATTTTGTTTGAGAGTGACTTTGTCTTTGAGGAGAAGTAGTTGTATGATTCAGATGGTTGATCTTGTTAAAATCAATAGGTACTTTTGAAGATAATAATTAATATTGCAGGGTAGTTTTCTCTAGGACTATAAATAGTTAATCAAAAAATTAGTATAAAAAGTTTGGTATTTTTTGTGGAGAATACTAAGGGATATTATCACGATACGTTTGTCAATATATTTATTGCCAAATATTTTAAGTAGAAACCTAACATAACTATGAAAAATAAGTAAACTACAATCATAAAAGGGGGGAGAGTAAATTGATTTGTTTTTATTCTTTCTTTCTGCTTCCTCAATTAAAATTTTCTTTATCTTTATGGTCTCTATAATTTTTCTATATTATTTGAAGATGAATGCAAGAAGGATGCCCTAGAAGCTGATTCAAGGATGAGCTAAGATGATCTAAGATTATGACAAGATGAGGAGTGATAAGTCTTCATTATCATGAGTTAATAATTAATAAATAATAAAGTTTTAGTCTTAACTCATGATAAATAGACTTATATTTATGTTAAAGTGTGAAAAGTAGTTTTTAGTTTATTAACGTGAATTTTTTTGATAATTATGTGATTTTATACGAATTTATATGATTTTTACAATCTTACTTTTGAGATAAATAAATAAAACAAATAAAAATAAAAATAAAACAAAATGAGGGGGACTTGTTGGATAGATGGGCTCGCAAATGGGTTGAAAGCACAATCAGAGAGGAGCCGCAAGTAGGGGCTCGAGCAGCTTGGACCGATAGGGTCATGTGTGCGCCACTTCCCTTCCCCATCACCGATGGCCAGCCAATTGTGGGGTAAGGAGTGATCGTACATGTGCGAGAAAGAGACTTGCTTTCAAATGTAAAAGAATTAAGCAACTAGAATTACTAGATCATTAGTAAAAATCTCGTTAGTGCAATTCACGGAGCATTATTACTTAAATTGTTGAATGATTTGCAACAAAAGGATCGTGAATCCATCAAGTAAAGCATCTCTGATTGATCGACGAACAAGCCATCGTCGGAAAGAGGACAATCTACCGAGAGACGAGTCACCACCTCTTGAGAGCATACTAGATGCGATGAAGAGCCCCCTCTTGTTGTGTAGACCTAAGAATGAAGTTCCTTAATACGCGCCCCACCTTCATTCAACTCTTCTTTGTCGAGTGATAATTGTCAAAGAGTTGTAAAGTCATCATTTTTTCACTCCGCCAGGTGATAGTCTTTGGAGACAATTGGACGACCCATTTCATTGATCTCTAAACTTCGCAAAGAGATATAGAAGTGCCTACGTCGTCCTTGTCCAAAAAGAGCCTTCGAGGTCATAAACACTACACGACAATCCTCCCAAATACTCAAGATTCTAGTGCATCACTGACGTATGGCCATCACGATGCTAGAACTCTATTTTTTTACTTTCAACTTACTTTCTACTTCATTTAGTGATAATTTGTGTGATTTCAATTTACCAAGATATACTTCATTTAATTACGATTCTTTTGGTTTTTATAGATCTTAATTTGATCAATTAAATTGTCTATAATCACTTACGTAAGAATTACTAGGTAAAACTCTATTTTCGCTCGATTCGCATTTGCTAGGCACTAACATTATCTTGACGTTTGCACCCTTACTTTCTTTTTTTATAAATTTTAAATATATTTTATTTTCATTTCCTAGTATAAAATTCATAAAAAATAGTATTCTTTGAAAAGAATTCTAAATAATTATTTAATATTATATTACATCTCTGTGATCAACTTAAAAGATTACCCTTATTTTTAGAAGTTTTATTAAATTATACTTGATATATTTATTCAGAAATACTTCTAAATTTTTAAAAATTCATATTTTCTAATTTTATAAATTTTAAATTTATGTGATTTACTATGCAACGACTAAGTCACGTCAAAGAGGCTAAAGCTTATTAGTGAATGTTGTTACGAGAGAGTTGTCAAGAGCACCTTAAGGTGATTCAATAATTAGAGGAAACTACTACAATGAGAGATATCGATGAGACAAGACCCCCAACTAGTAAGCGGTGATGAGCTAAGGAGAAGGATGAAGTGAAATGGCGACAGTTGTGGCCTACCTCCAAGGAGCACTTGTAGCATTGGAGGAGAGGAGGAATGGAAAAACACAATCTCTTTGGTTTGGGAAAGTAGGGTTTATGTACACTTAGCATTGACCTCTATTTGGTTTGGGAAACGTATGGTTCTTGAGGTGGCCACATCTAGGATCTCTCTTTGATTTACAAACAAACCTTACAAGAAATAAAATATGGTATACATACTCTCTAACCCTCTCCCTCAAGTTGAATGTAAGTGTCAACCATATTCAACTTGGTCATGATGGATTTGAAGAATGTAGATGATAAATCTTTTGTAAACACATTTGACTAGCTGATCCCCAAACTGTAAATGAGAGATAACTCTTTCGAATTGATCTTATCTTAGATAAAGTGTCAATCAATTTTGATATGCTTTGTCCTATCATGTTGTACAAGATTGTTGGTAATATTTGTCACAGTTTTTTTGTTATAGAATAACTTAAGTGGTAGTTCAATATAACGATGAGGTCCTAAAGAAGAAGTTTTAGGCATAATAACTTAATTAGTCCATATGTCATAACATATATTTACTACTGCACTCAATTATGCTATAATTGTTTATTTTTTGCTTTGTCACATAACAATATTTTTTCCTAAGAAAATATAGCTTGTTGTAGACTTTTGATCTTCATGAGATCTATAGTCTAATATGCATCAACAAAGCCTTTAATATGTAAATTAGTTGAGTTTTTTAAAATAAATTCTTACCTAGATATGATTTTACATATATTTGCTCACTATATTTACATCAAAAAATAAATCTGATATAGTAAGTGATAGATATAATAGCTTTCTAATAATTTACTAATAAATCTACTTTGATTGATTTGCAAGTTCTTCCCCATCTATATTAGTGAGATGTAGGTTTTGTTCTATAAGTGTAGTAGACGTCTTACAACCTAACTTTTTTGTTTTGTTTAGTAGATCTATAATGTATTTTCTTTGGCATATATATATATATATATCCTCCTTTTTGAATCGTGCAACTTTGATACCTAAGAAATATTTTAACTCTGCTAAGTCTTTGATTCAAACTCTTTTGGTATTTTTTATATGTAAGCATTTCATGTTCGTTATCACTGGTGAGAACTATATCAATAACATAAATTATTGTAATAGAGCAACAATTATTATTCATTTTAACAAAAAAGGTATAACTTGCATTTCTTTATTAATAGCCAAAACGAGTCATTACTCTATAGAGTTGATTAAACTATGTTCTAGGATTTTTTTTAATTTATAAATTACTTTTCTTAATTGACACACTCTACTTTTAATATTTAATCATGGAGTCAGCCTCATATATACTTCTTCAAATAAGTCCATATTTAAAAAGATATTTTTAATATTAAGTCAATATAAGTTTCAATTTAAGGGCACATAGTTCTTATTGACTTTAGTTTTACAACATGTGCAAATTTTTCTTCATAATTATCTCAATATATTTTGTATAGCTCGTAGCAACCAAATTGGCCTTATATGTAATGACCTTGCCATTAGAGTCATGTTTGATAGTAAAACATCCACTTAGAGTCTACAACTAACCTACCTATTGGTCATTCCACCAATTTTTATATTTTATTTTTCTTAGAACTTTCATTTCTTTCTATATAGTCTTACAACATGTTCATGACTTTACTCCACGAGGCCCTCATATGTAATTTCATTTTCTTTTTTACACAATTTTGTCACTCCCACCCCATTGACAAAAAGTTTGACCTAAGCTATATTGACCTTGACCTTGTCCTTGACCTTGACCTTAAGCTACGCTGACCAAAGTTCTACTCTTTCTAGAGTAAGAATTCAAAGGTTCTACTCCACCAAGACATTTGAGATTGATAACTATAAAACTGATATTATGATTGTTGTATTTTTAAATATAAAAATATGAACATAATAATATAATAGATGCATTTTACTTCGTACTAAATATTCTTCCCATATATTTTCATTTATTCTCCGAGTAGATATAAAATATTGTTTTTAATCTGTCGGCATTAAGTCAAATGTAGGACATAAATGCGAACAGTATATTTGCTAAAAAGTCTCTAGTAGTACTGAAGTGAAAAAGCATTCTTACAAGGATACTTATGTAATCGTATTAATGTAGTGGGTAAAAACGCATAATTCTGAGAGCGGTTCGGTGGACCTAAAAGGGGGTTTCTAAGGTGCCTCATCGACACTGGCCTTCTCCGTCTCCGATCTCTGCCCGTCTCCCGTTGGCGATGGCATCATCGGCGATGGCGGAAGACACGAACTTCGAGGATGATCAACTCTCGAGCATGACGACGGAGGACATAGTAAGGGCATCCCGACTCCTTGACAATGAGATACGGATCCTCAAGGTAGGCAAAGGAAAACCCTAGCTATTTCTTCTGATAAAAGAAAACAACCGGCAGAAAATTTTCCAGGGCGGCTTTCTTGTTTCGCTCCATGTCCCCGATGTTGGATTTTTAGTGTTATTTTCCCAGTCTTTTTTTGTATATCTCCGATGCTTTCGACGTTGATGGCGATCCACGATGTTTGCCTCAGGAAGAGCTGCAGAGAACCAACCTAGACCTGGAAAATTACAAGGATAAGACAAAGGAGAACATGGAAAAGATCAAGCTAAACAAACAGCTGCCCTACCTAGTTGGCAACATTGTCGAGGTTACGTATCATGCTCAACCTTGGGGAATTCCTCTTTAAATGTGTTCATGGATGAAATTGATGGTTTCTCCATCAAAATTATAATTAGCGGAGGACTTATCTCCGCATAGTCTTAGTCATTGGGGTTCCTTGGCTCTGTATCCTCAATATGAATGCAGTCAGGCAGTTAATTCGTTTCTTTCTAATTTTTCACAATAAACATCAACAATAGTTATCACACCCTGAAAGACAAATATCGTCATCTTAAATTTATTTTGCTCTCAATTCTATTATAGCCCATTCTAAGATATTTAATCAATTGCGGATTATTAGTTGCGAATATCCTCATAATAAATTTATTGTTCTCTTTTAGATTCTGTCTTCGCTTGCCTAGTTTATTCTTACGTCTTTATCTGCTCGTAAAACTCTCTGTTTATCCCTCTCTCTCTCTCTCTCTCTCTCTCTCCATTGGGAAGTAACATGCATTTGCTCGGCCATTGTCAAGAACTAATGACGTTTTCACGAAATTTTCAGGCATTTAGTCACCTTAACGAAGCGTTTTTTTAATCATTTTGTTGTTCAAAGGCTTTTTATCCAGCTCTTGAATTCAAGACTGCATAGTGACAACCGATATTGAAAAACTTGATCGCCTGGGATCGCAATTGATTGATTAGAAAGTACCAAAAGATTGGAAAATTATTGTTTTTGGGTCACAGGAAAAGTAGTGTATTGAAGTTTGATTGGATGAAAAGTGCTTTCTGCTGGGTAATTGTTATCAGGCTCTCTAAATTAGAGTCTTCTGTTTGTAATGCTTCAGATTAACGTGTCAAAAAATGACTGTCTCGCCTACCGTTAATTATAGGCTGATGCTTGAATTTAATCACTCCCTTATGGATTCTCCATAATTAAGGCACCTTTTAGCAAATAATGCAAGTAGATATCAAAAGTTCAGGGAGACATCATCTTGGTGTAAGCGGATTAATTATGCATACTTTTCTCAAGAAAAAAATTATGATTCCTTCGACTATGAAGAAAAAGAAGAATTGGCGTCATCCTGGCGTAGTCTATTTATCTTGAATGTGGCTTTTTGTGAAGAGTTGATTATTCAGACAGTGGTGATTAGAAGCGAAAAAAATTGATGCCAAAATAATACTATGGAGGGGTTCTGAGTTTGCTAACTTAACGGGTAGAATACTAACTAATTTCTGAAAGAAACTTTGTAATCAGAAAGTGGTACCATGAAGATGTAAATATAGGTTTGTGGAGGTTTGTTGGTGATTCCTTGAACTTGAGTCATATTATGCCACTTGATTTTCTCTGAATTAGGTATTTGACTTGGTAATTTTTGTTGCTTGTGTATTTCCATTCTTAATTTATTTTCCATCCATCCAATTATTTTATCTATTTTTTATTATGTTGCCATTTCAGATTTTGGAAATGAACCCAGAAGAGGAAGCAGAAGAGGATGGCGCTAATGTAGATTTAGATTCACAGAGGAAAGGAAAATGCGTTGTGTTGAAAACTTCCACGCGCCAAGTAATTGAACCTTCTTCATTTCTTCGCATGATCTTGGAACAGAAGCTTTTATCTTTTCCATTCTGGTGTTGGTTAGAATTTTTTTCGCCTTTATGAGACTGACTCTTACTTCTACACTTTTACCTTTATCGGACTAGGCATTGGACATGGGTGAAATGTAGATGACTCTATAGCATGCTAAATTTGTTAAGGCATAGTATGATCAGAGCTGTGATGACTGGTTTCTTTCCTTGATTTCTTTTTAGGAATAATTCCATGTCTCATTATCCTACACCATCCTAAAGTTTCTCACTTTCCCAAAGACAAGTCATTTCCCTCTTTAAAAAATGAGGAAACATTGTAATTAGCTTGCATTTTCAGTTTGGAAAATTTATGTTTCTTTTTCTAAGATAATAAACCCCCTCAAACGCATGCTTCCTTTTATTTTTCGTTTTCACATTTTTTTGCTCTTGAGCGATAGTTTCTTTTCTTGTTTTTTCTATTATTACTTTTTCGCGTCAGACTATTTTACGAAATATGTGAAATGGAACTAGGAGGATGTGTGTCATACCTCAGGTTGGTCTGGTCAGCCTAACCTAGACTGACTTACTCTGTCCGGATCAAATTGATTTTTAGCAGATTCATATCTTTGTTCCAGATGAGATCTGAAGTGATAGTGTAGAATAGGATCCAGTGTAAGGATTGTACCAAAGAAGTAGAGTGATGCCTCCAGTGAGTATATATGAAGGTACGGAAGGAGAATACATACGGTAAGAATAATAGATTTAAGTAAACACATTCAGTATGGTACGTTGATCAAATTTAAAGGATCCTTGAGATGCAAGATAAGGGATTCTTGAGTTGTGTTTTGATCCTGGTTTGGCTGGTCTGGGTCAGATTACACCAGTGGGATCGTTTCTAGCAGTATAGTCGAGCCATCGGATTTGTGGGTAACGCAGAAAACTTCGGATTTGCAGATGCATCTATCTCGACCGTGGTAAATCCGCTATGTTTTAGGAGAATATCTAGTGCACAAACAGAAGACTGGAAATATTGTTTAGTAGACTACATGGTTTAATCCCTTGGGGAGAAAGTTCCAACTATAAAACTAGAGAAGGTACTGAAACTTGCTGACACTTTTTCACTACAGGTTGAGAGCACGGGTCTAGTGCGGTGGCAGGAACAGTTGGTGCAATTTGGGACTCTGTATATCTTAGAAGTTGATAATACCACATTTTCATTAAGTGGCACAATAAATAAAGGGATAGGAAGTATATGTACAATCATCTGTGAAAAGTCCCCATGTACAAGAACAGTGGTCCACACTTGTATGCAGACTATTGTCCTCCTAGATCTTGCATCATTGTTGGTGTCTCGGCTCATCTTCTTTTAACGATATCTGATCTAACCTGATCCTTGCTGCATTTGAATGTTATTATTGACTGGGAGGATGTTATTTAGTCTATCAGGCAAATTTAAGTTTTTATAAGTATGTTGTATATTTTCAATATTGTAGAGTACTCTGTAATTATTGTATAGGTCGTGTTATTGGAAGGTATAGTTCTAAGTCTTTTAGTAATTTTTGTTCCTTCAGAAAGTCCCTTTCTCTTCATTTGCTGTCATTGGTTCTAAGTATCTGCAATTTGTAATTATTGTATATGTCCCTTTCTCTTATGAGTTTTCTATTCTTCTTGTCTTAATCGCAGACAATATTTTTGCCTGTCATTGGTCTTGTTGATCCTGATAAGCTGAAACCTGGTGATTTAGTCGGGGTAAACAAAGACAGCTTCCTGATTTTGGACACTCTTCCATCAGAATATGATTCACGTGTTAAGGCAATGGAGGTTGATGAAAAACCAACAGAAGATTACAATGACATTGGTGGCCTAGAAAAGCAGGTGATCGTATTTTCCTTGTTCTCATAGTCACATTTAAATTATCTAGAGAAGCTTTTTTCTTCTACTCATAGCTGATCATGTGACATTACATTAGTGTTTCTCGACATATTTAATGCTTAACCTGTTACTTTGCATCTGGTTTGTTATGAATTTGCATATTCAACTGACTCGCATGAAGTTTGGCATAACGCATCAACACTCTTAAGTTGCAAAACTTGCTTAGTTTTTGAAAAGTGTGAAGGGTAGTCTCAGCACCACTCCTTTCTCCCAGACGGAAAAACAAGAAAAATAATGCACCTGAGAGAATGACTTTCTTTTAAATTTAATTTTTTCTTCTGTTAATTGTTGGTGATCAAAATTTATTGATAGGACTTTACGGAAAAAGCTTTTCCTCGAGTTCAGGTTTTATGTACATGGACCTTGGACTGTCTGTGAATAATTTTTCATCCCCTCGTTTATAGTGCAGTGTCCTTCCGTTCGTGCACATTTTATTCTGTTCAATATGCAATTGCTAATACTTTACATTACATTAAATGTTACATTCGAATTTAATGGTTGACCTTTCATTGCATTCGACTTATTCTGCTTCTACTAATTCTGTTGGTCTATTCCAAGTTTGACATGAAACATGCATTATTACCACATATGTACACATTCTGTTCTTGGCTTATAGTCCTCTTCTGAGGTTTCTGAATGCTGTAAGTTGTTCAATAAGCGTTCAATTATTGGTATCCACTTCCTTTCCAGTACAAAAGGTTACAATGGATGACGGATCATCAGAGTTTTGATGTTGGAATGTCCCCAGAAGATGGATTCACTGGAGGGTCGTACTAGGTATTGAAAATAAGGTCTCGCTACTGACTATGTGAATCTTTGTATCCCCAAAGAAATCCCATGCATTGAGATAGCGAGTTGGATCATCATCAAACACTGGAATTGGTGCTCAATCACTGAAACGTTTGCTTTTAGATATCTTCCAGTGCTTATCAATTCAAAATCTCAGGGTTGTAGCTTGATCCCCGGTCTTGGGACTTCCCAAGTCACGGAGTCTTTGATAAAGTTGAAAAGAAAGTTCGCTATCCAATAACTTAACCATTTCCCAAATGCTTATGGTTAGTAAGACAGGTGTCAGGTCTTCTCACCGTTTGAATTTCCTCACCACAATTGAGTTGTCCCATAAAGATGGACACATATGAGTGGCAAGCCTCTTCCCCTTTAATTTAAGTTCATTGCTTGTAGTCATTCGTCCCAGAAGAATATATCATCACCTTCGGGTGAATCCCTTTATTCCGAAAAAAGAGTGACATCATTTATATTTCATGTTTAGGATTCGGTGCTAATGTAAAAGAGTGCATTTGATGTGGAAGCCCTTTCACGTTCATGTCGATTCGGTTGTGTTATGCGTGGACAAACCTTGTCATAGTATTGGAGGGAAAATGATTCAGTAGGCTGAAAGATTCCTGTATTGTATGTTTATTTCTTGATTGGTTTCATTGACCAGTAGAAAACCATGCGGTATGGAGGTTACATACACCTATTTAAGTGTCTCCTTTATGCTTATTTTTTATATAGTTGAGACTAATAGATTCTTTACTCTTTCCAATTCCAACTTTCTCACTTTGGTATGGTCACCATCATCATAAATTTTCTTTTTTGAATGCCATCTGCAATATGGTTTTAACTTGTCCTTAAAGTTTTTTAGTCCCCGTCTTTGCCAGAAGGGAAACCTCATTTTAATTTGAATTTTTTCAGATCCAAGAACTTGTGGAAGCCATTGTCTTGCCCATGACGCACAAAGACAGGTTTCAAAGATTGGGAATTCGTCCGCCTAAAGGTGTGCTTCTATATGGACCCCCTGGGACAGGGAAAACATTAATGGCGCGTGCATGTGCAGCGCAGACAAATGCTACGTTCTTGAAGCTTGCTGGTCCACAGCTTGTACAGGTTAGTACTCGTCCTGTATTTCTTTCAATCCCCTGCCTCTGCTAAATTGACAACCTTCTAGGTGTTGTTAAGAAGTCCCGAATCTGGACAAATTTGTGTATACTTAATGCTCGGATGGAAAAATTATGACAGCTCCAATTATTGACTGCTTTTATTTACCTATTGTCATCTCTACAATCGAAAGCAATCTTCTTTTCCATGAACACTGAGTGTATTGATGGAAGAGAGGGACACATATGACGTCTTGTGGTTTCGGTGGTAATGTTATCCTTAATAAAATCTTCTTTTCTTAATCTCCCAGAAATTTGATAAGCTGTTTAATGGATCTAGTTAAGGAATTGGATTCCACTCGTCTTCTGTTCATGAAAAGCTCAGGATATGCCTTGGAACCTGTTGGGGGCCGACTGGAAATTTAGTGCTAACATAGATGTTGGTCCTTGCATTCTGTTACCTTGGCCTGAAAAGCATCTCACGCTCTTTACCATGGTAGTGCAATAGGGAGCAAGAATGGTTTTTTTGTGGTTTTCTATTTTGTAAAGGCGAACCTTAATTATGCATATTAGACTGTCATTCAGGTACAACTGTGTCAGTGGTCTTGGTTTAGGCTGCAGTTCTCGTACCGTTTGTTGAATGCACGCTGGAAATGCACATGAACTTTTTACTTCCTTTTGATATCTTGCACTCTCCACAGAAAAAAAATAAATCCTCTTTGCTTCTCCATATGCGCTCTCTGTGTCTAGTTTATCTTTTCCACACAGAGGAGTTTCTACTTTTTTCTTCATCGGTTTTAGGACTCTCTTGACAAAGATTACACAAAAATCAGCATAATTTTTGAGGGGAAGCTCAATTTTGTATGACATGAGATCCGGTCCGAGGGTTTGGTCAGATCGGAGTGGACTTTTAGAAAAAGATGTTTGAACCGTGAAATGAGTGGAGCTTTTACTTGGCGAAGCCAATGACTCAAAAATGAAAAAGGACTGCCATTTCAACGTCTATGATGACTATATCTTACCATTTTTGGCACCATAGCAATCAACATCTTCCATTTCTTGGTATTGCACGATTATCCTAATCGCCTCCATGGAATTTGCCCAGATGTTTATTGGTGATGGAGCAAAACTTGTCCGCGATGCATTTCAGCTTGCAAAGGAGAAGTCTCCTTGCATAATTTTTATTGACGAGATTGATGCAATCGGAACAAAACGGTTCGACAGGTAGGCCATTTTTTTTTCCATCCTTTAAATGCTTTATTGGGAAATATAGCCGCTGAATGTTCTCGTGATGATTTCTATCGTTTGACTGACGCATCAGTTGACTATCTCATTTTCTGATCAGCTTTATCTCTTTTTTTTGTTTGAATGGCAGTGAAGTGAGCGGAGACAGAGAGGTTCAACGAACGATGTTGGAGCTGCTGAATCAGCTGGATGGATTCAGCAGTGATGATAGTATTAAGGTCAGCATACCCTACCCCCCTTACTTTCTCTCATCTCTTCCGTGTTTTGTGGGGATCGATAGACTTCACAGTTCTCCCTTGACCTTGTGCGGAGAACGGTTGACTTACCTGTTCTGGGTTGTGTGGGGATCGGTTTCAGGTCATTGCGGCCACTAACAGGGCCGACATCTTGGACCCCGCCCTGATGCGTTCTGGTCGTCTCGACCGCAAGATCGAGTTCCCCCACCCATCTGAAGAAGCCAGGGCCCGGATTCTGCAGGTGCTTCTTCTGTAAAGCCCTTTCTCTCTCTTTCACTCTCTCCGTTGACTGGCTCCGTCTCTCACCTCTCCCTCTTCGGTCGGCAGATCCACTCGAGGAAGATGAACGTCAACCCCGACGTGAATTTCGAGGAGCTCGCCCGGTCAACGGACGACTTCAACGGGGCACAGCTGAAAGCCGTCTGCGTGGAGGCGGGCATGCTGGCCCTCCGTCGCGACGCCACGGAAGTCAGCACCCCCACCTCTCTCCTATCTCTCCTCTACTGTCAGCGTTGACTTTCTGTGGACTGACGCGGCTCCACCCTTCTGTGACAGGTGACGCACGAGGACTTCAACGAGGGGATCATCCAGGTGCAGGCGAAGAAGAAGGCCAGCCTGAACTACTACGCTTAAGCCTCCTACCCCCTTCTATCCCACCGACTATGCAGACAGACAGACGAATGATGTACGCCTGGTCTGCCACGTGCTTTTATAATCTTGCTGGTGCGCAATGACATAACTCAGGCGCGGTGGCCTTTTTTAAGATTGGTTTCCTTTCTTGGTCATAGTGGGTCGAGGTGACTGATGGTAGGCCCATTAAAAAAATTAAAAATGGCCCATTAAAAAAAATTAAAAATGGCCCATTAAACGGCCCATATATCAAAACAGCCCATTAAACTTTTAAGACCATTCGCGTAACACAGTGGGGCAGCGGTATCTGTGGCTCTCCGCTGGTCGCGGATTGCGGAGACCTGACGCTGGTGTTAAGACGTCCTCTTCGGTTCTCCCGACGCTTCGCAGATTCTCGCTGGTCTGAACTCCGATCTCTCCCTTCTACCTCTCTCTCTCTCTCCCGCCGCCGCCGATCAGCGTCTAAGGATAGCGGGAAGCCTGTTTTAGAGGATCAAAATGCAGGTAAAGATCGGATTCTCGATGTTTTTTTTATCCACCTGCTGCGCTGTTTCTAACCCTAGGGGGTTGTGGACGTGCCCTCGAAGCTGTGTCGTCTGACTTGCCGTTAATCTGTGATGCTGTTCTTATCCGTTTAAATCTTAGGCCAGCGACAGGTTCAACATCAACTCGCAGCTCGAGCATCTCCAAGCCAAGTATGTCGGCACGGGTCATGCTGATCTGAACAGATTGTAAGTGTTTTCTTTTCTGCCCTCACCACCGACAACCGCTGTCGAGAATCCTTGCAAAGTTCTTGAAAACGAAGTATAGTCGCGCTTCAGTTTTTTTTTCCTCCTCTTTGGATGATGTGCAGCGAGTGGGCGGTGAACATTCAGCGTGACAGCTACGCTTCGTACATTGGCCATTACCCTATTTTGGGTTACTTCGCTCTGGCGGAGAATGAGTCCATTGGGAGGGAGCGCTACAATTTTATGCAGGTAAATTATCCTCTTTCGCCGCATTCTGAGTCCGGAAAGTTGCCAGTACACCACAAATCATCACCAAAAATATAGTGACCCATCCTTCATGAGTTTCTGTTCTTTGCCGTGTGCTTCCCCATTTTGGTTATCCACCATCTTATTAAGACAAACGGTGGGTACAATCTGATGAACCACTGTGAAATAGGGTATATGCTTGCACTGTTCAGTTTCTCTATTTTTTCTCATCATTCGCTTTATGATTAACTTTTACGTGAGGTTTTATTATAGAAGGTACATGGATTCTTCTAAGTTAACGGATTTACTGGTAAGTTTACCGCCTACTCTAAGAAATCTCCCGTTCAGGAGCAATAATCCATATGAAGACTAGGCTACAAAACCCAAGGTTTCCCAAAGTGGTAGAACCTCTCCCATCCTCTTTTAAATGGTAGTTGTATCCCTTCTTCCCTTTACCCTTGTTAGAACAGAATAGGGATTCTACTGAACAAACTCAGGTAAGCAGCTTTTCCGCTTATTCCAATGGCCCCAACGATCCCAGTCATTGTTTTTGGTCCCCTTGGAGAACATGATGCCGTTCCCATCGCCCCTTTGACTCATGTTCTGTTGGAGGGTTTAAACTGATTCATGTTATGTAGAGTAGCTTCTATCAGATACGCTGTGAGAAAGAGAACACTTGGAACATGTGATTCGTGTCTCTTCCTCTCCCTGCATATATTATTAAAGCTCTTCCTGCCATCCAGGTAATGAAGTAGCCAATCACAAGTAGGATGACCTCAATGGGGATTTGTTTTACCGCAAGATCCTATTTCTTCGTGGAGGCATCAATCCACAGGTTCAGGGTGCCATTTGGGTGCCTGATTCGTCCAGTTATATTGGGATGGAGTTCAATCAAACTGTGAACTTGTTTTTTTCCTCATACTTTGAGATTCATCATTCCAACTCTGCAATGTGCAGCGGAAATTCTGAAAGTGTGGTGGGAAGTTCTTCAAACTGTCCAGCTTCTTCATGTTGTAAATTCCATCATGGGCACCATAACCTCCCCACTATCATGCAAGGTCTTCTGCATCCTTAAATATCAATTGGATTGTTCAACATGGAGGTCCGACACAATCTATCCTTTCAAACTTAAGTCCTCTGACCATCTGAAAGACAAGCCTGAATGCCTGTTGGACTATATATTATTTAGACATCTTGTGTGTTAGTTAGTTAGACTGTCAAAAGACTCTTTTAATTGGGGCTTCGCAGAGCTTTAATGGTAGTTGTTTATGGTCACAACTTTTATACATTCTCAGACCATTCTTAGGGAAAAATATTCTGATAATTTCTAGAAAAAAATAATTACATCCGACAATAAGAAATTGGTAGTTGGTCATAGTAATTTTTCATTTCTTTTAATCATGCGAGGACTTTTGCTTATTTATTTTCCCCTTAATGTTTGTGTCTTAACATTCATCATTTTCTGGAGCAATGAAAGCTATTCAATCTCTCATGGGATTGAAGTTTTGCTTGTGCCTTGCATCGATGAAAACACCTACATCTGGTGATTTAATCAATTAGTTTTCTATTTTCTCCCTCAACAATGAAGAAATGAAGCCTCTGTTGATCAGCAGTGGACGATCCACAATGCCAAACCTAGTTGCGCTGAACACAATTTGCCGTTTAGTGCATTATCCAATAATCATAAAATTACTCAAGTGATGCAATTCCGAGGAACAGGTGGCAAATGTTTGCCGCCTCCCACTATATATAAACAATGGTCAGATTCTTCTTGTTCATATGAGATATTTGAAGAAGGGTAAAAATTTCTTGCAACTCACTCGCAGCTGGATCACTCCCACAGCCTCTGTCTCTAAGGCGTCTGTTCCATTTTTGTTTGCATGAGCGCAGCGACAAAGTGTTCATGATATTTACTCCTCTCTATCATCTAAGTCTTTTATTTTTATATACCCTCTCCAGAAAATGCTGCTGCCGTGCGGTCTCCCTCCAGAGAGGGAAGAGGATTGAGGAAGACAACGCTCGCCCAGAAGCGTCTCATGAGCTACTGTAGAGAGAGCCATGTTAAGACTGCTGAACATCTCTCTCTCTCTCTCGCATGTGCCGCTGTACTCGTTGGATGAGGACTCGCAGTGTTTCTGATCCCCAGTTATCGCACTTTTAGTGTTGTTGTATGCTTATAAGTGATGGGTAATTAAAACGGGCGAGTTCCTCTCCGGCCCATCGATGACAAAATACATCACCCCGATAGATCTGCATGCCGCAGTTCGTATGAAGAGAGAGAGAGAGAGAGAGAGAGAGGTCAAGCCGTAATGTACCGATAACGGTAAAATTAACGGTTATGTTAATGGTAATGTTACCGTTACCGGTGATGGGTTCGAATGTCGGGGGGTTAAACACGGGGGAGGGGGGAAGACGACCGGGCGCCTCCTCGCTTTTCCCCAGTCAGCGGGAGCTGCTGCTCCGTCGCCGGGCAGGGCATTCTTTTCAGGTGTTATTGACCGTAGCCGGCGAGATCTGGGGGAGCTGGGGCGCAGAGAGGAGGCGGCTCGAGGGCTGTCGACAGGTCCCTGGCGGCCAGGGAGGCGGATCTCGGTTGCGGCACACCGAGGAATCGAGGGAGATCTGAGGAGTTTCTGGGGGGTGTTGCCCTTTGCTCTCTGTGGGCAGCTCCGATCTGATCCAGGAGGGGGAGCGAGCCGCGGAACTGGGTGGGGATGGCACTGTCAGGGATGAGGGGGCTCTCGGTGTTTATAAGCGACATCCGCAACTGCCAGAACAAGGAGCAGGAGCGGCTGCGCGTAGATAAGGAGCTGGGCAACATCCGTACTAGGTTCAAGAATGAAAAGGTGCGAAGCAGAAGCTCCAATCACAGTTTTTCTTTCTTTTCTCCGGTTTCTCGCGTGGTTATATTATTTTCGTTTGGAGCCTGTTCCGTGCGAATAATTGAAATGGACGGATCACTTGCGTATTCGTTTTAATAATTAGCCGGGTGTAACGCTCCAAAGCTTGAACAGGATCATGACCGTGTAGAACATGAACTAGACTAATTGTGTCGTTGCTTGGGCGTAGTAGAGGATCCCACGTTGCTGACCAAAAAGCTTCCCGATTCATTTTTCGGTCTGGACGTTTCATATAGAGTGATTGACCGGAAGTATGATGAAAGAACTTATTGTGCGTGCTCTGTATAATTTGTTATTTGGTAGTGGAACAAAATTGGGATCAATTACATTTGTTTTGAATCCTCTACACTTGTATATGCTATTGAACCACTATAAATTATGATGTGAACCTAAGCTTGACAGGTTTCTTCTAGTCGTACATGGGCTCTCCATTGGGCCTCTTTCATACATTTTGGCTTAATTGGGGAATTCATTTCAGTTTCAATAGTCAATTGAGAACCATCTTTAATCAGATTTCCGTTATCACTTAGGGTTCATGGTTTTCGCAGGTGTTTAGTATTTTTCTCTATTACTTATTTTCATTAAGAGTTCTTTTTCCTGACTAGACCTGTTTTCTCATTGTAAATTTATAAGTTTGGGTAGTTCCTTTTTTCGCTTTCTTTACCTGTGGCTTCTGAAAGTCAGCTCATAGTGGATGCATCAATTTGTTTTGATGTGCTGAATATGAGTGTACGTGAGTACTGTTTTGTGTAAGGTTTTAAGTGGGGCCTGTTTTAGCATCTATTTGAGGTAGATTTCCACTTGTAGCATTCATACATCACGATTTATACCTTATTAACTGGAATGTTGCCTCCTTTGGCAGGGCTTGTCACCTTACGAGAAGAAGAAATACGTTTGGAAAATGCTTTACATCTACATGCTCGGCTATGATGTAGACTTTGGTCATACAGAGACTGTCTCCCTAATATCAGCACCCAAGTACCCAGAGAAACAGGTAAAAGATTTTCTTTGCTTGGATTCGTGCAGGATGCCATGTTAAGACTGTAAAATATGTTCTCTTCGTACTCAATAGTTTTAAAAACGGTATTGATGATAATCCTATTTGTCCTACAGAACCTTATACAAAAAATACGTTATTCCTGTTGAAATTAATTTTTCTTCTTGCTTTACATAAAGACTTAAAGAATCTATCACTAAAGTGTTTAATCCTTGTCTCTTGAGTTGAAAGTTTCTGCAACAGGTGACTTGAGTTTGATGAGGTTTTGACCAAAACATGCCATGCATATTCATACGCCCCATGAGATTAACTTTTAATTCCAAAACACCTTCAGTTGGAAGGAATTACGAAGTTGTCTGCAAGCCTCCTGGTTTGCATGGTGTAGAAAGTGGTTTTAAGACATTCCGTTAATTTGAAATTCACCATTTCTTGGCGACTGCCATGTGCTTTTTTATTCTGAAAATTATTAGCAAAGTCTATCATCCTATTTATATGATCTTCAGCCTGTCCACATTTTTCTTTCTTTTGATTCCGTCCAAACATAGAGTCCCTAGTGCCTGCTGCCTCATCACCTCTGAAGCCTTACATCATCCCCAGAATGATGGTAAAAAGAAAATTCCGTCTAGAGCTCTGTTCTCCCACCATCTGTCTCGCGAGTACTTACATTTATGTCCCGTCCCCAGTCCAGTCAGTATATATAGAGACTTTCCTTCATGTTTACATCATGCCATTCTATGTGCCTTTTACCACTGCCTCAATACAGAATCGACCCTGCATTGACTTTTTCTTTGAACCATTATCCTTTGAGTTTCATAGATGGGTAAAATGTGAATAGGTGTGCTGGGGGCATTTAGTGATCCAAGTTCAGATGCGTTGTATAGGCCAAGGAAGTCCCGTTTTTATGTGTCTGGAAAATAATTTCCGAAATTTCAATTGAAGACCCAAGTGACAGAAACTTGCCCCCTTCATCCTATAACTTTTTGCCCACACAATTCTCACTAAAAGTGTCTCAACACACAAAACAATCCTTGCTCCTGAACGCAAATATGATTGTGTCCTCTACATATGCAGATGTCTTATTTAAGTTCCATGTGCATGAGTGTAAAACTCCTTGATAACGAAAATCTGAGAGGGATGCTATGAAATTATTATGCCTAGGCATCATCCACAGTGAATTAGCTAGTGCTCTGTCCATTCACATTTCATAAAATCTTGCCTCATCCTGTGATGTTGATTTATTGTTCAATTTGATTCAAGTTATGCATTTGCCTTCAAAACTATCTATGTCAGCATACGAAAAACCCACTTGCCTCATCCTGTGATGTTGCATTTCAATTTACAGCCTAAGCACTCTCTCTGATGTGATGCTGGTATCTTGTTACACATTATATTACAGACCATCGTGAAGTCCTTTTAGATTTTCCCTTATGACAGCATTCTTATTCGAATTGCTCACGTAATAAATTGCTATATGAGACCTTTCATCCTTTGGAGATAACTCTTTAATTTGATAAATGCTGAAAAACATGACTACTCTAGTGGTGGGGCCTTTCCATCAGGTCGCTCTCAGGAATGATCTCTTGATTAGTTCTTTCTTTTGCCACTTCTTTTCTGGTCGCCTGGATATTCTACCATTTGTTCTTCCCGTAATTTATTCCCTCTCGATCGTATCCTATGTGAATTCATCCTACGTGACGAAAACTTTGTCATCATTCCATGATACCATTCTCATTTCTCTTCCTGAGTTATTTCTTGCTTATTTATGTTTTTATCTTTAAAGTCATAGATCATTTTTATCTTTAATGCAATATTGGAGATCATGCAGTGTCCTTTCCTTATGCTTAGATGTAGTCTGAGACATCATTCAATGTAGTGCCCTGCCAGAGTTCCGATACCTTCTTAATAGTGTTATCTGGAGGCGTCATTTATCTCATTCTCTCGGTAGTTCACTATTTTATCCTTTATAGTCTCTATGAAGTGAACTTACAGTGGTTTCATTCTGGGCATCACACTGCATGAAAAAAAATATGAATATTTTGTAAGGTTTTGCAGCTTTTGTGTGGTAACTTAGCTTATTTACATACTCTAATTACATTCCGTTACCTGTCAGTTTTGCATCTTGCTGATGTCGTCTTTCATTGCGTTATTTAATGTAGTGTCGCAGGTTTCCTAACTATTTTGTTCCGTACATTGGACATCTTGGCTGTAGGTGGGTTACATTGTAACATCTTGCATACTCAATGAAAACCACGACTTTCTAAGAATGGTGATAAATACTGTACGGAATGATATCATTGGGCGTAATGAAACCTTTCAATGCCTGGCCTTAACTATGGTAAGGCTTTCTTGTACTCTACCCAGATAGTTTTTTTCTTATACTTTGCTCCGTGGCAGTCTTGCTTCTAAGTTTTTTCTTACGCAAAATTTTTCTTTCATTTTGTAATATAGTCTTGGTCCTATGTTTCTTTTCATTTCATCAAATATCTTCTCTTTCCTTATCCTATCATGTTTCAGTTCAAATTTCTTCATAAAACTACTTATTCCCTCTTATTCTTTGCTACAACTGAATACATTTCTGGAGTGGTTATATAAGATTACTGGTTCATTCGTGTTTTTGTCTCATGTTGACGAATGTTGTATGATGTGATTTCACTGCAGTATATTCTCTTTCAGCTGCCATTTCTGTATTAATGGAATAGTCAGACCAGAGTGTTTATAGAAAGAATGGGACTTGGGTGGTTGAAATTTTTAATGTATTTACCAACAATGCACTTCTCGAAATCTGATTGTTGCAGACTATTAACCATTGCTCTGTTCCATATGGTTGACCAGCCTTCTTTTCTGGAGAGGATAGTGGATTGTGCCATGAGGGAATCAGAAGGGAAGGGAAATAAAAAGGAGTGACTTTCACTCCAAGATCTATTCTTAGCAAGGAGTGTCTTATTTTATCAAAATTATTTTGATGTGCTCTATAAAGTTGTAAAAATGTATTTTTATTTTTTTAATAAAGTAATAATTTTTTCCCTCAATTGGTTGACTTATTTGTCCTATGCGACCTGTAACTTGTGCTCGCTGAGGCCATTTTGTGGGCTTTGATCCTTCTTTTAACTGATCATTCGTCACAAAATTAATTGCCTCTAAATATTAATTGGGCATATACATTTAAACATATAATTCAGCTTGTCTGTTGCTATGTGAAACTATTCTAACACTATCACGTGTAAGCCGATTTCTGGATGGCTCTGTCCCAAATAAAAAACATGAGGCACAACCATGTGGAATAACTGGAGCTTGGAGACTACCAAAGCTTTTTTTAGTGGAGGAAAGATTAATGGGAGAAGACGTTGTCTATTCGTTCAATCCAATATTGTCTTTCTGCAAACTACAAAAGGTTTCTGTCTGCGCCTATCCATTAATGTTATGTTTATAGGGATTAAACTTCATTAGCTAATTTCCATGATTATAAATCAAACTAGGAATATAAATAAATGGGTATAAAGCAACAAATAAGGAATTTGACAAGAATTCACGCATAGGAAGGTTTACAAGCTTGAATTCCATTTTCAGTATCATCCTTATCTCATCAAATTTGAAGGGACCGTGCATATCTCACTAGATAGATTTATATCATTTTCTATCCTCATTTTTTGAAGCATTTGTTGCGCCTGCAATGCTTGATTGTTGTCAACTGACATGCTTCTCCATGTACATCATGGGTGTAATGTGATATGGAATATCATCTTTATTCAGGCATAGTTGTTGTTTGCAGGTGGGAAATATTGGTGGAAGAGAATTTGCTGAGTCACTGGCTCCTGATGTCCAAAAATTGCTTGTAAGAGGAGTGAAACTCTTGAAGATGCGATTCTTTATTTTATAACTGCGAAATGATATTCTTCTTCTTTTCCAGATATCTAGCAGCTGTAGACCTCTCGTGAGAAAAAAGGCTGCTCTATGCCTTCTGCGTTTGTACAGGAAAAATCCTGATGTGGTCAACATAGAAGGATGGTCAGTTCTGATTTTCTTTTGCATGGTAGTTTCATCTTCACTCTCGTTAGTATACATTCTAGTGACTCGACAAATTTCATTATGCTTTCAGGTCAGATAGGATGACTCAACTTTTAGATGAGCGCGATTTTGGAGTTTTAACTTCAGTCATGAGCCTCTTTGTTGCTTTAGTCTCAAATAACACAGATGCTTATTGGAATTGTCTTCCCAAATGTGTCAAAATTTTAGAAAGATTAACCAGGAACCAAGACATTCCTCAAGAGTACACCTACTATGGGATCCCTTCTCCATGGCTTCAGGTTTTTCTTTTCTTTTCCTTCCTTTTATAATGCTGAATGGTTGTTTTACTTTCAAATACTAATCAAGGAAGTTTTTCCTTCCTTCTCCATCTTTTTTGTTACGTTTCATTGCTCTTTTGTTTTTCTAATATAATGGTTTTAATTTTCTCTATTACTAGTCTTTTTTTTTTAATACTAGTCAATAACATCTGTGGTTAGTAAATAAAAGATAATGCTTTAAGGAATTCTGCCTTACAGCATGATTACCTTTTTGGCATATTCATGAAGTCATCACCCTGCTCGCAGTGGAAAACTAAGTGCCAAAAAGAACATATATGGCAGGGTAGATAAGTCAGTTCAAAACATAAAAATATCTCGACTTCATGTTTTTATTCATAGCCACATTTTGCCCATTTAAAAGTCAAACCTCTTTCAAAAAGATTACGAATTTTATGTTTAATGATTGCGTAATTTATCATCAATGGGGCTCATTGTGTTGCTTTTGCTGTGTGGGACCGTGGTTGATCCTTTTCTACGAGCATATAGGGTTGTAAGATGGTTAATGAAAACATTGTTTGGGTTACCTTAAAGGAAATTCGATCTGTGACTCTGCTTAGGGATTGTTGATCTTCCCTAATACTTCTGGATTTCTGTCACTTTTGAATGCCGTCCCCTTTTTGGCTTTTCCATCTTTATTTCTCTTAGTTTTTGTTAACATAAAGTTGATGGTGAAACCCATGTTGACATCACTGTTCCACATGGTAAACTGCATCACCAGGCATCTAAACATGTCTCAAGAGAGCAACATCTGTTGTCCGTTCCCATTAATGCGATTATCATGTTAACATCTTCTTTTGTCTGTTAATTTTGCCTTCTATGTCCCAATTATTCCCTGTATCTTCTCACTCCTTCAGTGTCTGATATTCTCTTTTTAGTTTGTCGTTCAAATTTGAATTCCAGAATGTCCAGTATCCTTTCTTGCACCTTTTTTCAAACGACTCTCAGTTCTAATTTTCGAAATGAACCCTGACATAATACCACCATTCGTCTTTTAGAGTCATTGGAAGAAGAATAAAGCCAAACAGGTAGTAAAATGCCTGCATTCATCGTAAGATAAATGGGACACGCAATAACCTTTACACAACTTCCCTTGCTTAGGTTGCATTGCCCTCTCATTAAATTTTTCTTTGGTGTCTCTGATGCATCAAACCCAATGAAGATGCATACGTATGGTTAATTATCTTGTACATTATTCATCTCCCGCAAGCTGAACCATTTTACAATTCAATATCTGAACCAGCAATATTATTATCTATTCCTTTTTAGTTCGTTATAAGTTACAGGACTGATGTCTCTTCAGTGGATTTTCCCTCCAATCACTCTTTCACCTCTCCATAATCTCATTCTTCTGAGTCTTGAGAGCTTCACTGATTCTAACAACATATACGTTTTCACCTATAGAATTTTTCAGACATTTCACCTATTAATCTATTAGGGTCCCACATCAGGGACCAAAACAACGACAGAAGAATGGTATTGACAAAGGAAAATAACCAAGAGGAACTAGAGTAAATAAAGTCTACTGAAACAAGTAAGAGAACAGAACAGAAAGGGGTTTCCAAAGGAAACCCTAGAGCAGTTGGGGACGAATTCAAGAGCTCCCCCCTCTCCTGCTGACTTCTTCTAAAAGTGCATCCACAGTGGGGGCCTACCCTTACTCCCTAAGTGGGCCACAGTGGTAAGTAATAAACGGTTTTGGGTCGTGGCAAGTGGGCCCGTGACACAATGATTTTACATCATTCTTCCTTTTACGGTGTTAAGTAATACCAAACGGTTTCGGGTAGTGGGTCCTTGCTCAGACCCAGTAAGCGGCCCAATTGGAGAACTAGGGAGGGACCTAACATATTCATGCATAAATTTCTGTGCAAACATCCTGCAACTCCACCATCAACATGTATAATGTTGCGCCCTTTTCGTCAACATTTACAACAGCCATGCAGCCTCCACTTGTGCCCCATTTGAACATTTTACTTTGATACCAGAATGACTATGCCACAACTATCGTTATAATGGATATCTCACCTTGTATGGGCATGCTGTGCGCGAGTTATCCTAGAATTCCTCTCAGTTGTCCAGGGATATCGTGGAGCTAAATCTGTTGATGGGCTATTGATTCTGTCACATTGCTTTGCTTCTTGAACGCCTTGAACTCTAACTACTGTGAATTTTCTTTTTCTTTCATTTTGATCATTGACCTTTTACTTAAAAAGTCGGGTTTAATGAGTGTACTTTGATCAGTGCAGGTTAAAACAATGAGAGCTCTGCAGTATTTTCCGGCTATTGAGGATCCAAATATAAGAAGATCACTTTTTGAGGTAAATCTTTTGTTGTCTAGAAGTCATTCTTTGACTCCGATTTATTGATATATCTCTTTTTTGTAAAATGCAGGTTCTTCAACGTATTTTGATGGGCACTGACGTTGTGAAAAATGTAAATAAAAACAATGCATCACATGCTGTCCTTTTTGAAGCCCTGGCATTGGTGGGTCCTCAACTTAAAGCTTTTGAATAAAACCTGTCGATCATTATGCTTATTCAAGGACTTTGACGATCTGAGCCTGCTGTCTTTTTCTTAAATTACATTGGCTCTTGGCATTCACTTAGATGTGTGTGGCCGTAAAGAATTAGTCTTCCTTTTAACCTTGCCATTGACGTTTCTGTAGATTTGTTAATGTTCTTGTAACTAGTTCGTTCTGTTTCGTTTGTTGTTTGTTGTTGTTGGCTTCCAGGCTTGGATTCATGCATGTTTCAAAAAAAATTCTGTTGTTTCATCGTTGAGATTTATTATCGAAATTTTGTAACTTCTTCTGTCTTTTTTAATTCAAATATTTTTTTTCAGAGGTTGGCAGTCAATGATCTTGTCTATGGCTATGTTGTTTAGAAACATGTATGCAGTAATGCTATTAAATTTTTTGATGCGATTTAGGTAATGCACCTTGATGCCGAAAAGGAGATGATGTCTCAGTGTGTTGCCTTACTCGGTAAATTCATTGCTGTCCGTGAACCAAATATTCGCTATCTTGGTCTGGTAAGTTAGCGCTGTACTCTTCTCCTTGTAATGTTTGTTGATTGGGAAGGCTGAACCTAGTGTCAAATGAACCGTTTGACCATACGAGTTTTTTCTGTATGTTCAGGAGAACATGTCCAGAATGTTGTTGGTGATTGATGTTCAAGATATCATTAAAAGACATCAGGCTCAGATCGTCACTTCTCTGAAAGACCCTGACATTAGGTAGGGCTTAGGGTATTTATGATGTTTACTAATTCTTGCAATATTTGAACAACATTGGACGTGATAATTGGAAATCTATTAAATTTATCATGATCTACTGGAAGAAATTAAGACCTGAGTTATCATGAACAACTATTGGACATGATAATTGAAAAGCCATTAAATTTATCATGATCTAATGGAAGTAATTAAGACCTGAATTTTTGGACCTCTGGACATTGTACAATTCAAGGACTATTTTTTTCGTGTTGCTGCACATTTTCATTGGCATGCCAGACTTTGCTTTGACTTGTTTGACCAACTGACCTGAATGACCTGATTTTGCATATTTTCTTTGCTGAAAGAAAACAGATAGGAGAAATAATTGTTCTGCACTTCCCTTCCCTCCCTAAATTTGATCAAACACTATGGAGGATCGAATTTGGTTTGTTTTGAATGCCATTGAATCTGCAGCATTTTACTATGCTGGTTTTCAGAACTAATCACTAAAGTAGAAGATTTCGTGATATCCCCCATTGGATCCCACATTCTAACAACCTCTGCCTCATCGCTTAGAAAGTCCTGGGATCAACTTTCTTGGGTTCCGTGTGAAAGTCTAATACTTTCAGAGAGATCCTACACGAATAAACTTTCATTTGTCAATCATTTATGATAAAGAGAGGATTTTCCAAAAAAGCATTAACTTTTTTGACATCAACGGTTTTCTTCTCTTAGCTTCTATGCGGTTCTCTCTTTCTCTAAAAGTAGAAATCACTGGTTATCAATTTCATTGCCAAGGAGATTTGCTACAGTATTCGTTGTACTAGTAGAAGTCACTGGTTATCCATTTCATTGCCATATTTCTCATTCATTGGTGGATCCAGGCTTCCTCCCTCTCCACTTTCTCTGTGTAGAACTGCAAAGCTATAGTTGTACTAGTCTGAAATGTGGCCTTCTGAGAAGAGTTGCCAAATGAATGGATCTGATTTACTTTTTCGTTGTGTTTCTCATAACTTAGCCCAGTTTCTAACGCTAGACTATCAGACGTCAGTGAGTAATATGGCAAAAATTGTTGTCTCACTGAGAAACTTTCGTATGAGATCGAAGGTGTTTAAAAAAAATTAGTGTTTATCAATATAAACAAAAGAAAACTTATAAATTGCCAGAGCTGCCAAATATATATATCCCTTTGTATGTAAATTATGTCTCAAGACAACTTTACCATGTCTCTCTAGCATTTTCATTGTTACTCATGATAGTTGCATTATTTGTACACTCAAATTAGAAATCTTAATCGTCACAGGCCTCATAAGCTTTTTACTGTATCCCTTGTATGCCAGAATTGATTTCTTCAACTAACAGTTATTCGTTTTGAACAAAAGTGCAGGTATAGTTACTTTGTAATACTTGAATTGGAACTGATTTCTTTTCTTGACCAAATTGAGGTTCTCAATTAATCAGCCAATTGAATCAAATCTTATTGCCATCCAAATTGGGTTGGACTTGCCAACGTGGCTGTCTGGTTTAATTTGTATTGCTAGGAATAATGCATCCAACGCCTATAGTGGCAGTGTCACCAATAGGAACAGTAACGCGTGCTAGCTCTCTTAGACAGTGGATCCAAAACAATCAAAGCATGGATACCAGAGACATATTTACGGAAGTAATCACAGTTTTTTTAAATCTACCTTGGCCTTGTGTTGCAGATAAGCCATATGATCTCCCGAATGGTGTACTTCCCTTTGCCAAGATACTCACTGATATATTCTTTTACTTTAACACAATGGTTCGAAATATCTTCTTGATGCCCGCATTATTTTCTTTCAAACCTTTCATTTCATCTTGATAGTTGAAATACGGCCATACATCATTGATCGTTCTGAAATTTATGCGCTCAATTACCTGTACACATATTTCTGTTGAAGATATGTTTGAAGATTTTCAGCGCTTTTGAATGCTTTCATTTTCCCTTTCAACTTTCTATGGATTAGTTGTTTAATTGGAATCATGATTAATGAACAAGAGCCTGTCTCATAAAGCTTATGATGTTTTACAGCATACGAAGGCGTGCTCTTGATTTGTTGTATGGGATGTGTGATGTTTCTAATGCGAAAGATATTGTTGAAGAACTGTTGCAGGTTTAGTGAAGTTTTGATATCTTTAATCTGACTTCTACCTCCAAAAAAAATTTTTGTACTAAAATTTATTGAATAACCAATCAAATTGTGTTCATTTATATTCCAGTACCTCAGTACAGCGGAATTTGCTATGCGTGAAGAATTGGCCCTAAAGGCTGCCATTCTGGCAGAGAAGTTTGCTCCAGATCTTTCATGGTAAAGATAATACGCAGCTTATTTTCTAATAATTGACAAGTGGTTGTGTTCTGACTCATCTTTCTTTCGAGGGTCAGGTCATATGTTGTGAGATGCGTGCATTTCGAATGCTCGGCTTACATTTATGTTCATTGTAATTCTAGTCTATCATATTTGTTCACTAGATTTATCTTGAACTTTGAAGGAGAAAAGAAGTAGATTATCCCTCTGGAGGGAATGCAACTTAATGGAAACTGATTACTCTGCTTTTTTATTAAATTTTTGAGAATAATATACGATTCTGCTGCTTCAGGTATGTGGATGTAATTCTTCAGTTAATTGACAAAGCTGGGGATTTCGTAAGTGATGACATATGGTACCGTGTGGTTCAATTTGTGACCAACAATGAAGATTTACAGGTACTTGCTCTATTCCTCTCTCAAGTTCCTCATTCATTGCTCTTGTTGGGGTTCTAATTGCCGATACTCTTTCCTTGGTATTTGTTGGCCTTTTTATCATGACAGCCATATGCAGCAGCGAAAGCCAGAGAGTATCTTGACAAACCTGCTTTGCATGAGACCATGGTCAAGGTATGCGTTCTATCTCTTAGGTCATTTCCCTACAAATACTTTTATTGATCCCTGTATGGTATGGAAGAGCTTTATGCGAGAATTTTCTTGATTTGGAAGAACTGATATCATATGCTGCGAACATGTGCCGTTCCAACTTACTATTGCTTATCATATGTGCCAACTGACGATTGTTACTGATGAGCAATATCATAGAAGTTGCTAAAACAGTTGTCGAAATCGAGCTTTCTACGAATTCACTGCTCGTATTGTTGGTATGAAATATACATAGGCAAAAGATTGCTGTGGAAGTGGCGATGAATAATTCTTATTTTGAAAATTCGTTGTCTATTAGAGAAGAAAATCTCTCGTGGCAAATATTAATAAAAAATTACTCGAATGAAATACTTTATCTTGCAGGTGGCGTAAGTTCTGCCACATTGGTGTCTGTATTTATCTATTCTTTCTTCTACGGTTGGTTCATGGACGTGCCATTAACACTCTTTTTCTTTTGTTACGAGGACGAGTGCAGGCAATGACCACAGACATATGCATATTTATATATAGTTTGAACTAACTAATTTGGAGTTGTGCTACCATCGACGGTTTTGATCGTCTTGTCTTAATCAAAGTCGATTCTAACGTTTAATCTTATACAAATTATATTCTGAGTTTCTCAGTATGAAAAAAATAGGAAGGGTACATCGACTTGTAGGTAAAGCAGCGTTGGGTACACTTGCAGTGCTTCCTAGACCTAGATCTAATGGTTTTATAGACTACTCCGTTACGAATTCTCTGTCATGGTCATTTACTGACGTGATCTTGGATAAAAGCTTAGACAGAAAATTTACATTCCTTGCCACAGGTAAGTGCCTATCTTCTAGGAGAGTACAGCCATCTTCTGATCAGAAGACCTGGCTGCAGCCCCAAGGAGATTTTCGCTATCATAAACGAGAAGCTTGCTACAGTCTCGTAAGTCTACTGACTACCGTTCTGTTTGATTATGTGCAATCATGAATTCAATGTGAGATCCACTCTCTTGCGATCATCATTCACTTCAGGACGGCTACTATTCCCATCCTTCTTTCAACATTTGCAAAGATTTTGATGCACAGTCAGCCTGCTGATCCAGAGTTACAAGATCAGATATGGTTGATTTTCAGAAAGTATGCTCTTATATTACTTTCTTAATTTACTCTTACCTTTGATTTCATTGGTTTATGAGTATTTTTTGGCTTATCACTCTGGATCTTACGTCCGCTAACCAGTGGTGCTGTAATTTGTGCTGTGGCAGGTATGAAAGCTATATCGACGTTGAAATCCAACAAAGAGCTGTTGAATATTTTGCACTCAGTAAGAAGGGTGCGGCACTAATGGATATTCTTGCTGAAATGCCGAAATTCCCAGAACGACAGGTATGGGGATTCAATCTGCTACTCCTGTACTTCTAAGCCTATGTTGGCGATGGGGCCAGAATTGTTTTGGTGAAGACAAGTCGGGACATCGTTAAGATCTATTTCTTTTTTTGTTTACCAGTCTTCACTGCTAAAAAAGGCTGAAGACACTGAAATTGACACCGCTGAGCAAAGTGCCATCAAGATACGTGCTCAACAACAGACCTCAAATGCTCTGGTTGTAACTGACCAACCCCCCCCGACCAATGGAACGGCGCCCACTGGCGTGGGGCAACTTGCCCTTGTGAAGATTCCAAACCAAAACGTGGTCTGATATGCCAACCGTTCATTTTTGGTGTAGTCTATTGTTTCATGGACCTTTTCTATTTACATTTGAATGCTTGATGCAGGATTCTGCTTCCCCGGATCATAGTATCACTCCTGAAAATGGGGTGATAAGTAAATCAGTCTCCGAGGCTCCTGCATCAGATCTACTGGTTGATCTTCTTGGCCCACTTGCTATTGAAGGCCCTCCAGCTCCTGCCGTTTCTGGAGAGCAAACTTCATTCCCTGGGCTGAATGCTACTCCCAGTCCAGTAGATGCCTTAGCTTTAGCTATCCTCAGTGATCAATCGACTGGAGTTCAGGTAGAAGCCTTTTTATGTTTTATGTGTTCTTTGAAAGTTTGCTGCATTCAAACTTGACTTTCACGCCCTTATCTTTTTGCGTGGACTGACCTTCTCATTCTAAAAGGTCATTTCTTAGTTTATAAATTTTTCCTATGCCGTAGAAAAAAATTATGATTTTCTGACATAACCAAGCAAGTGTGCAATCATTTATCCATGTCTTTCATAATATTTTAATGTGCCAGATTGTCCCTTAATTTGGCATCTGTTAATTTTGACAGCCCATTGGAAACATTGATGAAAGATTCCACGCCTTGTGTTTGAAAGACAGTGGGGTGCTCTACGAGGACCCTTACATTCAGGTATACCTTCTCTTGGCATGAACCGGTTTCCTTATAAAAACAGAGCGAATGATTTCCCTACTTCACTCACTTTACATCTGGATGGTGCTTCACAGTTAGTTTCTGTCATGTCTTAGTTCTGATGAATGTCTTTTCAGATCGGGGTAAAAGCAGAGTGGAGAGGCCATCACGGGCGTCTTGTTCTCTTCCTGGGAAACAAGAACACGGCCTCTCTTAGCTCAGTGAAAGCTTTGATATTGCCTCCTGCCCACTTAAAGATGGAGTTATCCCTGGTGCCCGATACTATTCCTCCCAGAGCACAGGTTGATCATCATTATTTTGTATTCCTCTTCGTTCGTCCTGACCATCCACTTTGTATTAAAATCTTGCATTGGAGTATAATTTTTTTGTGTAGGTCCAATGCCCTCTTGTGGTTATGAATCTTCATGCTAGCCGAGACGTTGGCGCTCTAGACCTTTCCTATAAATTTGAAGCTACATTGGTACTCCTTGAACCGTCATTTTCTAATTCCACCTTCAGGAACATCTTTCGGTTCAGGTATTTGCCCCCGAAAGCCAAGACCTCATATCAGATTATGTTTGTATTTATTCAGGTCAATGTCAAGCTACGACTTCCAGCAGTTTTGAACAAGTTTCTGCAGCCCATTCAGATGACTGCCGAAGAATTCTTCCCGCAGTGGAAAGCACTTGCAGGGCCACCGTTAAAACTTCAAGAAGTGGTCAGTTCTGCACTCCCATCCTGTGGAAATTATTTGAGTCTCCCATGCTACACTATAGAAATATATATCCTGGAAAGAGCGTATATTTGGGAATTCGGCTCTTAGTTGGTCATTTTCCTATTTTATTAGATTTTTTTATATGAAGTGAATAATAATCAGATTTTTTTTTCCACTATATATCCTCCAAGGGTTTGGCCCACTGTATATTTTTCGACAATTAATTATATATATTGATTATCATCATGGAATCTTCTCGTTGTTGCATGCAGGTTAGAGGGGTAAAGCCAATGCTTCTTCCCGAAATGGCAGACTTGTTCGCTAGTCTCCGTTTTGCAGTGACTCCAGGACTTGTACGTCGCCATCCTTGCTGTCTTTTGTGCTGTTCCTCGCCGATCGACTTGGCTGATCAAATTCCTACGCCCTTTTTCAGGACGTGAACCCAAACAACCTGGTTGCGACCACCAGCTTCTACTCGGAGACAACTCATGCGGTTCTTTGCCTAGTGAGGATCAACCCTTCCTTTCTTTATTTATATATTGGAAACGAGTGCACATTGCTTGCAGATGAATTATCCCGGGCATGCATTCTTTGTGTGAAGCTGCATCTATCCAGCCTTCGGTTCATTCTTAGAGATATAGTACTGTATGCTCCCGTCTTGTTTATTTCGAGATGCGTTGACCATTCTCCTCTCTAGGTGAGAGTTGAAACGGACCCTACAGACCGGACCCAGCTGCGGTTGACCGTCGCCTCGGGGGACCCCACCTTGACGTTCGAGTAAGCACTTCGTGATTCCATTTCCCCATTTGGTCATCCCTGTCGATTCTCCTTGTCGGGCCTTCTGAGCCTCCCCTCCTTTCGGACAGGTTGAAGGAGCTCATCAAGGACCACATGGTCGGCCTCCCCATGGCACCGCCAGTGCCTGCTCCCCTGCTGCCGCAGCCGCAGCCACAGCCACAGCCACCTTCTGTGGCGGTGGCATCGGACGACCCTGGCGCCATCCTCGCTGGCTTGCTTTGATCGCATTGCATAAGTTGAGATTGTACATCTGTTTCTTTGCCGATTGCCCCTCAATTTCCTCACCCACAGTAGAATTATCGCCCGCAAAGGCCGGATGGGACCTGCCAAGGTGAAGGCACAGCCTGCAATGAAGTGGCCAGCCGGAGGAATAAAGCTCAGTAGCGTTTTTCTTGGCTGACGACGGGGGTTTCTCTCTGGATTCTTTGATGCGGCTCAAGAGAGCTCTTGTAGACTGGCCATCTCAGTCCTTTTCCTTTCTCCTTGCCCTCCCCCCCACTTCTCTGTCCTTCTGTAATATGCTTTTTGGATGCATCAGCCATACCCACTTTCGGCGGCATGCTCGATCTTTGTAAAGAGAAAGAAGCTTGCGGTACATTATATGGTTTTCTTGTTCCCCTAAATCACTCTGAGAAGTTTTTCTATCATCTCTATCTGCTCTTCTTCTTCATGCCTGAACCTGTTGTGATGATGAATTCTTCGCTGCTGATGCATGAATCTAAGGGATGCAGAAGCTTCTTGGTCTCGTGAGCCAGATCCTCTTCTGGGGAAATGAAGTCTAGACTCGTCGAGCCCTGTAGACTTTGTCGTCTACAATGGGAAACTATCAGCTTGTGCAGATGAAGACGCGCTGAATAGTAATTCTTCAGCCTACTCAGTTTCTTTAGTAGGACTATAAATGCAAGCAAAGAGGTGATGTGGGTGGAGGACTGCTCAGACGGCAAAGAGGTGATGGGTCGTTTGAGCAAAGAAGGATGACGAATGGGATAGAGAGATAAATAATGGATTTCGGCATCCCATCGCCATGGACAGCACCGAGAATCTCATCTAGAGGAAGATAGTCAAGGAGCCCGTTGAAAAACTGAAAGCCGTCAAGAGGAGGCCCACTGAATGTCAACGCCACCGATTGACCTGGCAATAGGAAGTAATTAAGGTCGCTTCTTCAAGTATAGCCACTAGAAGGCGCGTGGGACTTCGGGAAAAGACTTGTTAAAAAATGTTGCATGAGAATTTTTTTTTTCCCCAGAAAACAAGTTCGGATACACCAAAAGAAGTAAAGAACATATATGCGTGGATTCGCGATTAAAAGCCATACAGACGGCAACTTGAATTATGCTTCATCACCACCCTACCTTTGTTTTTTTGTGCTTGATCACTCACGTAATGAGCTCATGACCAATTTCAATCTTTACCATCATTCCTCAAAACATAACCCGGAAAATGGAGATATCATTGCTTCGGGTACAGAAGTTCCAACATCAATGAGAAATGCTACCTTCGAGTACAATTCCAACTATTTATTTATGTAAATGGAAGTAACCAGTCAGGTTCACAACGAAACCTAGGAACCGATCACTGAAAAAATATCCCATATAGTGTAAATTTCACACGTTAGGGCTATACTACCATCAATGTTACTTGTTTCAGACATAGTTAATGACGAGATGCTTGCTATTTTTGCTGCAGATTTACAGGATTTCGAGAAGAGATTGCGAATGTAAAGAATGAGCCAGTGGAGTTTGCTAGAAAAAGAATATTACATCTCAATATAAACAATTTTTGATGTTTCCAAGAGATTTTCCAAGGACAAGTTTTCTCCTCTGTTTCTTGAGGCCAACATATAGGGCACCTTTTCCAAAGAATAACAGAAATTGATCAGCAGAAAAAGGGACCCGAGAAGAAGATAGAAGGGGAGGAGGATATTATTCATCGGCGATCATATGATTGCAATCTTCCTTTCGTCAGCAGAATCCACAGGCACAATCGCTGGCTCCCCTGGGAGAGACTCATCAAGGTGGATCTGGGCGAAGTCGTTGACGATCCCGGTTCTATGTCGGTAGATAATCTCCTTCTTCTCCTCTTCGGCCTTGTCCACCTTCTCCCTGGTCATCATGGTCACGTCCTCAGCTGCCTTGGCAACCTTGCTGAGAGCGCTAGAGACCCATGATGCCCCTGTGGAGACGTAGCGGTTGCTCATGAGGGCCGAGCCGGCACTGCTGGCCTTGTTCTCTGCGGCGGCAAGGGCAGACCTTGTGATCTCAGAGACCTGGAAGCGCTGGTCCACCTCCCTGACCTTCTCATTTACGACTGCTGTGCCCAAGCTGATCTTCTCGCTCAGCCCAATCCTGCGGTCCAAGGAGACCACGGTGGCGGAGGCATTGGATAGCAGGTGGTGCCGTTCATCGAAGGACTTGGCCTTGCTGAGGGCGTCCTTGCCCAGGACAAACCCCTTGGCCAGCATGCTGCTCACCATGTCCTCTGCCTTCTTCACCGCAGAGTCAGCAGCTGGGAATCCGTTCCCCTTCACGTTTAAGAGGAAATAAGATAACGAATCAGCATCTAAGGTATGGGAACTTGGGACTTGATATGCTAGGCCCAGTAGGTGAAAATAATGACACACAGATGGGCGTGTACACAAAATTTATCTGCATAATGGTCTCATTTACTTATAACCATAGCTAAAGTTCATAGGAGTTGGAACACATGAGATACAAAATTTGTAGAAATGAATCTACGTATGCATTATTAGACCCTGATTCTCTAAGAGTTCTCATTGACTTGGAGCTTGACATATTAGGTCCAGCAGTTGAAACATATACCAGATGAAAAAAAAATTGGATGTCAAACACCTGTCAGAAATGTCAGAGAATTGATGCTATTGAACAACTGAGCAGCTAAACCGTGTGGCCTTAGTATCCATAGGTATATCAATCAGGGAACTAAATCGAAATGATTTACCGTCTCTCCTGAAAAAGCTTCGGGTGGGAGTTGGTAATTCTCAATTGGGATTATATTCACAGGCATATCGACTATGATTGCACCCTGCATCAAGCAATCAATGAGAAAACGCATGAACAATGTGTTCCCCTTCTTGACCAGATATGAAGACTTGCACGCCGGGATAGTTAGAAAAAAAGAACACAATAATACTAGAAACTAAGCACGAACTCACGGACAGAAGGATAGCTGTGTCTGCGCCCTGTGAGTCTTTGAAAGTGACGTAAGCTTGCTGGGATCTCTCAGATTCACTGCCAGAAAAAAGATGGCTAGTCTGAAATAGGAAGAAAGGTGGAACATCTCTCGTGAAGATGGTTAAAAGGATGGAAATACCTTCGCATCTCAACGTATTCGATGTCTCCAGAAAAGGAAAAAAATTCTTTAATGTCCTGTTCTGATGCGCTCAGGGAGATATTGCAGACTGCCACAGTCCTTACCTGGGAGGTTTCAAACAGCTCGTGAATAACACTACTGAAATGATTTTAATTAGAAATGCAGCGAAGTCATTCTTTCTAGTTAAATGCCAAATGAGCAGATCGTGGAACTTTCAAAGTTTCACGTGGCAAGACAATGAAATCCAAGGCAACACGATCAGTAGGTACCTTGAATATTCAGAGAAGAAAAAAATATGCGAAATCAAAGCCACGCAACATATAGGTGAGCTTTTTCAGAAGATGAAATATTACATCATAGTACCTCAATGAGATAAGATATTCAGGATTACAATGATAGAATTGCATAAGGCAAATTCTAAAACATGACACTAAATGCGTAGGTTTCTGATTAGAAATATGCTATTCGCTCACTAAAAACTCTCAGTCCATCAATCAAATGGCAATACTCTATGAAATTCCTGCCCATCAATCATTTAATAATACTCTACACATATACAAGTGTACGTGCGTCATCAATCCTCCAGAAAACATAAACCAGTTTGCACTCTAAACACAACACGACAGATATAGGTCCTATGCTCATACAAACTGCTATATGCTTTCTCGAATTCAATGTGAATCTAAGAACTAGGGTTATCCACGGAAGTTCAAAATGAGTTTGATTCTCACATCTGAAACTTCAATTGTCCAATTCGATGTATTTGTCAATTGAGGATCCATTTCCATCCTCAAATAGCAAGGGCCCATTGGGACCTGCATTTGGCATGCTTGATTAAATCCTCTTCAAATAGAAAACCAAAACAACGGAAACAGAAAAAACTTCGAGGGTTAGTGACAGTTAGATGAGGAATTGGTCTGGTAGTTGCTCAATGACAGTTGCATGTTTGGTATTCCCACTTAGATATAGTACAACAAAACGAAACAACAAAGTACAACAACACAAGTATAATAAGCTTCAATAAACGAAATCCTGTGATCTCAGACGGAATAGATACCTAAATTTTCTGGTTAGAAGAATAACTAGTAAAGCAGCTAGATGGGCTAACCTTAAAGCAGAGAAAAGACCGAAATAGATAATTAAATCTTCGGGGGAGAGTGGCATCACAGCATACTTACAACAACGCATAATATTTCAAGGCCTCGTAATGTCTTTATTATACTACCTTAATAATCCAGTGGCATGCTACCGTAATATTATGTCAGTTTTTGTAGAGTAATCTTAGTTAATAATCCAGACCTATCAAAGTAGTATATAGGAAACTTCTTATTTGTTACACTGTCAAATAATACAAAACTAACACTTACACAATGGTTTCCAAAAATCAACTTTAACATGATATTAAACGATCCTTTTTACAATGAGAACATATTTCTATGGTTCTGTGAAAATATTGTCGATCTTCATTGAAAATCTTATATTTCTTGTACATACTTCATTTTTTTATGAGATCCTTGCTGTAGATGACACCAGTTTTCGAAGTTGATTACAGTAGGCGATCAAACTCAAGTATAAAGTAAAGCATATCTAGATTCAATACGTAAGTTGTAGCCAATGAGAATCTATTCCATAGATGGCCTCTTTTGTACTCAACCTGGTATGATAAAACAATGTACATCATGGGCAGAATTTAACAAAAATATTCAGCTTTTTTATTAACTAGGGATCTCAGTGAAATGGACTTGGCAACAAACAAGCCTATCAGGACACAGAAACCCAAGGCAAGGACCTGGTAAGTATACTTAAGGACTATATGCCTAGTCGACTAGACATCAGCTAGGAGAAGAAAGCCAAGGAAACTATGGTTCACTTCCATTCTACTACAACATAAGGACAGAGTTTAGTCATGATAACTCTAAGCCGATGGCTAAAAGATCTATCCAGATAAGATCAGATCAAGAAATCAGATGAAATGGACTAAACCAGTTTCAAGAACCTAGAGTACTCGCAGAATCAATGACTATGTACAGTAAAACATGAATGAACATCCAAAACCGGCAAGTAAATCAAAGAGATGCCTTATTCAAAGGGTTGATGCACAAAGTATGTTTAGACCTTGAAGTCATCCATTATAGAGTATACTATGATCTAATTATGAAACATAACAAAAGTGAATTTAGATAGGTAATAGATATCACTGGAATGATATTTAAACTCTTTAGATGTACTGAAGAAACTTATACTTATGAACAAAGTTTTGGTAATACCAGATTCGAGATAAATTTGAAAGTAAAAGGAACCTCAAGCTATGCTCCAGGGCAGTACTGCATAAACTCCCTTATTTGAAGAAGTGCATACCACATTTTCATATGAGAACTCATTCGGTCAAAAATTTAAGAAATTAAATGCTGCAGTCATCCTCATTTGAGATGTGGATGACTTTGGGACATATTCCTCCACATAATAGTAATGAAAGAGTAAGTATTATTGGACAGGTTTCGGGCAATGAGAATTTCCCAATTCCAGGTGCTGCTTCTCTTTTGCATAAATCGCATCATTAGGATTGAAAAATTGTCGTGACTTTGTCCCTAAGGTGACCAGCTACCTCTCTACATCAAATGACCAGTCACCTAGGACCTTGTTCTTTGATCTTTTCTTTCCTCTACGTTTATGAAAAAAAGGTGTGAATGAAAAATGTTTGTACAAGATAATAACAAAAAATAAAGAGGAAGAAAAATTACCAACGTTGTACGTCCATCCGAATTTTAAAATCTTCCAAGGAAAAATTCACTGTCTTATTTAACTGTAGTTTTACGTTTCAGTTCAACACATTGCGTTATTTAACAACAACACACTAAAAATCCCTTTTTGTACTTATCTACATCTGTTATTCAACGAAAACTCATCAGAAAAATTATTGTAAAATGTAAGAGCTTGTTCTAATCAATTTCGTTGGTCTACATAAGTTATCAACAAAAAGCTCCAATCACAGGTCTACATATATTCATACGAGAACTACCCCTTTATGGGTAACACAGTAAACAAGGATGATATATTTTTAAATATTTATGCGCCCAATACATTCCAACAGAAGAATATTCATGAAAATGTGTCTCATGTCATTGAGCCTTTTTCCCACAAATAGCTTCTTTCTTCAAAGCTTCATGCATTTATATGCTTGTGGATTATCAATCACACCAGAAAAATAATTGTTCACTGAAAGCAATGGATGAAGCCCCGGGAATGAGGCGTTCATCATTTAAAGCCATTAATCATTCTTCAGCAGGTAAGGTGTAAATCAAAGATAATTTGGCAGTTAAATGTTTTAAATTTTTGTCAGGAAGAGATCCAAAAGGAGCAATCTATTTTTAAAGTCCCTCTTCTGGGCAGCTCTGCAGAATGTCATATGTCAGACAAATCAATTGACACAATTTCGACCGCTCAGAATGCCAACCATTTCCAGGTTTTAGAAGAAAAGAACCCCAGCAGAGAACGAAGCATCGGAAAAAGCTAGAAGAAAAACCCGTTCAGTATCGAGATTTTCGATGCTAAAGCAGGATCCTAGGGGCAAAGTGGCAAAATCCCAAGATCATTAGATGCTTCTGTCGGTTTAATTGATCCTAGAAGTAGCCAAACTACTACTGCATTTTCAATCTGAACACAACGAACCCCAACTCCCCATTTTCAACCTACACAGGGAGCAGACAAGAATCGAAAAATCATCTCCATCGACTCCTATCGCCGCGTGGGAACGCCACCACGAGCCCCAACTCCCCAGATCCACAACCAATACGAAATGCAGCTCTCCTGCCCCACGTCGCGGCGGTCCACAAGTCATTCATCCGACACGAAGACAATCAGCACAGGAAATTCGAACTCACCGACATTGGAGCTTCAGTAATGAATTTCGGGAGGTGAGGGAGTAAATCGCCGTGGAGAGAGACCAGGATCTTTGTCAGGTGCTACGGTTGTAGTCTCGGCCAGCAAAATGGTATGACGAAGAAAGATAGGGATCCCCCGAAAGGAGAGAGAGAGAGAGAGAGAGGCGTTCTCCCGAACGCCCGGTGACGTCGCGTGTGCGGTCAGCGGAATTTCCGGCCGGTCATAACCTTCCTGCCGTCCCCTTCTCGACGAGGACGGGGCACCGACAGCGATGGCTCCTGTTGACCCGACAACAATTGAGAAGCGCACAACGCGCTCCGGTGCTCCTCCTGACTGTAAATGTCTCCTCTGCACGACGCAACCCCACTTAACTCAAAAATATCCCTTATTGGGTGCTCAAAACGTAAAGGTCCACATGAATAAGACACATAAAGAAGAAGATATAGTAGGCAAATGCTTTAAATGTGATGTAGAACATCATTTTATTAAATGGGGTCCTTAAATCACATCCATAAAGCATAAATTTCGTGGGATCAATGACTATTTTCCTTTTATTTTTCTTTTTTGCTGTTTTTATTATAAGATTTAATTAATTTATAGAGAATTCATAACCCACACCACACGAAAAAAAAGGCCAAAAAATAATAGATTTTTTGTTCCCCTAAGGGACTGATTTTTGTGTCTGGATTCGAACAACCCTTGTGAATTTAAGAAGTATTATTTAATCCTTGAGGATTTAATTTATCGAGGATTGATCTTGATTTAATTTATCAAGTGGATTTAGGGACCAATTTCTGTTCTTGTCCAAGGTATACTACTTCAAGATGATTAGAGAAAGATTGTTCGTGATGTAAGCTAAGTTCAAAATAAATGCTATATCAATTAATAAATTCATCCATATTTTTCTCAATGCATGTTAAGGCATCTGAAGCCATTTATCTCATTAGTCCTTGAAGCTTTGAATCTAAAAGAAGTATTTTGGTGAAATGCTCAAGTTGACTTGAGCAGTGAAATCTAGTGGAGTCTATATGAAGTATTTATGTTAATTGAGATTAGTGGAACTTAAAAAGTGAACTTTAGAGAGTTGCATGCACAAAGTGGGCTGAACCAATTTAATTATTTATTTCATTCTTTAACAGGAGACTAAAATTCGAGTAGTGATCCAAAAAGATTATTTCACCCATGTTCTTGGTTCTACTTTTAGCCTCCCTCAAGCTTATTGCCACTAAGAATATTGTTGATAAATATAAATAAAAGAAAATTTGATCTAATGGATGGATGAAGATTCATATTATTAAACCCAATCCATTCTTTGTTTGATTATTACTTTTAAGATTAAAAAAATCATCTAAGAAGGTATTTAAATGAAGAAAATAGAATAGATTCAAAAGGAAAATTATTTTATAGAGAAAAATCATTAAAAAAAACAGTAATTAACCTAAGCCTTGCACAAGCTGACACAAGTTTACTCTTCAAGAATCATTTCTATTCTTGAGTTCTACCAAGATTGAATATTTTGATCATTATTAATTATTGAGTGTAACTCTCACATGATTTTACATCAAAATTTTCTTCTAGATTCACAACTTTAAGAGCCTAATAGTATATCAATTGGTTAACTCCCTTAGGCCATTAATATAATATTTAATTACAAGCTTATCCATTAAATAATATGAAAGATTTTGGATTTTTTTTTGAACGATAATGTCAACTTGGAGTGCATTTAAAATTCTAATGAAGATGATGATTAAATACTTGATATTGTTGTCTTCTCCTTGTAAGGATGCTAGCTGATTGTGACAGGTATTGGCATTTTGATTTTGCCAATAATGATCATTTATTGCTTGAAAATAATTACTCAACTTATTTCCATCATGTCTTATGATCAGTAGAAAATATCTCATACATCAAAGAAAATTCAGGCTTAGGAGATTATGAAAATTCAACAAGATATTCAAGTATCATTGACCTATAAATATTAAGGATTCCCAATAGATATTCACATACATAAAAAAATTACTTTCTCTCTAACCTCAAATTTTGAACTTAAGATTTCACACACAAAATCTAGTAAGAATGAGAAAATCTTAGTCGACTAAATAAACTCACAAAGGCCTCAAGTGAAAGATCAGCCATCAATATCTCAAGTAATCTTCCTCAACATGTTGCAAGTTGTTGTCCTTCCACCCTCAGCTAGCAACCTTATGAGAAGAGGAAAATAATAATTAAATTATAATCATCATCCTCTTCATAAGAACTCTATACATACATAAAATCAACATCATATAGAAAGATCTCATGTGACATCTTTAATACTTGTAGTGGGATAACATGAACATATACCCTTTAAATATATATTCATGATTCTATAAGAAAATTTCTAAATAAAATTCCAAGGGAGCAAAGTTCATAATCAACAATTGTGTTTAGATACTTATAACTTGTAGAAATTAATAATAGTGTTTATTTTTGAAGAGTGGACAAAGGTAGTGAAAAAAATCACTATAAAGTTCATAATGTTATATATATTAGTCTATGAAAATTATATAGATTAATAAGTTAAAAAGAGATTGATTTAGAGAAGAATTTTTAAGGATAAAAAAAAAATATATCAATTTAACCATCCTTCTTAATCTTAATGCAGCCTTAAATCCAACATATCCATCATTAGAGGGATTTAGATACACATAAGAAATCAATATCTAGTTCTATTAAAAAGAAACATCTTTATATAAAACATACAATTTAGTCTAATAAGGATCTGATATTATACAAACATAATTGATAATACATGTCTAAATAAAAAGGTGATTTAGTGATCAAAACTTATCCAAATAACATATATAAAGTACAACAGTCAAGTAGACGTTGAATCATGATGTCAACATTTTTAATCATGGCTTTAGTGTTTCATAGTACTTAAAATTATTTTGGTAATTATATTGGTTAATATCCATAAAAATATATCTACTAGAACGACCAATCTAACTTCAATCAGTTAATATAATATCGGAATCATTGAAAAATTATTAAATCATTTGGTACATAATAGGCTTACTAAGATTTCATACTCATATTTTTCTTCAAAATTTATCATTGATTTCAATATTATAATTACTTATTTTCTTATTGTGGAAATGTGTAAATATTTATAATTTCACAACAATTGTAGAATAATTTTCACAAAGTAAAATTCAAAAAAAGTTTAAATTCCATATAGTGACATCAAAATATTTTATTTAATTCATATTTAGGTAGTTTTATTATTTATTTAAATTCTTTCTCAAATTACATTTAGTTAAGTAGATTGCATGTAAAATAATATTTATTTATTATCAGTTTAATGACAAATAAGTACAACCTTTGTCTTTAATGGGTATAATGTGTGTTCACCATCATGAAAAATATATATTTAATACTTAACAAAGTTGACATGGGGGAGTAGACATAAGAAATAGAGTCAAATTTAGGCTAGAAAAAAGGAATTATCTATAAAATGAGATGTGATGGACAATCCAAAGTTACAAATAAGATTCAAAGCATTTATAACCTTTGGCAATGACATGATCATTTGAAGATGAAGTATTCAAATAATCTCTCACTAATAAGTAGGTGAAATTATTTCATCAAAAGTCAATCAACTAAGTAGATTGATAATGTAAACTATTTTACAAGTTGACTTAGGGATCAATTTTTTTAAAAATAACTAATTATATCTCACTCACTTGAGTTCCAATGGTAGAATTTTTGAGATTTATAAATTATCCATCATATGAGCTTTCAACCTATATATCAATGTTGCATCAAATCATCAATGTGTACTATAAATTGTCATTCACTTTCTAGAACAAATTGTTACACTACTTAAATTTCCTCAAGCTTCTTAAAGGTCACCAAATAAAGTTTATCCAATAGCTTGAAGTATCATTTTTAAGTCACTCATTCTCTATCTCTATTTGTTAAACCAATCAAGCTAGTACTTTTGTGTCTAGTGAAGGAGATAAATTTTTGAAATATATCATGTAAAGGGACTGACTGATCTCATGAATCACTAGTAGTTGTCCTCTTGAAAAGAATAGTGGAAACCAAGATTAAGAGAACTTGGTAAGTAGATGTAGGTTAGGGAAGGATGAACCATAACAAAAAGAATGTTCCTTCTACTAATTATAAAGTGAGTTGACACCCTTCATGTAGTAGAAATAAAATTGGTAAAATAAAAGGAAAAGTGAGAAGTTTTTAGAACAAGCAATCACACCCCTCCCCTTCTTAACACATATCGATCTATTTTAGGACTAACAAACCCTATAATGCACTTATTATCTTTATGTTTAAATAGTTCTCATGTCTTATGTTGTCACTTCCATTTCTTTAATATTCCCCTTTGCCTTTTGCGTCATTATTTCAAGTGTTGACCATTTCTTCTTAAGTTCCCCCCCCCCCCTCCATGTGAAGATTATTTTCTCACCAAAGACTTACCTTTAAGTTATTGACCTCTATTGAACTTTTTCTAAGTATGTTTTGTTTTTTGCATGTGTTGATACTTCATTGTGTTAGCATTAGAGATTATCACTATTGAAAGGAAAACACTATCCAACTATTGACACTTCTAGGCATAGTTATTTTCCCAATCCATGGCCATTACTTTTACTTAGAGTGTCACTGGCTACTTAAACAATTAACTTCAATTTTATTAATTTATAGATAAATAAAAAATTATATTACAATGATATTATATATTATTTGGTTTGCCAGTCAACTCTTCTTCATTTGCTCATTAGTCTCCCCTATCAGCCTTTGTAGGGTGGGTGAAAGCTCTATCTATGCTCTTTTAGATTGCTCTATAATAGGCATACTTTTGAGTAACTCATTATTGAAAATATTGCATCTCATTTGGACCCTTGCAACATATAATTAGAGGAACATCCCTAGTTCCCAAAATAAATTATCCATAATAATAACAGTACATGGATCCTAATTTTTATCCCTTTATCATGTCCGACCATGCCAAATTTAGTATAACAACGCATCAAACATGAATATCTAAAATTTTCAATCATTTCACATGATATATTCAATATTCAAAGAAATTGCATCTCCATAGGTATTCACATAGATGATAAAGAATCATAGGAGTTGACAATATTAGCTTATGTATTCCATAGTCTAACCCAATGCAAGTCCTTAGTGGAGCTCCTTGTTTCACTGTTATATAGAAAATTTGTTGTCACATCCAAAAATATCATAAACCATAACATAAAAACATAAATATTAGAAGTGTAGGGAGCAGCTCAGGGAAGAAGTCAATACACAAATAAATACTTTGAGAATGCTCAAATATGCCTTGACTCTCTATACAGAATGAGCGGAGGAAAACATTAATAGTAGGAAAAGACTCGTGCCAGCTCGCGTCGGAGTTCCTCGTGGGCTTCTCGGCGATTCACCACCATCCTCGCGCCACCAGCGCCGGCGACTCTCTGCTGTCCTTGCCCCACCGACAGGGTTTGGGTTCCTCCCCCTGGATTGTTCGCCCTCGATGTCTGCCAAAAATGGTGGAAGGAAGGATTCCTTCGCTGTCCTCCCTCTGGATGTCTCCGGAGACAATTGGAGCTTCTTGAATCGCTCCATGTCGAACAGGACAATCGGGGAAGGTGAAGAGGATGGGAACACCGTCGTAAAGAGGCGGAAGTCCAAGAGTAGCAAGAGAAAAAAAAAGAAAATAATGGATACGGCGGAAATAACAGCGGCCTGGAGCCTGACGTCGGGTATCGACGACGACGAGAACTTGGATCGAAAGAACGGGCAATTTTTAGGTGTTTCGGAGTCTTCAGACGTGCTGGAAAGACCGATGGTTGTGGACGCGATCGAGCGTTCGGAGGTGGAACAGGATGCATCTGAAAGCTCGAGGTTGACTTCTACTTCTTTCGCTGAACTGAGGCAGAGGAGTGTGAACGGGGGAAGTGTATGCAATGAGATTATAGATGCAGAGGTTAGCACAAGGGAGAGCTCGATTGGACAGTGGAGGCCAGCGTCTCATGAACATATTCCAATTTTGAGCAATCAGGAGTCGACGGATTGGAAGAGGTTGATGGCAGAGTATCCAGGTCTTTTAGAAGGTACTTTCTACGGATTTATTTGGAGCATTTCATGTCAACGCTTTTGATGAGATGATAAAATTACCGGCACTTTGTAATAGTCTGTGAAATGCTAAGTTTTTATATGATCCAATGGCCTTGGATTGTAATTATCTTGAGAATTGATCTGTAATAGGGCTTTGATGAATTGTTTAAATGCTGTTAGAATGAGAAAATTTCTCGATTTGAGGTAACCCACCTCGCCTTAGGAACCAGCAACATAAAACTTGTGTCACTCACTCCGTCGTGGACAATTAAACGCTTACAATGATAGATGAACGCCAAGTAACGAGTTTTGTGCGAGCTGGAGACAGACTCCTAACCCATTTTGTGGTATTCTCGTGTATCCTACTTAATGTGTTCATAATATCTGGACTGTTCTGTTATTCATTATTAAAAAAACTCTAGTTCTTTTAGCTAGTTGTAGTGGCCACAATTTTCTTATTTTTTGATGAATCTCGTGAAAGGTTTTTTCAGAATTTGATATTGAAGTCACTAATCCATTCTCAATATTAGAAGATTTTTGAAGCTAATAAAAATTAAGTTTTTAACAGAAATTCTTGGATAGAAATTTAAGTTATAGTCAGTCTATTTGGATCCTGTCTTTTCTTCAACTTTAATATATGAAAAAATTTAAATGAGAAGGTATGCTTGTGTTCGCCTTCTTTCATATGTAGTAATTGCAATCCAAATTGATGCTATTGAAGATGTAAACTTTAGTCCCATTGAGACATGTTCATACTTTCCTGTATTTATGCTAATTGCTACTCCTAGAAACATCTGTTTTCAGGTGGTACTACTGTAACAACAGGCAACGTCCAATGTGGTGCTCTTCTTGGCCACCGACATGTGGGACATTTCTCGGACATCCATTCCAAAGTTGTACAAATTATGCCTTAGCTTGATTCAGAGATAATAATTAGGAAGTGAAGCAATGGTTGTTCAAAATTAATAGTTCGCTTGAAATCCGTAATTATCATAGCAGAGAAAATATATTGGCTGATTTACAGTCATTGTGTATGACTATCCTTTTGGTTTTCAGAGTTGGGACAATCACCCTAATAACTCGAGTCAAGTTTCATTGTGATAGAGAAAAAGGAAAAGAAAAAGGTGAAATCTCTCCAATGGTAGTAATAAAGTTGATAAGCAAGGGAAATACGGACATCAGTTGAGAAAAGTTGAAACATTTTCTTGGAATTTCTTCACAAATGGACTCCTTGTGAAATTTACAAATTCAAGTGGTGACATGCTTCTGGCATCATTTTTCTCTCCTTGGATGATACAGTAGTGTGAAACAAAGCTGTAACCATTGGACTTCAAAAACTCTAAAAATATGCAAAACAACTGTAGCGACATTCAGTTTTTATCTGAATGTTAAAACTAGTTACAGTTTTCTAAGTAGAAGCGTCAGCTCTGCTCGTCCTAAAATTAGGAAGTATCAGGCATTTGCCGCTTGGCTGTCTATATTATTAGGAAACTAGAGTTGTGAATATATGTAAAATTTCTCATGTGTAGTTCAATTTTGGACATATGTTGTCCTCAAATGACCTCTGCCTAATTTGATTCCTTTATTTTTAAAACTACAAGCCCATGGTCTATTCATATTTCTCTCGAATCAAGTTCCTTTCCCTAATCTTGTGGGCATGGGCATTTCCCATCCTACCACCAGATCCGCTTTGAATTCCATGATTGACTACAGTTTGTTAACCAATTGAATTAGAACTTACTCGTTTATAACATGGTGCATTCTTGCTCTTTCTAATGACAAGTATTAATGGGGTGTGCTATTCCAGATTTTAACTCTCTTCTTAGTCATCAATTACACATCGAGAGATAACAGATTTCAGTGGAAGTTATAATTTCGTCTAGTTTGAGGTTCCCATTAGGAAGTAACTGTCCTATTATTTCTTTGTGCCATGTTTCCACATCAACGATCTGAAATTCCAATAACTGAAACCTCTTTGCTATTTCGAAGGACTGCCCAGCTGCATGACTTGATGTCCGTGGTACCTAAAAAAAGAGTGAAACCTTGAATTTCTTATTAAGCGAACTTTACAGCAATCTGTATGACGATATATCCTTTTTGAGGGCTATTTCTCATTGTTAACAGTTGTACTTTTTAAAACTAGAATTTTATTCGTAAGATTTTTTTATCTTTAATTTTTTTCTTAGACTGTCTTTGTTTCTAATTTGGACGTGTCAGTGTATTATAATTCTGAATCCCTAGCGTTAATATCTGGGCTTGGATTTGATTGCATGCAGAAATCACTTGCGTCAAGGGTTCACCATTGAGCTATTTTTGGGATGAAATTAATGGTGGCAATTCCCTTCGGAGCACAATATCTGTGGGAAATGAGAGAAAACGGCAACGAGTCTATAACACGATGTTTCATGTGCCACTGAGATGTGAAAGGGTAATTCTTACTTCTGCTGATTTTACCAGAGGCTCCTGTATTCTGTTGAATGATTGGGGAAACCAAAAGTTTAGATTCCTTATATTTATGATAGTGATGGTGGTGGCTATTTAGTTTTCTACGTATGGCTATTGATGTTGACAACCAAGTGTGGGGCTTGTGTTGGTCGAACTTGAACATTCAGCCTTTGTTCGAGATTCCCGTTGCTGGATTGGCCACTTTGCTCAGGTGATGGCCAAACAGAAAAAATAAAACTCTCACTTTGTTTAAAACATGGTTTGAAGTTGGCATTATAGGGAGTCACTCCACATGGCGGCAGATTCCAGTACTGACAGCATAAGTTCCGTAGTATTTCTTGCACTTTGGTTTGCCCAGATTGCGTAGTTAACCTCTATGTCCCATTTGCTGCTAAAAAGTTCATCAGATATTTTATATTTTATTGGTTATAGATATACTTTGTAAAGATGTGGCAATCTGACTGAAATAAACTTTTAAGAGACTTTTGATTTCGATGCAGTTGTTTTATGATACAAGTATCTGATACTAACAATGACATTGCAGCTTATTGATGTGGGATTTTTTGTCTGTTTGGATACCTTTCTCTCATTGCTTACGATTATGCCAGCCAGAATTCTAATGATCATGCGGCGGATTCTAAATACAAGGTGAAAACAAACTTATTTAAGCGTCAATGCAGCATGTACTGCCGTTCTTTTTGTGGTCGAACAGTCTGATGGAGAATCTTTCTATGTTTATCTTGTGAAGTTGTCACACTATCGAATGTTTCCATCATATTTGTACGTGTTAGCAATCTAACGTAATTTTGGTGCTACGTTATAATTCTCCAGATGTATACTTTTTCAATAGACTTGAAAATGTGTTGGAGTTCATAGGAGCCTCAAAGAACAGTAGGAGCCTGTGTACATAGGTCTTTCGTATCCTTACTGGATATCATCACAGATTCTTCTTTTAACTTATTTTTCTTGAGGAAAATATTCTCTAATATTTCTTTAGATGACTGTGCTGCTTATTCTTCTCTCTACGTTGCTTCAATATAGCCCTTACAATGCTTTATTCATTCTTATGTCTGAGGTTTTAAATGAACCGTTATGTTTATGATTAAAATGAATTTGTTAATATTCAGTGTATGATAAAATATCCAATTATAATTTTCTTTAAATTAATCGCGTTGATTTCTAAATCATGCATGATTGTTCCCATGTTCATTATAAAATTGTGTTCGTTATAGGATTGCAATTGCTTTCCCAACCGTTTCATTCTTAAAAAAATGTATTTTTTATTTGACCTACCCTTCTAAAATCGGTAACTAGAAAACTTATGTTCCTTAACTCTGACGTTTATTGGAGATTGTTCAAACAATGGCATTGTCTGTTGAGATTACAACTACTGAAGTGGAGAAATTTTACTAATACTCTCACTTTTCCCTTTCATCACGAACCTCATGTTTGTTTTGGACACTGACCCTGTAATCATGAAGATTCAGTTAATATTCTTTGTCATTCTTCCATGGTTCAAAAAAACAACCCTAGCTGTAGTTATCATTATAACGAACAAATTAACTGTATGGCAGCTGCAATTTCTGTTGAGCCTTCTTCCTATTGACAGAAATTATGAAGGCAGTTGTGGCAATGGATGCTAGGAACATGTCCAATCCTCACCACTCTCTCCAGACTGGTCAGCAATGAGAAGATGGCGCCATCTTCTCCTCCCTCTTTCTTCTTCATGCCACTGAGAAGAACCCTTCCTGTTGGTAGGCAGGCTGTAACTATCATCGACCCAACATCCCCATACCCCCTTAATTTCAGCAGGAGAGTAAACGAGATTAAAGGACAATACGAAAGGACTTCTAGATGCGTGTAACTCTTGTGGGGGAAGATTAGGTTGTTCCTTTTAATTTGAATAGCCTGGTCGAATTGTTGTTATGGAGTCGGTAACAAAAAGATGGTTTTTCCGCAAAAGAATAGTTAATTACCTAAGTTGATGTGTATTGCAAAAAGTACAAACCATTAGTTTTTAAGGAAGATTTATTCCTTGCTACTTATCATCTTGTCTTTTTCTCCAGTTATGACTCATATTGAATTTAAATTATGTTGAACGTATTTTTCACGATTTTTCACTTGATTTATTTTATCTTCTCTGTTGATCGCATATCTGGTACTGTTCTTGCGACAGAAATGCATGTTGCAAGACAAGCTTTTTTTCTTTTTCACTTGAAAAAGAAAATCTTATATGCATTCTGTGTCACATCTATATGCAATGGCTTTGACAGTTAACCTAACTTGATTTTAACAGGCAGTTTCAAATGCCAAATGACAAGGAATTGTCTGATGTTTGCTGTTTCACTGTTCTGGTTTTTGGCGTAACTGCATTACAATTGACAGGTGATCGATGTTCATCTGCTTTAGTTTTATTCATGATTGCCTTTTCTGCTTTAATGCTTCATAGCTCGGACATAAAGGAGAACGATTTTGTCAATATTAATACCTCTGTATCAAATTGTTTATTGTCTCAGACATCAGCCTAATTTATCATATAATTCGGGGACAAGGGACAGTGAAGCTGTACGTGGTGTACAATGTATTGGAGGTACGAAAATGATACGTAATTTATTAAAAAATAATGTGAATGACCCCAGAAAAACATGCTTCTTGAATGTGTGGCAGATACTTGATAATCTTCTTCGATCATTTGGCGAGGATGTCTTGCAAGTTCTCTTCAACTCCATTGAGGGAGCCGCAACTTGTTCACCTGACAGTTTGACCTTCGAGCTGATGAGATACATTCTCGACCAAGTGATAGCTATTATTGTGTTTAATATCCTTCTAAAAAAATTCCAAATTCCATCTTTTTTTTAACTGACATGTATTATTCCGTGTTATTTCCTTAACTGGTCACACCTCTGCACTCATTCATCTTACTAGCAGAGGCAATCACTTTGTCTACTTGTGTTATTGCACATAACAATGCATTATTAGCTCTGCTGATATCAAATAATTTTGCCGAAATAAAAAGCAATGTCTTCAAACGTGTAAGCAAGGATAACATACACTCTCTCGTATGCCATGGTAAGTTAGCTTCGTCCAGCCTTTTCCTGCATCATTTTATGTCGTCTTTTGCCATAACAACTTCCCTGTCTTACTAGCAGCCTTTTCCTGTCTTCTGTTAGTAGCTGAAGTAAAGCTTATCTATATTTTCTCTCTTGAGGGGAAGTGCTAGAATAGTTATTTGGCTTGTCTTGATGGACCTAATAGGCTCAGACTTACATAGGCCGAGTGTTGATGTCTGATCTCTCATATACCTGGGAGAGTGATAGTTTTTTTACTATTGCTGCCAAAAAAGAGGATTTTTTTTTAATTCTACTTTCACACATTGTTGGAAGAGAATTTCCCACTCTCCGTAGGTTATGATTTTGAAAAGCTAACAAACATAAAAAAAATTGGGGAAAGTTGTCACAAGGTGAGAGGACGATATGAAGCTTCGTGGATATGACATCAGCTTCTTTTAAAAGCCAAGAGGAAGACATTGGCCGTCTTCTTTGATAGCTTTGTATTAATATAGAAACATTCTTGAAGTGAACAAGGAACGAAATAGAAGTGATTGACTGAGTGTATAGGAAACATTTGGTAATTTTCTCATAGATTTTTCTTGGGTTTTAGGGCTGGATAACAAAATGATGGTGCTCAAATCAAATGGAAATAGGACACTACAATTTTTACATTTATATTCGCTATTTCATAGCATTAATGTCTGATTTGAATGCTTACACCAGCCAACTAGTGCCGACTCGAGATTTTGGCACCAAAAAGGCATCTGTCGTTTGATATTTTTCTCTTAATCCAAGATTTCCCACATTCTGCCTGAAAGATCTTAAGAGTGCCGAAAATTAATTGAGTCTTAGTTTATTGCATTGATATGATCTGATGTATCTTCTAATATCAATGTTTATCTTGCTCGTCTTCCTTGTGCCCGAGATTTCATTAGCTATTACTTGATATCTGACAAAACTATAAGTTTATCTTGAAACTACATATAATCGTCTTTGTTACTGATATATTGCCCAGATATCATCGAGAGATTCCATATCACTGCGTTCGTGTTATTTATATTAACTCAAAATATTCTAGAGTCTGAGGGATCCTGGTTTGGAGGTTTCCTTTCGGTAAGTTTGTAGACTGTTTAATTTATCCATGATATACTTACTACACTTTTCAAGAGTTTTTTTTTCTTCAATGTCAGAATGTGACGCTTGTTTACATGTGCGAAGTACTAATTGACACAATAAAGCATTCATTTCTTGCAAAGTTCAATGAAATAAAACCTGCGACCTACTCGGAATTTCTGGAAGATCTCTGCAAACAGGTAATACCCGAAAAATATATGGGTATTTTGTGTCCCTTTCTGTATCTACTTGATTTTTTCCTATAGTAAAAGAACTTTTAATGCCCTAATGTTCTGTGACTTTGAAAAACCTTTGATTAAACTCTGAACTGGTTAGGAACTATCATTTGTAAGTGTGTACATCAGACGTCTGCACGTAATGCCGTCATTTAGCGCTTTAAATTTATAATTTTTTTAAATTTTATTCTGTTGGTTGGACAGAGAACCGTATCAATAGCTTTAACGATTTATGGATCAGTAATTTCTTTATAGATACATGAAATCGCTTTCTTTACTGAAAGGAGCAATGAATCGATGTAATGACGAAGGATAGCAACCTTTAGTGGTCCGCTTGTTGCTGTGGTCTCCGTAAGTCTATCTCTGTTTTTATGACGCGCTTGTAAATATGGTTTTTCTCGCATCATTTACATGTCTTCCATAGTCTCATGCTCCTCAGAAAGGAGATTTGTAGCCCTTTGGTTTGTGCCAGAAATTTGTATTTTTCTAACTGACAAGAAAAGATATTAATCTCAACATGCTCGGTGCCCATATAGATATAGATATATATATATATATATATATATCAATGTGAAAATCAATTATTGGGAATCTCTATTATCCATGTTTTGGATCCAATGATAACTTGTCTTTGAAACATATATGTTAATATGTCTTAGCTTCACCTTCTGGTTCTCTATGACGAAAATGGCGGCCGAGCTTCATAGACTATTTCCTTTTTCTGTTATTATCCTTCCATCGCTCTGATTGACTCATTTAATCAATGCTAGAAGATATTTTATTTCGTTTGCTCTCTCGCTTGACTGTTTAAAAGAGAAAAAAAAATAGTCATATTTCTCACACTAGAGCAGGTAGTTTGTCAGTATTAACTTTTCGAATAGACCCAAATCCCTAAAGTCTTCATATCATCTGGACCTTCTAAATGATCTGCATGTTTCACTTGCAGATTCTCAATATCCAGACTGAGGATGCCAGGAAAACCCTGATTTTTATTCCCCTAGCGCCGGCCTGTGTGGTATAAATGCTTCCTCATGGGTCTGGGTGAAAACCCGTTAGACTTTCGTCTCCTAGCACAAGTGGAATTGGGTTTGATCCTCTTTTTTCAGGTCATCCGGGTGTTGACTCCGCTCTATGCGACGGTTATTCCCCACAGACCACTCCCTCTGAGGCTGCTGTGGATGGTCATCTGGTTTTCCCTCACCTACGCCATTCTCGTCGTCTGCAAGATGGCGGTTGGCCTTGCCCTGAGCCACCTCGCCGGCTGGTACCTCCGGCGCCACTCGGATAGAAAACCACACGCTGACTAGCCCTAGTCCGCTGTAGAGCTGCGGTGCCGAGTTCCTCCTCTTCATGATGTTTATTGACCTCAATTTTGATAATTATAGCTCTCCTTTTAGGACATTATATGTCGGCTGCAACAGTCCGTCTGATGGTGAGATGTCCATCGTGTGGCTTAGTATATATTTATTATTGCATTGCCCTCCTTCCTCGACGACTGAAAACCCCGTTCGCAGCCTTCACTAGGGCTCTTCAGTATGTCCGAATTGCCGGGCGAGGGAGTCCGGAAAAGTCAACGGTGTGTTCGGAAGCATGTTGTTGGAAGTCTAGATTCTCACTATTTGGGCGTATACCCTGATGGTTGACCGAGGACGGGTCATGGATTCTCATTGAATTGGATTCTTGGACTGAGGCGGCGGCGGTCTTACCCCTTCTCCTGCACGGCGGCACATGTTCGTCGTATTAAAACAGGCACGAAAGCGACGTCGACAGCTCAATTACGGCGTCGCCGCTGTTTTGGCCGGATGAGGGGTAAGAATAGACGAAGCCCGCCGGCGGCGACGGCGGCGCCGCCGGCTAAGTGTCTCGGAGGTAGAAGATGGTGGGCTTGCCCGGCTCGGTGATCTCCACAGAACCCTCGAGCATCTTGGCGACCTTGCCCATGGAGGGCCGCATCTCCGGGCGCTCCTGTAGGCACCAGATGGCGGTCTTGAGCATGCGGTCGACCATGGCGAGGTGGGCGCGGCTGTCGTAGCTATCGAGGATGCGGGGGTCGATGATATCCTCCACCCTCCGCTCGACGTAGACCTTCTCGTAGGCAAAGACGGGGAAGTACCACTCCTCGCTCTGGAGAGCCGACATCTGGAACTTGTTGTTCCTGGCGCCGGTGACCATCTCCAGCAGCACCATGCCGAAGCTGTAGACGTCGGCCTTGGCGGTGATGGGCTCCCTGGGCATCACCCACTCCGGCGCCATGTATCCCTGCGTGCCCTTCACCCCCGAGCAGCTGAAGCGGTCCTCCTTGGTGAGCTTCGCCATGCCGAAGTCGGAGACCTTGGGACAGAAGTCCCCGTCCAGGAGGATGTTCTCCGGCTTGATGTCCCTGTGCAGCACCCACTCGAGGCACTCCTCGTGGAGGTAGGCGATGGCCCTCGCCACCCCCACGGCGATCCTGTAGCGAATGTTCCAGTCCAGCAGCGGCTTCCTCGTCTTCTCCTCCCCCTCCAACTCTTCTTCTTCTTCTTCGCCTCCTCCTCGCTGCCGGCGTGGGGAGGGCGGGAAGATGTACTTGTCGAGGGAGCCGTTGGGGATGAACTCGTAGACGAGCATACGCTGGCCCTTCTCGGCGCAGAAGCCCCAGAGGCGCACCAGGTTGAGGTGGTGCATGCGGGCGATGATGTTGGCCTCCGCCCAGAAGTCGGCCTCGCTGCCGGCGGCGTCCTTGAGGCGCTTCACGGCCACCACTCGCCGGTCCGGCAGCTCCCCCTTGTAGACGACCCCGAATCCGCCGCTGCCCACCTCGTCGCTGAAGTCCTTGGTGGCCGCCTTGAGCTCCGCGTAGGTGAACCGCTTCGGCCCCCCGGCGGGCAAGAACTCCAGGCCCAGCGCCCTCGCCATGTCCCTGTACTGGGAGTACCGCCGGAGGAAGGCCCAGAAGGACAGGATCCCCGCGAGGAGCTCCAGCCCGAAGGCCGTGCCGATGATCCCCAGGTTCCTCGCCGTCGTCTTCGACTCCTTGGGCGGGTCCGGCAGCTGGATGCGCACCGGGCACACCGTCTCCAGCACCGAGAACAAGCCCGTGAAATTCGAGCGGTCTTTCTCCCCCGCGGCCACTCGGAGGAACGTCCTCGTCTCGGTGGCCGGCGACCAGAACAGGTTCACCAGCGGCTCGCCCCGGTGGGTGCACTTCCGCTCTCCGGTGTACTTGTAGGTGAAGGCGCTGCAGCTGGTGTTCTGCAAGCACAGCCGCTGGCAGTCGTCGAAGGAGCGGGTGGACTCATCGAGTTTAGGCGTGCCCGGAAAGTCCGGAAAGTCCACAAAGTCCAAGCTGAGGAACTTGCTGTTCTGAAGAAACTCCCCCGTTTTCCTCTCGCAGGAGCCGCCGCCGGGCATCCACTTGAATCCCGGCAGACAGACGCAGGTGGCGTCCAAGGTAGAGCCATTGTTGAAGCAGAGGGAGTTGCGCCCGCAGGTTCCGTGGATCTTGCAGGCCTCCGTCACCAGCTGCCAGACCACCGTCCAGTTGCCCGTTTTGGGGACGAGACTGTAGATTCGGAGGTTGCCGTCGTCGTCCAGGGTGAGCCTCCTGAGGCGCACCTCTTCGATGTCGGAGGCGACGATGGGGTCTCCGGTCTCCTTGTTCAGGTAGCCCTTGGTGGTGAGGTTCATAAGGGGCGAATTAGCGTTCCAATAGCCGTCCGTATGATTGAAGGTGAGGGTGGTAGCATTGACAAACTGGTAACGGCCGTTTCGAGAAGTCAAGTCTGTCCCCCGGAAGCCCTGGCCGGGGAGGATGGTGTGGGTTGGAAAGTCGAAGCTGGTCCAATTGCCGACCTTCAGCTCGCCGTTATCCTCCAGCGTCATCACCTCGTCGCCGGAGTTGGCCTTGACCTTACCGTTGAGGGAGAGGACGCCGGTAGCATCCAGGGTGAGGTTGGTGTTGTTGCTGTTGCAGTCGAAGGACCAGACGACGGTTCTCCCGGCGGAGTGGTCACTGGTGACCCAGACGGAGAAGGCGTACTGGTCGCCGGAGGGGGACGAAGACCCGCAGGCGGAGGAGCGACGGGCGAAGCCGGCGGAAAAGGTTCGGTTGGCGGAGACGAGAGTACGGTTATCGGAGGGCGTCCACGGGGAGTCAGAGGCGGAAAAGAAGAGAAATTGTCGACCTGCCACCGCCGGAGACTGTAGCAGAGCGAAGATGACGGCGGCGGGTATCGCCAGTGCGAGGATGGATAGAGGAGACATCATCTCTTCCCTCTCCCTCTCTCTCCCTCTCTCTCTCTTCCTGCCTCCCTCTCGGTCCTCCCCGCCGCCTTAAGATCTTATCTGGGATTGAAGGCGAAGGTGGAAACGGGTCAAGTGGGGCTAGACCAGAAGGTGTGGACGTTGCCGGAGACTTCCTGGTCGTTTCGCCGTGATCGTTGGGGCACCAAGAACGAAATACATAGCAGATGGCACGTTTCCAGTGCATCTTAGCCCATGGCATCATCCGACACGTCAATGACTCCGATGAGATTCGTGTCCGCTCGATGCCCTCCATGCGTGTAGATAGGGTGTGGAGACCACTCTTTGAAAAGCCCCACAGGAAAACTCTCCGGCGGCCGTTGACTTAGTTTCTGGAAGTTCATTGGCCAAAGGGGCTCAATAATTGCGACTGCTTTTATGGCCAAAAGGACTCTTTGGAAAACTCAAAGATTTAATTATTAATTAAGCCCATACTAAAAATAGGGAGATAAGGGATATAATCGAAGGAACCTGATCGTCATCTCCACATCGATACGCATATAGATACAAATACATTGCCATCTATATAATTATGGCATTTAATAAGGGTGTTTAGTTGATAAGCTTAGGGTGAGCACGTAGAAAGATTTGGAAAGTATTATCTTGGTCAAACCCACATGGGTCAAGCACCAAAGGGAAAGAGAGCACAATGTGAACGACGATGAGACGACCACGTTGTAGGGAATATAGGTTTTGAGCTGTTGACCCAACTTATTCTTCATTGATATATGATTTTGATACTCAAAGCCCTAAAAAAAATTCAACCAGTCTTCAATTGACTAAGACCATAACACACATACTGAAGATGGAATGAAAGTTTGTTTAAGTTGTCAACTTGCTTTTGACATTATTTGGGCTGATTATTATTAAATTAGTTGGAAAAAATTCTCAAAATGTATGTAAGAAAGATTGACTTGTACTTTTCTTGAAGAATGGCATCAAGTCAACCACTACACAATAACTACCTCCTGGTTGGCTAATTCAGATTGTGCAATCTAGTCTAAGACTCAACAAAATTTCTCTCAACCTTGTATTGAAAATTTTACATAACACTTTTAAAGGATAAAAGTAAGAGTTAAGACTAGGGGACCAAATATTTGCCTCAGCAAGTAGATGTGATCAAAATCACCACAAGTGGTAGTTATTTTATCTCTTAACATTTAACTAAAAGTTCTACTTTTAGGAACATTAGACTTCAACTAGAGATGATAGTGCAGGTACCAGGAATGATCAGTAAAATAATTCTAAATGTAATATCTATAAACCTTAAACATACCTCTTTAAAAGATAAAAACCCATTATTATTATTTTCTTGGCACAAGTGACAATTATGTATCTCATGTCATTAAACTAAGAATTCCACTTTCAGGAATGTCATACCACTACTAGAAATGACAATTATGTGCCTGGAATATGTTCAATTAAGTATTCAAACTCACTTTGATAATTCTAAACTTTAGGATTGTCTATTAATCCTTAAATAATGATAATGGTAATCATGCCTTTTTTTAATACTAACAATTACTGTCAATTATTTTCTACCACATGTATGTTGTACAGTCAAATCATTACCACATGTCACATTTGCCATCAAACCATACCCACATGTCACATGGATTGTCAAATTGATGTTACATTTCATATGCTATGTTAGATCTTTGTGACTTGTCATACAAATTGTTAGATTTTCTATTTTCTCTATCACGATTCAAGATGGGTCAGCACACACTTTTATGAAATGATATCCTTCTCTCTCCTTAGGTAGGATGACACACTAGGTAGACCCACTTTCTCTCTCCTCTAGTTTCCCTTTGAAATTGATTTTTCTATTTAATTTTCCTTGGCTTGATAATTATATGACTTTTGACTTATGCCCTATTCATTTGAGGCCTAAAAAACACATTTCCTTAGCAATAAAACTAGATTGAAATATGTAGATTTTGAATTGGTAATTAGTCCATTTCAGTATATTTAATGGTAATTTTAGTTTTATATTTATTCAATTAACTTGCTATCTTCGAAATCATTAGCCTCAATACTTTTCACTATACTCACCCATGAGAATTTTTTTGGTCTAAGAGGGATTACACTAACTTTTTGACAGCAATGTTTTTTTTCTCAATTTTTCTTTCAATATGTTGTCATAAGATATTTTCATGAAAGGTTGCTTCAGCTATTTATTACCACATTGAGTGGTAAAGGAAAAAATAACTGTAATTATATCAAAGTTCAATAAATTAATTTAGATGCATTCATTGAAGCTGCCCTCTTTATTATATTTTTGACAGTATCTTTTATTTTTTTCATGTGGTTTTTATATAATTCCCTTGGTTAGAATTTATTTTTTTTGAAAATCATACTTTCCATTGCTTTGATGAAACTTCACCTTGTTATATTTATAAGATGAAAAAGCTATTTAAAAAAATGTCTTTACAATGTGTTTGATGCACCATGTACAATTTCATGATAGTTTTTTCCTCCCTTGATGAATACATATAATAAAGTGTACTGCATTGTTTTCATGATCAGAAATTTATGGCCCATAAAAATTTAACATTCTTTAACTTTTTCATTCTGTCATAGCATACTTCCTGTTTTATTTGCAAAATAAACAAGTGAACATGAATTTAAAGAAGAAAAACAAGCTAAAAAGGTACACCATAAAATTTCTGAAGTCCATTATTTTTTTGATAAATTAGGAAAAAGAGAAAGGAAAGATTAGAAAAGGTGAATGTAGATCAATTAGATGTAACCAAACTAGGCCCCCTTTCTTCATCTAAGTGTGGCCATCTGACCAGGAGATAAAACATTGTCAATATATTTAAGAGTAGTGGAAGAATGAAATATTTTCCACAAAATAAAATTGCCATCTACCCTTTGTTCACAATGTATTGGAACATGTTATGATTGAGTCTTTTTCTATTATGTACATTGACCCACTTCCTTCGTCATTGATAGTGTTAAGACTTCATTAAATAAGGTGAGTCAACTTCCACAATAATAGTTTCCTACAAATTGAGTCAACTCACTACTGATTAAATTAAGGAAACATGAAGAATTAAGGAGTGAATTGGACTTATTCATATTCTCTATAATTTTATAATATTTTTTGAGATCTTATAATAATATAACATGATGATATAACTCATTTTTGGCAGAAATATGTTTTAAACGAAAGAAAATACTCACAAGGGTAAACTGGTCCACCTATACATCAAAATGGTCAAATAGTTTTTTTTATGCAAGTTTTTGCCACAAGTATTGTCATGTATGTATCTTTTGGAAGGAAAATTGAAAAAAAAACACGATACAATAAATATTGCATCAAAATTAGATAAAATTTCATTTTTCTAGATTTTAAAACATTAAATGACATTTTTTAAAGTTAAATTTACGCACAAAATTATAAAGACTGCACTTAAACTCTCATTACAAAGGATTAATGGTGTGATAATCTAGTTTTTTCCAACTTAGAGTCATGAATTTTGAAAATATTAGTGGGGTTAATATGGTGTTTGTGGCCTAAAGCTGTGAATTTAAAAGAAGGTTTCAAAGTGAAATACCAAAGGTGGCTTAAGTTGTTAAATAGAAGTGATAGACACACTTAAGCTTTTGTATTAAACATAAGTCATCAAGTATTAGTGTAACATAAGGATTTAATCAATAGAGAGTGAAGTAATTCAAACTAGCCAAATTGTTAAAAACTTTATGGGTAGAATTGAGAAAAAGATCAGTAGCTCATTAAATCTTCTATTCACAGCACTATCTTGGTCTAAATATTTGAGTCCAAATATTTAGACGAAGATAACTTCTACTGATATGAAGATTTGTTTAATGGTGCGAAAGTAGCTCTTAGTTGAGGATTTACCTTTTTTCTAGAATTAATTCTTAGTTTTGTGGCTTTATTGCTTTTGAGGAGAGAGAGTGTGTTTATTTTATACTTATGATTTTTTCCTAATTTTATAGGATTTTTAATAGACATAAATAGTCATAAAGTAGTCTTTACATAACTATGGCACCATTAGTTAACTCTCATTTTATTGGTTTATTTATTTTTCCCTTTTGCACATCACTTATTTACTCTCTCCCTCTGTCTCTAGACATGTGTTGACTTGTGGTGCAAACTCTTTTTTGAGATAAAACAAGACAAAATCTTGTAGAGAAAAGTTATTCTGAAATAAATAATAAATTATATTCAAGAAATTATTATGTATTTGGGAATTTTCAAGAATCATGTTTATATTAAAGTATACTTGTAATGTAAACTAATCATTTTACCTTTGAGTTTCTTTTACTAAGTTTAAAATCTATTTTTATTTTGTGTGATTTAGATTATCATTGACACAATGAAAGTTGATGAAATGATGATTTGATAGTGTTGTGAATAGGTTGAGTGCTGTGAAATCTAGATCACTTCCTTTAATCCATGAGAAATGTGATGTTGTTGAAGATTATTTACCTTAAATCCACATAATGAAGAAACTTCAACTTTTGAATCCACAAGGATTTAATCTTAAGTCCATAAATCCAGAAAGGGTGTTGAAATCTACAGCATAGAGAGGAATAAATTTTGTGAAAATGATTGATTGTCTCTTGGACTATGGATGAGGGCTTTTTAATAGATCAAAAATCAATTATTACTCTCCTAAAGAAAAGAGATTCTATTATCTAGCACCTAAAATTTGAATTTCAGCCTATTCAAACATATTTGAAATGATTGAAAAGTAGAAACTATTTTTAAATCAAATCTAGATGCATTTAAGACACAATTTTGGTGGGCCTGATTAATTATTGGCCAATTTAACATTGAATTAGGCCAACTTATGTCTTCAAGCTTCTTGGCCGCAAGCACTTAAGTTGGACTCCAAAAAAACTGCTCAATCACTAATATAGTGTTGCTATGCTAATATCATTACTTTACCTTTCTAATTATTATGCCATCACCAAAATTATTTAGGCTTTCAAAGCCAATAGTCAAACTTACAAGAAATTGAATATACAAGACTAGTAAGGATAAATGTATATTTTATAAATCAGAATATAACTTTATAATATAAAGTATTATTATAGACTTATGAGGTGTGTTTATCATTGAATTTTAAAATCGTGTCATTAAATTACTCATTTCTTGAAAACCAGAAAAAAAAAAACATGAAACTTTTTAATAGTTATGAAAATAATTTTCTAATATATGTAAAAATCAAGTATAATCTTGGAAAGTTAAAAATATTATGTCAAATATATATTTTGTTAACACTAAAAGTTACATTTTACATGAGTTTTAGTCATGCATTTAAAAGTAATTTTGAGATGAATTCTAATCAAGCTGAAATCATCAAATATGGATGGGTTTGTGTGAAAAATTGTTATGATATGCATGTACATGGTATAGATACATCAGTATACACATACACGCACACACACAGAGATTTATGCACATTAAAGAACACCATTCTTTAGTTTGTGTTAATATTTTGGTTTATTTCATAACTGAATGGAGATAGATAACTGTGAGCTTTCCTAGTTTTTTGCTTTGGTATTTCAGGTTTTAATAAATAGCAGTATGTGCGTATAAATATAAGCGAGAGAGAGAGAGAGAGAGAGGGAGACCGCTCAACTGTTACATATTAAGGGCGACTTCTTTAATTATTTGTACGTGTCACATGTGATGATGATCCCACAAACTGAGCAGACTCATCGTCACGACAGGGAGGAGGAAGCAAATCCGAACAAAGAACGTGTCACCAGATATTTATTGGACCAATACGTAAGCCGCCATCCAATACAGTTGGGGGGAGGGAGGACTAGCATTCCCCCAGTTTCACGACTCGGACGCCATTGCAGTCGGCTTCCACGCAGCCGCAGATGTAGGTGACCCCGTTGGCCCCACACACCGGGTCGGGGACGAGGCAGTTGATGTTGCAGAACTCCTCCGGCGGGAAGCGCCCGCAGAGGTTCCCGGTGGCGCCCTCCGCCGGAGCCACGCCGGAGTTGAGGGAGACGACCGCGAGGAGGAGAAGCAAGAGGGCTGCGGAGAATCGGGAACCCATGATGGCGTCCGAGGACCAGGGAACAGCGAGGAGAGAGAGAGAGAGAGGTAGACCACTGCTCGTCTTGTGTGTATGTAGATATATAGATTCATATATACATATATATATGGGTGAAGAGAAGAGAAATGGAGGCCCGGCGTTGAATGGGTCCGGTAAACGACGCCGGTTCTTCCTCCACGCAAGAGAAAAACGAAAGCCGGTTGATTGACAGGAAAGAAAGAACGCCGTCTTCCTTTCCCCGTCGGGAAAGTCTTTCGGTTGACTCGGAGGGGCCGGCGAGACGAGAACAGAGAGCACCAAGAGATAACAGAGCCATCTATCCACCATCGATCTAGATGCATTCATTCATTCAGTCGGGCACAGAGGAGAAGAGGAGCATGATACACAGAGGAAACCACCCACCCCCTTCTTCACCATTCCCGTCCCTTCCCCCCCTCCCCCCCTCGGTCGCAGGAGGAGGAAATGTTCCACTAAGAATACAAGAAAGATAGCGTTGACCTAGAGATACCGTCAATAATTATACGCACTGACTTTCTTTTTTTACAGGTCGCGGACATTAAGGAAGAGGAGTAGAAAGAAAAGCCTGACCTACTTGGAGAGCACGCTCATGACGTCGCCAGGGGAGAAATGCGGCAGCCCCGGGTTGCCCACCTTGGGAGACTCCATGAAGCCCAGGTGGATCTCCTGCTGGGCCCTGCCGGTGTCGTCAGCGCCGCCAACCTTGTTCTGGTTCAGCGCCTCCGGTGGCGGGGTTTCGACGTCGTCCACGGCGAATCTGCTGGGGATGATGCAGGTGTCCTTGCCGACGAAACCCAGATTCCTCCCCTGCAACTCAGCGGCGCCGCCGAGTGCCGCTGTCGATCGGGCGGAGCCATGAGCGTCGCCCAAGTTGGGGACGAACCCAGCCAGCCGGCTGGCGGGATTCATGCTCAGAGCCGAGCCTCTCCACCCGTCACAGGGCGATGCGCCGGCGGCCACAGCTGCGGGAGGAACCGGGCTACCATGAAAGTACCCACTCTGCATGACGGCGTTCTTCAGGTCTCCCTCCGCCACCACTTGCCCGACGCCCAACGGCAAGGTGTTCGAATGGGGGAGAAGCATGTGATCCATGGCAGGGGCGCCGTAGACGGGATGGGTCTGGCAGATAGTGGCGGCGCCCCCTGCCTGGAGCCCCTTCGACAACTGGGAGCGGAGCAGCACTGCAGCATTCTGACTGATGGAGAAGGGGTTGTTCCCGATCTGGAAGCCGGTGGGAGGCGGCGATGGGGAGACCAGGCAGGAAGACTGGACGTTCATGGGGAGATGGCTGGCCTCTACCAGGCTCGGCAGAGGCAGCGGCGATGGCTGTTGCTGCTGCTGCTGCTGCTGCTGCTGCAGCATCTGAACGAGCATGTTACCATTCTGAGGGCCACTCAGCCCGCTGATGCTAGGATTCCCCACCGAGGAGAGGTGGCTGGGAACCCAGCTCCCGAATCCAGAGGGGGACATGTCCTCGACGGCGATACCGGCTGGCTGGAAGTGCTTTGACATGCCGGACGGACACTTCATCAGAGGCTTGCCGAAGGTCACCTCTCGGTGGTCAACGGGAATGCACTTGGGACCTTGAAGGGACGGCTGGAGAATGACCGGCTGCTCCAAACCCGGCAGGACCATGCCAGTAGACGGTCGGCCGAGCAACTCCGCATGCAGGGCGGCAAGTGTCTGCGGGGGGATCTGACCGGAGGCAGCAAGAGACTGGATGTCGAGCCTGCTGAGAGGGCCCACTTTGGTCCCCGAGTCAACAGGCCCGCACATGGAGTTGTGGAGTGCACCCTGATGTTGGGCTACCCCACTAAGCCGTTTCAGATACAATCTGAATTTCTGCACATTTGAGAAGATTGAAAGCGGCAGAGATTAGATTCGGTGGGCAACAGGAGCCAGAGCCGGTCTACAGAGTGTCAGCTTCCTACGGATAACACGAAAACAAATGTGCGCAAGATTGGAATCAAAGTAGTTCATCTTCAAATATAGTTGAAACACAGACATGGCAGAATAATCAAAATCAAGCGTATAGGATATATATAGATAATTTCCATCAGTTTTCTGAACTCCGTGATGGATAAGGCATGTTGGCATAGGTGGCAACTAGCTGCATGGTATCTAATTAAGGCACGTCATCTTTAACCTGCTTAAGCAAGAATATTTTCCATTTGGGATAAGATGCTTCTTGGACATGAGTATTTTTGGGAAGGTACTCTTTCAGTGGACAACAATTCATCTGCTGTTATGGGGTGAAAATTTTGTACTAGAACAGAACCCTTCCTATAGCACAGTGAGCCTGTTACACAACGAAAGTCAGTATGCACCGTTCCAGAATCATCCATACATCTTTCTTCAACGAACCAGAAAATGCGCAGGGCATGTAAGAAATATGGTTAACCATATATGATAATGAAATAAAAGATCACAGCCATAGCGTAAGATCTGTAAAATAGAACAAACCTGTAAATGGCTTGCAACATTCTCTCTTGTTAGCCCCGGAACATTCATTAGTTCGAGAATTCTCTTGGGAACGGCCTCTGCAACCAAGCATATTCAAGACCCATTAACCGGGAGAATTCAAATTATGCATAGACTAAACTGGTCATGTTTTTTCAAACCCAGCAGGAGCAAGTTCTTACTGTCGATTCCGAGTTGATTTACAGCATTGACAAACTGCTGATGGAGCTCGACAGACCAAACCACACGGGGTTTTTTTGATGAGGAAGGGTCATCGTTTTCGAGTTCACCATCATCTTCCTCTTCTTTAGCGTCCCTTTTCTTCTTCTGAGATTTCCAATTACTATCATTTGCATCATTAACCGATGAAGTGTACTCAGCATCATCTGTCCCTCGTCTGTGTTTGTCAGAATCCTCTACACTACCTGATTGCTCGTGGTCTTTGTTTTCATTCCATTTCTTCCTAACTACATGTTGCCAGATGTTCTTTAATTCTTCAAAACGGACAGGCTTTATCAAGTAATCACATGCACCATGTTTGATCCCTTTCATTACCATTTCCGTTCTCTTGTCAGCAGACATCACTGGAATCCAGATAAACAACATTAAAATTCACATTGTATATGATGAAGAGCTTATAAAAGTTTACAGTGGAAAAGATAACCATAACTACTCACTTATGACAGGAAGATCCATTTCGAGACCAACAAGTTCCAGGAGTTTGAACCCATCCATATCAGGCATGTGAACATCACTAATTACCAAATCAAAACTACTCTTTCTCTCCCGAAGAATCGACAATGCACTTGTTGCACGAGGGCAGACGGTAACTGTAATCCATGAAAAACACCAAGTCAAAGGCATGTAATATGGAAAGCTTTGCACAGCAGATCAAACCTTTAGGCGAAGGTTTACTTGAAACAAGGCCTCAAAGGCCCTTTCAGATATTTAACAGTTTTTAATCCGCCATTGGTTATTTCAGGAAAAACTAAAATATCTGAATGGAGGATTCAATAAGGTAACTCCAACTGTAACAGATTGAATAACACTCACTTATCAAAGATATTGACGACTAACACTCACTTATTGAAGTTCGCATAAATGTTCCTTCTCGAAGACAAAACTGTGAAATTTAGTAACTCAAGGGGGACCACTTTTTTTGTACTCCTAGAAAACCACTTGGTGATCTTTTTAACGCTCATGGATTGTCAGCAGATAAGTGTGAACACCATAATTAAGATAGGTGTCCGCTATAGATAAATGAAGAACCAGCCCTGCTAGTGTGAACGCTATAGATAGGTGTCCGCTTGAGATATCAAACAGACTTTCGTGTGACGATGAAAAAAAAAAAACAGAAGGCAAATTTTCTGAACACCATAATTAAGTGTGAACACTTGAGACAATGCCTTCTAAGAAAAACAGGGCAAACAAGGAGCCATATTCCCGCTATAGAAAAACAGTTTCAGGCAGGAAGATTTCTTAGCCACCTCTACTACGTTTAAGTGCAAGATTGTAAATATCTCGGATCTTGGAAAGTTCAATGATGCTAAGGATCAGTTCCTATGAATAAATTCACCAAATTACCATATTGGAGAAAGCACTAAGAATGAAGTAGAAGATTCAGAAGCCACGTCAATAATGAAATGGCAAAAAAAATTGTGACACTATGTGCCACATGAGAATAAAAAGCAGAATTCTAAACTGCAAGAACTATCTAACTTATTTGAAGAATAATCCCTCAAAATTAAAGAGATACAATAGACACAGCACCAACATAGAAGTTATGACACCTAAAAGCCTTTTTTGATGGATAAATATAATATCATAATATACTGAAAATATTTACTTATGTCTACGTAAAATTAACTGTTATAAAATATCATTTTATGTGGTACAAATATCATTTCAAATAGACTAATTTTCTAAGCAGCTGATTGCAGTCATCTATTAAATACTATTTATAAATTATTTTTACATATTATAAATGATTAATAAATTTGTATCTACATATATGCAGATATATGTTTCATGTCCAACTGGATGCATTGCATGAACAGGAGAATGTGAGCCATACGTGCAAACACACTTATGGTTGGTCAGGAATTCCATCCATTAAATGATGGCCAAACACAAACATCATGTTCAGCGATTCATGCAGTGGCCGGAACTGATCCAGTTACAGATTGGTGACGTCTTTGAATGCGGTGTTTGATACAAAAAGGCAACCAGACTAGTAAAAGATTGGTCTATGAGGACCAACTAAGGGAAATTAACCACTGACCCTTCATCAATTCCGCATGCATTGAACCTCCTGCTTACTTACGAAGCTAATGGCATATTCTCACATGATCGTTACCCACTGTATGAACCCACCAACACATCATATGTAATTTTTAGGAGAAGGCAAACGTTACTAATGATACGTTTTTAGTGATATGCCTGAAGTCGCGAGTTATCCCTGAAGGTATCATGCAGGACAAAGAGAACACAATAAATCGGTCCTGGCAAGCTTACAAGAGAAACTTACCGACCAAACACCACTGGTGGGTTTGCGGGTGTTCTATGTGGCTATACATAATGTTGGATCCAAAAAAAATCGCCTTATCAGCAGCCTAAATAACCTTAAAAAGGCCATGTCAATATTCTATTTAAGGTTATATTACGTAAGTTGCACGCAATCTCATATTTTGCTATAATTTTTCATTTTATTTTAAAAAATTCAAACTGGAGTTGAAACGTTGATTTCCACCCAAATTTTGTCACTATCCACAAATTTTTTTGTCCTTATTTATCCATAGTCAAAAAAATTCTATCCACTTAATCAATGGCCCACTAAAAATAAAAATTGAGCCATGGATTTGAATAAGTAGTGATTCAAATGATCAATCAATCAATTAATGAAACGGAAAAACGTACTAGGACGAACCATAAGATGAGCGAACAAAGTTAGACACGATGGGGGGACTGATTATCACGACAACTACTACGAACTATACCAGCAGAAAAAAGTTAGACCAATTATAACGATTTTGTAAAATATGAGCCCATAGATCTCCATGTGGAGGGGCGTGGGTTGATATGAATCAGCAAATGAGTATTATATGGCTAGCTATTAGAAACTGCAGCACTCTTGGATTTAGAAGAATCTCTTATGCATCACTATTCATAATCTGCTTGACTATGTCCAACTAAGCTCCCACTAAAAGCAGAATGTATCGTATTTAAGTTTATTTTTCCAAACAGAAGATTGAGCAATAAAAAAAATCCTGAAAGAACAGGCCATTAGCAGGATCAGTGAGTTAAATACTAGACTAGATGGCTGACTATTTCACTGATTAAACACTCATTCATGTGAAGATAAGCCTCTCAAACAGTACCCAGTTGAAAAATAAGTTCAATCCACTAATCAGGTTAGACTTTCTTAGAAAAGCATCTTGGAACTCACCGTTATAGTCGCACTTCCGAAGCATCTGATCCAGTATCTTGAGGCATGTCATATCATCGTCCACAACCAGGACCCTGAGCCCGGCAGGAAACTGGTCGGGCACATCTTCATCAGTTTTGGACAGACCTAAGCCGCTTCCCGCGTTCAAGTTCGCCACCCCCAATTTCTGCATAGCGGCCATAACTAGAATCCTCCACTAACTCCAAACGTCGCCCAAACGTCTTTCACTGACCAGCACGATCATCCAGCTCCATCGTATCTCACCGCCGCTGCCTCATGCCAGAGCGCCCCGGATCGTGGTCTCTGTCATCCTCCAAACCCTTCACCCCCTTTCCCACCAGATCCGCAACAGCAGACCACCCTCGGACCGACAACGCCCTCGCCGGCAACTTTGGCGCCGCCTCGGGGATCCCTCACCGTCACACCTCCGCCCGATCTGTCCCCGATCCGCAAGGAAGCCGCGGGGTTCCTTTGATCCCTAGATCAACGGATGCGAAACACAAGGGAAGACATCCAAATCGAGGATGAGGTGGAGAGCCGGAGGTAAATAAACATACAGAAAGACGTAGACAGAGACTAGGGTGATGTAGAGAGAGATAGAGATAGAGAGATAGAGAGAGAGGAAGGGGGAGGAGAAGATTACAGGGAGGGAGGAGACCGGGAGAGAGAGGAAGACGACGAGACTGTGTGAAGGAGAACTGTTGCGTGCGGGCTCAGTCATATTTATACCCGCCCCGGCGGCAATAATTTGCGGGGAAAAAAGGCAAGCGAGAGAGGGGGGGAATGGTAGAAAATGGCAGGGCGTGGTGCTGGCCGAGGCCAGAGAAGCGAGGCGACGTACGGAAAGTTATGGGCCCCACTCCCGCCAGCGCGATAGAGAGAAACAAAGGGCATTGGTCTATAGACAGAGAGAGAGAGAGAGAGAGAGAGAGGGGGGCCGCATGTGGAGATCCCCCACTCCTCGCCGCCGCCGCTACAGCTTCCGGTCCCATTCCGCATATGGAAACCGGCGGGAGACCGGGAACAGCCCGTAGCCTATCATTTATTGATTCTGGTCAATGCCCGGCGCTAATTAATGACTTATTCCGCCATTTATTTTCTAGCCGATGATCCGACACCTAACAGCTCGCTGTTTTTACGAACTTGCCATATGCGTCCATAAACTTCGAGATTATTACCAAATGACGCTCTAAAAGTGGGAATTTCGAAATCAGCCCGTTTTACTAACGCCTAATACTTCCAAATACAGATCGATGTTCCAGATGCCACTAGAAACCGTGCCCATTCCACTTATAGCCGTAACAGCGAGCGTACGTACGTAAGTACGTACAGTCCGACGACGTGCATGGCACATGAATGACTGGCTGGCGTAGTGGGCGTTCGATCGAAAGACGTTGATTTGGAAAGAGTGATATGTATCCCATAATAATAATGCCCGCCGACTAGCGTATCTTCTATCATGGCCTGCCTTAGCGAAGAGCGATGGCCTGGAACTCCGCTGCATGGGCTTTAATTGGGACCCTTACCGTAATATCACCCTTTCCTCTCTCTCTCCCTCTCTCTCTAACCTACCCCGCTTACCCCACACTTCTTAAGGAATTTAGGGGTCAAATCAGGTATAAGTGTGTGAGTGTGTGCGAAAAAATTTATGTGAAGGGAGCTATGCCACGAACCTTGACCCAAACAAAATATATAATATATAATACAAACTTTGGAGAACCTTTCTAAAAATATATAATACAAAATAAATGCGGCCATTTTAGAAGAAGCTATTCTTAACATAGATGTTTTTGGTAAATAATCGCATCATAAATATACAATTTATTTAGAATAAATCAATTTAAAGTAAAATGTTGCATGTAAGATCGGGGCCCACCATTCTCCTACTTTGTCTTGAAAGATATTTTGAGAAACAAACTTGGAAGACCCAAAAGAAAGGAGTCAGTCTAGTCAAGGCTTGAAGATCTTCACTAGTTGACCATTGGATGAGTGGAAGGCGGGCAAGTTGATTGGGCCCACCTTGACCCAAACAAAGAGTAACATGCCCCAAGGCTATAGTTTAGGGTTAGGTTAGTTGAAGGCTCAGTGGCCATTCATGCTCTACATTGTTGTAATTTCATTTTCAAATCACTTTTTTTTTTCAACAAGGGTAAAATGACAAGTAAATGCTTTATCTTTTTATACCTAAACTTACCTTTAAACTAGCATAAATTAATTTTAAGCCCCAAAAAAATGCTTTTAATGAAGTAGAAATAATATTTATATTTTCTTATGTGAATAATATTAGATGTTTTTTCAATTTCATGTTGAATGAAATTTAGAATTCTTGATCCCACGAATCCAACAATTCTAAAATTCTTGTGTGTCCCGCCACCATAAATCACATATGATTCCAATGAATTATATGAGATGAAACTAATATCCAATATTTTTTCCCATTTATAAATAATTTTTAATTTTCAATAAAACGATTTACCAATAATTTTAGATGCTAGGAAGACCCAGAAACTCATTTTTACCTTTTGTTTTATTTTCTGAGGCCTTAAAATGTTGGAGACCGAGTCGGTCCTTGAAAATGTGGGACCCACGTGACCGGTTACCTCAGAATCACGAGGGAAGGCCTACGTTAGAGAAAATTACTTTTTTACCACATTAATTCTCATATCTGTCTGTCGACAGATTGAAAAGACATGACATGGCTGACGTACAACGAGAACGTCCAGTCCCCCTCTCTCTCTATCTCTCTCTTTCTCTCTCTCCCGGCGCTCCTGCAGAGCTCGAGACAGGGGAGGATGGACATCTTTTGTCGTCACCTGGAGGAGACCCTGTTTTAGCCGCATTCGTCTCCCCAATGCGCACATTCATGATGCACTTCGCTTCGCACGGAGTTAGGGGGGGGGGGGGGTTGGCTTCGCGCGGGAACAAATATCTAAGCGGGGAGGACGTGTGGCTACGCTGTCGTGCGCCGGATATTTCCCCTCGCATGCCGCACTTTGGAGAGGGTGGGCCCATCGCACGATATTTTCCCTCTGAACCGAAATATCGCATACGTGGCATCTGGAGGCCGGTCCACGACACCCCGTAGATATTTCTCGCTCGGAGCACCCCACTTCCCCTGTCCGAGATGGGGGGGAGGAAATGACTAGAAGGCCACCAAGAGGCAACACTAACGGAAAGGATGTCGGATCTCATTAAGAGTACGCATAAACATAGCGGGAATTTTTTTTCATCACGTCATAAATATTTCGATTTAATTTAAGACCGAATATCTGAAATTTGTGTCAAAAGAGTAATTATGACGACAGATACACGCACAAATTTCCGAGTCTGATAATTAAATTACTTATTTATGATAAATACGTTGTTGGAAGGTTAATGATATCGGTAATCTTGGTGTGTTGTTAAAGGAAAGGAGGGCGTGATACGGAGTCCGATATCAAGTACGGGTATTTTAGGGAAAACTCCGCCGGTCGGCCATCCTCGTGCTTGCCGGATATTGTCACCTATAAATTGCCCACATCGCGTCTTGTTCTAAATCTCTGAGAGAGAAGAGAGGGAGAGATGGGAGCAGAAGAGGAAGAACGGGTGATGGGGGTTAAGCGGCTGAAATGCTTGGATGGCAACGAGGAGTGGCAGCCACATCAGCGGCGATGGCGGAGGGAGGAGCGGGACGACGAGGAAGAGGAGGAGGAGGACCTGCCGGGGTTGTTCTATTACCCGCGGATGGCGACGTCGTTCGTCGTGTCGGACGCGCTGGAGCCGGATTTCCCCGTCATATACGTCAACACCGTCTTCGAGATCTACACGGGATATCGCGCAGACGAGGTGCTCGGCAGGAACTGGTGAGTGATGGGGGCAGATCACGGTAGAAATGGAGTGCGGACCGTTTTGGAGGTTTGGTTCCGGTGTCCACCGAGGGAATCCTCCCTATTGCTTTTTTTTGTGGGTTTAATTTCCATGCATTGCCGCTGTGTTCTTCATCCAGTCATCTTTCACGACCTTCGAGTCGTTCGTCATGCGGGAGAAATGAGGCGAATAGTCGATAAACTGAAGTTAAAACTAAATAATGTCGGCATCTTGTTGAGTGTGCCCCAAAGAGCTTTATGTCGTGATGCTAAGGGCTGCTTACCTCTGCTCTTCAATCAGCGAGGTTTCGTGAAAATTATCTTACGGTTTAAAGTGGAGAGTCACATATCTGTTTCGTTGTCCTCTCGTTCTATATGAAGTGAGTTGCCTTTGTAAATGATTTTCGTATTCTCATTTGTGACGTTCCATTATGTTGTTTAGCGCTTCCCCTTTGTCGTCACATTTTCTTGATCCCGCCTTTGCTAAATGAACAAAGGCAAATTAATGCAGCATCACATATAAATTTAAAGACTCCATCATACGAGCCATGAGCTTTTAACATATTTTCTTGAACCATTGCACAGCAATAAATTTTAAAACTCCAATTTTTGGTTTTTAATTGTATTTTTCTGCCTTGTGTCTACTGATTTATGGCGTATGGTTGGAAACTTTGGTGGTCCAAGCCTTTCAATGCGAGACTCATGTCCGTTAGTTTCCCTATGTATCAAGATGTCGTACTGGACATAGCTAGTATGGAAGAATCTTGTTTATGCTTTTGAATGAATTGTCTTTTTCAGTCTCTCGGGCAGATGTTTTCCAGAGTGCTCTTGCTTTCCATTTGAATTTCAGAGATCGATTAAACCAAGTTTTTGTGGTCTCTTATTATTGAATTTATTCCTTTCAGCCGATTCTTGCAATTTCGAGACCCTCACGCTCAGAGACGACACCCTTTGGTTGACCCTGTTGTTGTCTCAGAAATCCGCAGATGCCTAGAGGAAGGAATTGAATTCCAGGGTGAGCTTCTTAACTTTCGCAAGGATGGTGCTCCTTTGGTGAACAGGCTAAGACTGATGCCCATACACGGAGATGATGGTTTTGTTACACATGTTATTGGTGTTCAGCTCTTTTCTGAAGCAAACATAGACCTCAACAGGTTATCGTATCCTGTCTTCAAACAAACCACATATCAGAAAACTAATCACCTGGGTGAAGATTCTCCTATGCCAGATAAAAGCCATGTCAAACAACAACCAGACGTTTGTGGCATTCTTCAGCTCTCTGATGAAGTTTTGGCTCATAACATCTTGTCGTGCCTTTCACCTCGAGATGTTGCTTCTATTGGATCAGTCTGCACCAGACTAAGGAAATTGACAAAGAATGAGCATCTTAGGAAGATGGTTTGCCAAAATGCTTGGGGAAAAGAAGTGACTGGTAAATTAGAGCTGAGCACCAAGAGGCTAGGATGGGGCCGCCTAGCTAGAGAATTGACCACACTCGAGGCTGCTGCATGGAGAAAACTCACTGTTGGAGGCAGAATAGAACCTTCCCGTTGCAATTTCAGTGCATGTGCCGTTGGAAGTCGCTTGGTCCTCTTTGGAGGAGAAGGCATCAACATGCAACCCATGGATGATACATTCGTCCTGAATCTTGAAGCAGCAAGTCCAGAATGGCGTCGGGTGAAAGTTACTTCCTCCCCTCCTGGACGGTGGGGACACACTCTATCATGTCTGAATGGATCATGTCTAGTGGTGTTCGGGGGATGTGGGAGGCAGGGTCTGCTCAATGATGTCTTTGTATTGGATTTGGATGCACAGCACCCAACTTGGAAGGAAGTTGCAGGGGAAGATCCTCCTTCACCTAGGTCTTGGCATAGCTCATGTACAGTTGATGGTTCAAAGCTTGTAGTTTCCGGTGGATGTACAGATTCCGGTGTGCTTCTCAGTGATACTTTTCTGCTGGACCTTAACAAGGAGAAGCCGTCATGGAGGGAGATCCCAACGTCATGTACACCACCATCTAGACTGGGCCACACTCTTTCTGTTTATCAAAAGAGTAAAATATTGATGTTTGGAGGCCTGGCCAAGAGTGGGTCGCTCAGGCTAAGATCGTGTGATGCGTACACGATTGACATAGAAGAAGACAACCCCCAATGGAGACAACTGGGATGCAGTGGACTCCCAGGTGTTGGTCCTCCTCCAAGACTTGACCATGTTGCTGTCAGCTTGCCTTGTGGGAGGATCATTGTCTTCGGTGGGTCCATTGCTGGTCTCCACTCACCGTCTCAGCTCCATCTCTTGGACCCATGTGACATGAAACCAACGTGGAGGATCCTCAATGTCCCTGGGGAACCTCCTACGTTTGCCTGGGGTCACAGCACCTGTGTTGTTGGCGGCACAAGGGTTCTTGTTCTGGGAGGTCACACTGGGGAAGAGTGGCTTCTGAATGAGCTGCACGAGCTGTGCCTTGCGAGCAAACCAGAGTCACAGTCATAAAGTGGGTCGGTTCTCATCTCTGACGCAGGTTCTTCCTGTTTTTGCTCACTAGTAACAGAAATAAAACATGCAGTTATATTAAATCTCGTCCCTTTGGGGTTTTTGTTCCTCTGCTCTTGTCCTCCAGGTCCTTTCTTAGACAAGGTAATGAAATATTGTTGTTGCACCTCCGCTCTTGCCAGCACATTCTGTAACTGAAATTCTTTTACTGCTCACAATCCTGTGTCGGTGTGTACATGTAAATGTTGCCACTTTTATGTCATATAGAAAGTTGTCTACCGCAACTTATCGGGCTAGTTCTTTTGCTGAAGGTAATTAATGCCACAGTTTTGCCGAAGAAAGTAAATGCCAAGTTGAAGACGGAAGATACCAAGTAAGACAGCAATCAAGACAGCAGTCAATGGGTAACAGATCCTCTCCTCTAGCAAGATGGTGGACTATGAGGAAGAGTGGACGAAAGGAAAAGCTTTGAAAAGTAAGTCAACCAACTCCCTTGATTAACTCCGTCGGACAAGCTTGGCAGTCAACCTCGATCGTTATTGCCCTTTAAGACTTGTTGAAAGCATGCGCGGGCACTGTTGTGTATTTCATATCCTCTCTATTTTTGGATCACAGCTAGAATTACCTCCACCTCATACTGCCCGCGCAATAGCCTGAAAGAGAATCTTCCACCAATCGTAAAAGTTTCAAAGAGCCCATTTTTGTTCTGTAGAACCCACGGATCCCTGCTAACTCATGAGCCCACGGATCCATCAGCTGCCACTCAGCTTTTATTGGCCCAAATCATAGAAGAGAGGGTGAACTGGGTTGTGGCATACACTTTAGAATTGAAGTATTAGAACCCTTATTATTCAATATCAGACCTGGTTTTATGGCGGTTGTGCTGTTGAAGTCCATCTTGAGCACTCCCCGCACCCTGATCCTGCTCTTGCAGATGCTCCTCAGCCCACCGACGCACTTGCTCAATCCCCTCCACTGACCCATAATGTTGGTGGTCTTTCTTCTACCACCCCTCTTCACTCGAGCTGTATCAGCGGGGAAACCGGCCTCCCCACAATGTCCTGGCTGTCAGGTGAGAACCAGGGAGGAGGAGCGAGTTTAGAGTCTCTGACGAGGACTCCTCCTTGCCTTTGCTCATCGAAGAAGCGCACTAATGAATTTGTGCGAATATTCGCTTCAACACTCCTGTTGCCAGTGTTATTCTCTTCTCTTCTGTTGCCCCTGTTTCCTTTGTTTACTTTTGAACAATTATTAACGAATCAATAATAATCTGGAACGAATTCTAATTGTGGGAATGAGAATTTAGATAATTCTTGCTATGCTAATTAACCTCACCATTGGCAGTGAGGTTGTGAATCCACAAAAGGCCGAACTTTCTTCCCTTACTCTATGGAACAGAGCGATCTGAACGTGGGTATTGTGTGCACAAATGGAAATGAGGGCCCATTCCCTAGACTATGTCAACGCGAGGTCAACGCGAAACAGAGCTCAGGTAACTATGCCAATAGCATCACCAGCACCCACTGCAAACAGTTCTTCAACGTCACCAGTTGATTATTGGCATCCGATCACTGTCATGCCTTCTGAGGTTAGTAAACACTTGAAGCGTCTCAGGGGCAGTGCAGTATTTATCTTATTTTCTTATTGTTCGCCTTGGACAAAGCATTTGAAGCTTTAAACTAGCACATTTACTTACAGATAGAACATTGATAGTTTGGCATTTTTCTTCGTGATCACACAAGATCTGAAGTACGATTTGCTTTCCCCCGTCCAAGGTACGTATGAGCATTCAATTCGCTGGCATGTTTCCCATTTTTGTCACCAGCAGGGAGAACAATAGTCAACTTACCTCACCAGAAGTGGCAACATTTATTGCATACATTTACGGAAAGCTGGGACTGATAATTATCAGCATAAGATAATTAGCATGCCATTATCATTAATATATTTTAAAGATAAAATAAAGCTTAAATATTACATTGCATGTAGATACATAAATACACATAAAACTGTCTTCAGCCCACGGGTCTACAATCTATGATGGAAAGTTTCCGGTCAGCCAACCCTGATGTTTCGGCAGTTAAAATTAAAAAATATTTAACCACATAAAACTGATGCAGCCATGATGAGTGCTTAGAAGCCTGCTTTAGACCTGCTTGCTGCTTTAACCAACGTTTAACCACACCGGGACAGACAGGGAAACCAAATCAGGCCACTCCTCGTATAGCAGTCTGCCTGAGTTGACTTTGAGAAAATGTGACAGAACTTGTTATTAGCAGCCACGTGTTTTTCAATCTGATCCTAAGACACTGAGTTGACTGAATAATCTATTATTGTCGTGACTTATAAATACATCCAGAGGATATTCTCCAAGTCATGATCACATAGAAACTGATCGATGCTTACACTTGTTCCTTACACAGGTGGCGGAGAGACTTCAACAGAGAACTCCCCGCCCTCTTCCTGTGGAAGTCCATCGGGAGGGACCCTTGGGGACTACCTGCCAGCAGAAGGGAAGAACAGGACTGAGGATGAAGCCAATACATGGTAATGAAGTCCTATATCCCGTTGACGCAACTCAATTCCGGAAATTCGGAACGGGAAGAGGATACTAACTCCAGGTTTCTTGTTTAAGGGATCATCCGCCAAAAGGGCTTCACTACAATCTGAGCAGTCCTCCCATCATTTAGAAAAATCTCCTCTCCTTGGTCAAGAAGCCCCATGGTTTTGCAATGTCTGCCAAGGCAAGTAACAGCTAACTGCAACAATGCCAACAAGAGTGAGAAAAAAAAAAAGAGGCTGTTGAGCAAAGATCCTTCAAAAACCACCTTCAAAACACTTTCAACGTTGCCACTGAAATTGCCTAAACTTTGAAAAATCCCTGAAAATCTTTGCGGAAAAAACAAAGGTAACAAATGCTCGTTGTATATGGTGGATATGGAAAGAAGATCATACCTCTCTGGTTATGATCTATTCTTTCATCTGAAAACGTAATGACCTTAATCTTAACTTACCTTGTATAATAAATTTTATATTATATACCCATCAATAAACCAGGCTGGTTTATCTTTTTCAATCCATATATCTGGTTTATGAAATCGAACTAGATGACCGAAAATCGCTCTACCAGAACATGCCTGGACCGTATTTTCTACTGTTAGAAAGCAGGACAATGAAACACATCAGCTTTCTATAACTGGCATGAAGAATAGGGAAGGAAAGGGAAGGAGTATTATTGAGTACAAATGTTCGTGAAACAAAGGACAGATCGCACAGTTTTCACACTGTTCTCCATGGTTCTTCGTTCTGAGAGCGCAGATCTTCAGAGGGCAACCACTGGTATGATAGTCTTAACTAATCCTCGATTCTTGAAAGATTACCCAGAAATAATTTCAATACTTTGCTCATTCGAAGACCTCATCTAGGTGACTAACTCGAAACAGCTTAAATTCATGAAGCTCTGACCTAGTTAGATGAAAGTGTAGATGGTTTGATGTTTTCTCTAAACATTATGCAACCAAAGGCAGAGAGTTTTTAAGCTCAATAGAGGTGTTGAGTGGGTCAGACAACTGGCTAGCGTAAAGCATGACAGGGGGCTTTTTTTCTGAAAATTTTAGATGACAAAAAAAAAATAAAAAATCTTATGTTCTATCTAGTCAAAGATCTTGATCCCCCAGAGAGACCCCTTCCTTCAGTAGAAAATCCCCAAATTTTTCTGCAATCATGAGGCCATAACTCCATATTTCATTTCATTTTTCTCTTCTCTTACATAGGTCTCATGTTTCAATTATATACATAAGTTTCACCATATATGCCTGTTATGTACCCCATCTAGTGGAATAAGCTGGTAGCCACCATGTACCCTAAAAAATTATCGCCAAAAAGCAATGGACGTCAAGCATAATCGTTTCCTTAAAAAAGACCGAATATAAAGGGAAAAAAGCCTAAATATATGATTAATGACGTACATTAAAACATGCATGTGAAGACGAAAACTGATGGTTTTTGTGATTTATACAGCCACAAACATATTATGCTTCCAGAAAATAAGAGACGCCTATCCAAGGATGAGTTTTCTTACATGGAACAAACAGTCCGAGACTGATGAAGGAGCATGTACATCCGATCTGATGGTTTCTTGAAGGCCAATGAAACATGAAATTTCTCACCATAATGAGCAGTCCTCCCGATGTGATGGGCACAGATAACATATCCAATCATCGATTCCGACTTCAAAATTGCATTGGATAACAAACAGAAATGAGTGAACTATTAAGATCATGAATCACATCTGAGGCCTTTACGAGTCCCACATGCATTGGTTTATCTTATTATGTATAATGATCAGTCGTTGACTTCTTTAGGGACTCATCGATCAATGAAGTATAAGTGGCAAAATCAGCCACCATTCCCTTCTCATCACGCAGCTCCTTCAACTTTGCAGCATCTCCATGCCTGCAATGTCCTTCCAACAAAATATTGTAGGTCACATCATCTGGTACTACTCCTAGATTAAGCATAGCATTCAAGAGCATGTTCGCATTCTTCATCTGACCTAACTTGCAAAGCCCATTCATGATCACATTATACGTCACAACACCTGGTTTTTTACCTCTGCTCTGCATCTCTCTCAGAAGTTTGAAAGCCAGCTTTAGATCACCTCTCCTGCAAAGTCCATCAATGACCATGGTGTACATGGCTTCGTCTGGAACCATACCAGCTCTCATCATCTCATGCAGGGTTCTTACAGCATCTAGAGCTCGCCCTTCCCTACACAATCCAGAAATCAGTGCTGTATATGCCACATCATCGAGCTCCACCTTCTCCAGCATCATCTCTGTTCTTATCTCAGATGCTGCTTCCAAGTTTCCCTCTTTGCAGCACCCATCGATGAGTGTAGTATACGTAATCTTATCAGGCTTCAACCCCTTTCTCTTCATCTCTTCCACAATCCACTTTGCTTTCTGCATGTCCCCATATTTGCACAGCCCATTGACAAGAGCATTGTACGTGACCAAATCTGGCATCACACCCTTCTTCAACATCTCGTCGTAGATGTCCAGGGCTGTGTGAATCTTTCCATCTTTGCAATGCCCATCAATCAGTGTCGTGAACATGACATTGTTGGGGATCAGTCCTCTCGAACACATCTCCTTGAATGTGATGTTTGCGTCTTCCAGGCGTCTCCCTTTGCACAGCCCATTGATCAGCACGCTGTAGGTGAAGACATCAGGAGAGACTCCAGCTTCCTGCATCGCCCTCTTCAGCTCAAACCCTTCTTCTAGGTTTCCAGATTTGCAGTACCCATTGATCAGAGTGTTGAAGCTCACGACGGTCGGTTTCGCACCCTTGTGTGTGATTTCGTCAAAAATCAGATGCGCCTCCTTGACCTTCCCCTCCTTGCAGAAGGAATGCATCAGTATATTGAAGGTGTAAACGTTCGGGGGGAAGCCATAGCTAAGAATCTCAGAGTAGAATGCCCACGCAGCGGCTGGTGAGTTCGACTTTATCAGGATATCGAGGAGGCGGGCGCAGGCGCCCAGAGGAAGGCGGAACCGCGACTTTCTTATCAATCGGATGCACTGGATAGCATCGGAGACGTACTCGGAATCGGCATACGCGATCACCATGGCGTCGAAGATGGAGGAGTGCGGCGAGCAGTGGCGCGGCGCATCGGCGGAGGTCCGGAGGACCGCGGAAAAGAGGTGGTGCGCGGAGTTCTTACCTTTCCTGGAGACGACGGTGCGGAGGAGGTGGGTGGCATCGGAGACCATGCGGTGGCGGCAGAGGAAGTGCGCCATGGAGAGGTAAGTCTCGAGAGTGTGGCAGAAGAGCTCAGGGGGCCGCAGGGAGAGCCAGTGGAAGAAAGAGAGGAGCGACGGTGCGGGGAGAGGGGAAGGCTCGCCGGCGAGGAGGGAGACGAAGTGGGAGGGCGTGAAGGAAGGGAGGATCCGGATGAGTGGGGCGGAGGAGTCGAGGGTCTTCCCGGGGGTGGCGGTGTCCCGGATGGCCTCGGAGACGGTGGCCAGCACGGGGTCCAGGAGCTCCGCCGGCGGCGGCGGGGAAAACCAGGCGACGGTGGAGAAGCGGAGGGAGGCGGAGCAGCGACTCCGCCGTCTAGCCGCCGCCCTCATCGACGCCCTTCCGACGAGCTCCAATCCCCAGAACAGACAAGGCCGATTTCCCCCACCGCTCCTGAATTTATGCTCATTTACGGAGCAAGAAAAACCGAAAAATAGAGAGAGAAACTCTCTCTCTCTCTATGAGCCATTTTCCACAGAAGAGCACGAGCATAGGAAATGAGAGGCTTAGGAATCCTCGCTCTACATTAGATAGGCATCATCTCAGTTCAGTGTTCTTGATTCAGAGCGAGGATCAGGAGCAGAATGAATACTTTCCAGGGATCCGAAGCTCGCAGGGAGAAATAGAGGATCTTCCCCTCGACGAAAACCAGAGGACCCTCGAGAGTTCAAACCCTAGTGGTTGGCGCACATAATCTGTGCAAAAGATGGATGAGGCAAGCTTGCTGGCTGATTCTTGGCTGATCTGAACCGGCGTGCTTGCTGATATCTGGAGCTGCACAGGCTCATCCTCTCTCTCTCTCTCTCTCTCTCTCTCTCTCTCTGGATTACTGATCTTTCCTTTTCTGCAGATGACTGGGGCTCCTCGGCTGAGCAGATCGGAGGACGCGGCCTTGCCAGGGTCAAGGACCCACAGGGAACCCTGGCTGATCTTGCCCTGGCGACCGGAGAGAGCGCGAGAAGGATCGATCCTTACGGGTGAGACGGCCCCGTTTTGCCTCGACATCCGCTCGGTTTTCCTCCCTCCTTCCGCGGAAAAATGTGGTCGTGATGGATGCCATTCAAGCACCGGGGTAGCTGCAGGTGCTCTGGTTCGCCGTTCGCTCGTGCCGGATCAGAAGATCCTTGAGATGGGATGTGAATCTGGCGTGTAGGGCATGGCCAGCCTGCATCAGAAATGAATCAAGCAGATTTACTGAACCTCTGGCGCTGAATAAACAATAAATATGGCTACCATCAGAGCTCTTTCATGGTATATGCGAACCACATAACCTACATAAGGGATGGTGAACATAGATTGTCGGGTCAACGTTCTAGCACCCCCGGTTGACTTATCCTCTTCCTGGCTAAAACAGTTGACCTCTTTCACCTATTGGAGTCTCCCCAGTGCCTCTAATAACACAAATCTTCCCACAAGATTGGAAACAGCCCTTGGGAGGATTATATCAGCTTCTGTTATAAGGAATGAAAATTTCAGTGGGAGGGATGAACCTGCATCAGGGATGATGAACATGGATTATGTCGGGTCAACGTTCTAGCACCCCGGTTAACTTATCCTCTTCCTGGCTACCATGCTGCAGCCAAAACAGTTGACTTTTCTCACCTATTGGAGTCCCCAGTGGCTAGAAGAAGATCCCGTCTGATAACAAAAATCTACCACAAGATTGAAAACAGCCCTAGGGAGGATTATGGCAACTTCTGCAATGGGGAATGAAAATTTCAAGAGAGAGGGTCTTGGATAGTCTAGAGCTATTGTATTACACCATTGGAAGCATTTGAGAAAGCCGATTCAAGGCCATCTGAGGAAGAACATCTGGAGAGCGGGGATGATCACCAACCTTCTTCTTAGTGAACCTCTCCAAAGAATATTTATGGGAATCAAGTTCTTATTTCTACTCTGCGACTGATACATCGCTCCCTGAAAGCATTCAGAGAATGCTGTAGAAATTTCGTCAAGAGGAATTTAGCAAGGGGACCTGAGTTGTAAGACACGAATCTTTCTTGAATTGGAATATCTCAATACCATATCTGGTCCAATTCATGATCATTTCATAGCTTAGCCATCGATGCAAGTGGAAAAATCTATGCAAGATAATATATTTGAAATTATTATTATTAATAATAATAATAAAGAAAAACAAGGGTCAAGATGAAGACCTTATAAGCAAGTAAATGGGCAATAGGAAGCCCCTGGTTTCCATTCTCTGATAGTAGAGATAAGTCCCCTATTAGATCCAGAACCTTGTGACGGCATGGCTCGTCTTGAAAACGTAGTGGTGGATTTATCCAACCTGCAGAAGAGCTGCACAAGGAATAGTGGGTTATAATGCTGTAAATAATCGGGTCAGCCAGATAATCAATCATTGGCTTTGTTTTACATGTGCAACAAAGAGAAACGTCTCAAGAAACTAAAAAAGGAACTATTCCCCATCACAAAATGAAGATCAAAAGGTCATTTCCCTAGAAGGGCTGCCAAATGGTGAACAGCGAGTGAAACTGCTGTCCACGATCTGATAAAGAATCCAATGGATGTTAGCATTCCATTTCCAAGAATAATAATAATAATAAAAAAAAGTCAATGGTGATCAGGAGAAAATCTATGCAATTCCACTGGAAGATTATCCAAGTATCAGAGCAGACTCAGAGGAACTGCGAATAAGCTGCTTTTGGTATTATTCAGATCGAGAGACAGGACAACAACTCATACTGAACTAATTAGGGGACTATTTTCTCTGAACATTCAACGATTATACCCTAAGATACAGCTAGTAAACTTTATTAATGTAAATTAAACCATAAATACCAAGCACAGCGTAATTAATGCAGAAAAGGATGGAACTGTAGCCGCAAATACAGTGTTCATAGAAACCATATAAAAGTTGGTCAAATATTCCCATCACCAAATGGACCACAAAAGATGATATTAAATAAAGTTCGTACAAGTCTGAGTCAAATCAGATAGACATGAGTGTCAAATAACTCTGCTAATACACCGATGGCATCAGACTCAGCATTTCCATTATTCCTAAGATTTTTATTTTTTGCGTGAGATTTTTTTGATAAAGGATATTTTCCCACATACTTTCTATGAAGATTGGTGGGTGATAACAACAATTTTGTAGATGGGGACTAAAAATAAGTCATTTAACTGAAAACACATCCATAAGACATGCAATGTGGAAAATATGGGAACCATACATGAATCTCACACATGCCCACTCTAGAATACACAGTGTGAACACCAACAACCATCAGCAACCTTAAAGCTACCATGACCCACGTTCAGGAGTGCCATCGTAACAAAAATGAAACGAAAGAACACAAGCCCCTAGAAATTTGTATAAATAAGACTAATCAAAGCCAACAACATGACTCGTCATCCAATAGTAGGAGTTGGTCATCCAATACGCCTTGAGAAATTTTCCCTGAAAGGTCCTATGTACTGGTGGCACGGAGCAGCCCACGATTGAAGCATTGTCATCGGCCTCTGACCACAATGGCTACACACCTTTGAATTCATCTGTGTTGGGGCAACAACCATTGAAACGCCAAATAACAATCTCATCTGAGGTTTTTCTTCTTCTATTGGCACAGCCAACATTTGAAACATTACTAGCGTCTACTGGTAAATAATGACCATGACTGGTACCCAATTGGCAGACTCTAGCCGATTTAAAACTCCCTTCCACATTTAATTTAAATAAAAATATTGATCGCATAAGGGAGGTAAACCGATTTAAAAAGTTTAATCATAATCCCATTAGTCTTTCATTTTGGTTGATTCAGGCATTATTACAAACAGACAATAGTTTATCAATAATGTTCTCTGGTCATAACATTAATGGGAGCTTTCTTGGTTAAGAAAAAAAGAGTTCCTTGGTTTTGAAAACAAGCAAAATAGAACATTTAACCCTTGACATTTCTCACTTCATTAGCTTTAAGGACAGGAGAAAGATGCATAAGAATATGAAAAAGAGTGAAATAAATCCGATCAATTGGCTTCTTCTTTTTTGGCGAACTGGATGTACATTGGTGGAATCAACCAATCGAGGTGAGAATTTGCTATCATTAGATTCGTAGATTTGCTGTCATTAGGTTGCTATCATCAGGTTGATAATTTGCTATCATTGGTTTCTTACTGTTGAGTCTCTTACCCCCTGATGTAAAGTGAATTTTGAAAGGAAAAAATGCTTTAAATTAATCTCTACATTATAAAACTTAAGCACATGCTTATTATTTAATGCATTGACCCAGCCCCTAACTCCTTTTGTAGAAAAAAAAACATAAATACACAGTTCAACTTAGTGACTGACAACTTTAGGAGAAGACAAAAGATCCAAAAAACCCACAGATAGGGATGTGCACAGAATACTCTGAAATGAACTGTGCCTGCAAAACTCTCTACTTGTGTCATTGTAGAGCACAAAGTGTTGATATTACTCTGCATGAACTCGAAAAGAAAATGAAATTCAAGAAAATTCGTATTAGTTTTGAAGCTGCTTGAGGTTTTTCAACCACCAGATGACCCTCGTTTTAGGGGCCATAAAAAACGTGGGATGAAAAACATAAATCGAGTTCACAATTGTTTCACATGCTCAAGTTTCTTCTAAAATCAAGTTGAAGCTCAAGCTTTTCTGACGTGACCATTCTCTTCAGGATTCAGTAAATCTTGAATTGGATTGCCAAACAGATTTGTATCTCGCTTTAGTTTTACTTCAATTTTTTTTGCATAAGAGCAGCTTCGCTCTTGAGCAAAACTTGGCTCGGAAAGGAAGATGTGGTAAGGACCTCCAGGAAGATAGAGCTACGATGACTTAGAGAGGTTTGAGGAAAGTAATCCAGACGTTGGATGAATACAATGTCTCCTGTATCATCATGATGTTGCTTCGCCTTCTGGTGTATTTTTCTATCGGTGTTATTTAACAATTGAGCTTTTCGCTCCCCCTCTAATTATGTAACTCCCATCAAGACTTCACTCATAGAGTTTTACAAATTTCGTGAATAATATCGCATAAGGCCTCCATTTCTACCTCAAAGCTTTGCGCGTTAATTTTGGAAATATTCAAGAACATCTTACCAAGTTCTAATCCATCATCTGGCTCCACTGTTTCCAGCGTTTCATGACATCCATAAATTTCTACCATAACAGAGCAAAACATCAAGTTTAATAACCTAATGTCAACAGAATTCAGAAGACATTGCCATCATTCTGAGAAATGTGACATAAAGAACTATCCAAGGAACTTACATTTAATAGAAAGGAAAATGTTGGCAAGGCACGATATTCGGTGAAACATTGATTAATGAACTACACTCTGTAATTCTACCTGCAAACTATGGCATTGTCAATTGATCCCCCTTGAATAAGTCCAACATCCCGCAAGCTTCCTACCTGAAAACAGCCCAAAGTCAAAAGACATTTCGGATATGATCAAATCCATTTGATAAAGAGAGAAATGCATTCTCTCAAACTTGCACGCAAATAATAGTTCATACAATACAGAATATGCAAAGGAAATATTACAAGATGAAGCAATAGGCATCACAAGCAAAGTATGTTGAAGCATAAAAAATTAATTCTTTGCATGTTTGGCGTCCACCACTTTTGTACTGCAAAACACATATTATAACTAAGTGATGAGGGGGAAAAATGATGGAACTCTTCAATACAATGAGGAAAAGACATTTCTCGATGAGATGAAGCATAAAAGGTGTGCAGAACCTCTCCCAAAGGAGGAAAACACAACAAATGACTTTTAATGACCAAGACCACAAAAGATTTATTCCTTGTACAACAATGCATGAGATGGTTTGTCAATGTAGTCTTTAAAAAATAGCTCTAGTAATTTTTCCAAGGATTAATCCAATGACAATTGTAAGAGTCTTCTCAGAAAGATAACAAGGCTTCTCTGGCAGTCCATTTTCTTACAACCCACGCAACAAGTCAGTAACTGAAGAATGTATTGTCTCCCAGCATGTATCATGAGGATAACAGTGGTACATGACTGAGACGACTAAGTAGCAGGGCTCCTGCTGGCTAGACAGGAAAAAACCACAGAATGAGATAGAAGAGGGTGGTCTGGTGTGAGGTAAAAGGTAATTTCAGCCACCAGTGGAACCTGCTGTTTCTCAGTTAAATATGGATCACTGTTCACTCCCAATGCACAACATTTTCAGAGAACCATGAAACAAGGCATAGGAAATGACAATAAAAAAATAACCTTTTGAAGGTGAAAATAGTGTGAATTGGACATGATATATAAGCAATTGCCCCATGTATACAAATTCTAGGACAGCGTTATTGATTGGAACTATAAATATCTATCCAGAAAGAAAAAATGTGGAATCCATGCCAGTCAGGTGTCATCAATGCTGCTTATGGGCCATTGATATCACCTAACCAGGAAATGATTAACACATGGACTACGACATAAGATAAAAAAATGAAATCATGCATTACAACCTAACAGATGTAGTTGAGAAAAAAAAAGCTCCCATCCAGACGAAACCAACAGATGAATTTATCAATGAATTTATGAAAAATAATTAAAAAATACCAACCTTCATGGCCTCAACCAGTCATGAAGACTGAGTCACCACTTTTTCAAAAAAGAGAAAAAAAAGTAACAGGGTTGACTGACGTTCAAAAACCAGGCTCAGAATTCAAAGGCTTAAAAGCATGCCCGAGGTGAAGAATTGAAAGAGTCCTTCAGACAAAATGAGAAGCCATGTGGGAAGCAAAATAGGTGCTTACGCTCTTCCAGAAAGTGGAAGAAAAACAACATGAGGCCCCATTCCACAGAGGCCGCATTTTCACTGGCTCAAGGGGTCTCCCTTAGTAGCTTTATAAATTGAGCTCTCCCTCCTACAATGGGGCTCAGAAAATTTAAGAGGAGAGACAATTTGAAGAGATGAAAAGAGATTTATCATAGAAGAAAATTCATTAGATGATTTCACCATGGTTTAGATACCATTGAGTTAATCCAACGCAGGAAAATACCCACTAGGCAAGTTTAACAGAGGATCAAACACTCGTTGGATCAAATATCCACTGAACAGATCCAACCTTTGGGCCAAGGGTCTATTGGGCATCTGTGACACCTGAACCAAATATCCATCGGATGATTCCAAAAGTTCAGCCAAACATTCATTGGAGAGGATCCAAAGGTAGACGATACTTACTGGATAAATGAAAGTGGGCATAGATTTTGTGAGTAAATTCAAAATGGAAGTACAATCTGTTGGACAAATTGGATACTATGAAACGAGTTGAAGATCATTGTTAAATGAGATTAGTTCATTAACCAAGTGGGCCTCAATCTATTTCATGCATACAACTTGTTGTTATATTTATTACCTATATCATTTATAATAAAAGTGAAACGATGTATAAATCTAACTCATTCTTCATATGCATTATTTTATTCATTACAAGATATTAGCACAACACTTTAAAAAATAATAATGATATCAAAATCATAATATACAATATTCTTAAGCATGTTAAGCTTCATAGTTCGCACTATAGAATATAAAGATAACAATAAAAAATAATTTCTTTTTCTAGAGTATGATGTGTGGAGTATGCCTTCTTTGAAGACTATAGTTAACAGCCAATGGTCAAAAATACCTAAATGATCTTCAAATCAACCAAACACCCCAAGTTAGAGAAAAAATGAAACATAAAAATTTGAACAGTAAAAAATCATGTTACAACATGAATAGTGTTATAAGATAAACTAGTAAATTCCCTTTCAGACCCTAACAGATGAATCAGTAGTAGGTACAACATCCATCGAATAATCATCAAATGCCCATGTATACACAATTTAACACTTATTTCATATGTCACATTGGGTAAAAATAGTACAACGGCAAAGCATGCAAATTGAGTCACTTATTGAATAGTCTTAGGAAGTAACCGGGTCTACCTCTTCCAAAATACAAAATGTTCTTGCTGGAGCTATTTCCTGTGAGTAAATGTGCTGATCTGTGGGAAAAAAAGATAACCATTGGCAGCCAATAGCAGGGGCCTGCAACCAGAAACACATTTGATTCACCATGGTAAATTGTCAGGACAGCACAATTTGATTGATACAAGAAATGACAGAAAGTTCTGGAAAAATTACTAAAGATGGTGAGTGGCATCAACTGCATAAGAGGTGGTCCCAAGTACCCAACCAAGTTGTCAATAAATTGAGAAAAGCTAGTCAAAAGTTTGATGGCAATAGTCAAGCAAGCAAATTGATCAATGTTTTGCATCGCAAAAACATAGATCATCTAGTGCCCATGTCTAGGATGACCCTAAAATCTCGCACAAAGATGCCCTAAAGCCAAATATTTCAATAGGAAAAAAATTATCATGAGATCTACACCAAAACTCTCTCTCCTCTAATGTGCTAGCTTTCAGCATCCTTACGAGATGACAAAAATGAAAAACATCTCTATCAAGAAGTGTTGTGTGGAAAAAACAGCAATCTCACTTCCATAGAGGTGGGAGCGAATTCGTCATTACAGCCTCTTATTCCACATCAGTCAAGAAGTGATCACAAAACATTCTACAGAAACATATCCCCACACCATTTTTGTTTCCACACTTTCGTCCCTTTGCATTCCCAGAACAACACCTATAACCTGTTAACTTTGTTCTGCACATCCCCAAATAACGTCTATGAACATTCCAAATATTCACTCCTGGTGTCCTTCCCTTGCCCCCATGTTTCTCCTTCAAATAAGTCATTACAACATGGCACCCTTTCTGGTAGAAGTAAAAAATCGCACAACATTAACTTCAATAGTAGATCCCTTTCACCATTGTTTCTCTTTATAAATCACTCTTCCATTGCATGGGAGATGTTGCAGTGGTATGACATCCCACATCAATTCTCTCCAACTGTGCTTCGTTGCCTCCACCGTTTCTCACTATAAATTACTCTCAACTAAATGCATAACATTCTCATATGCATCAAACGTGAGACATTTGTGGTATAACGCCCATGGTAGTTCTTTCCAATCGTACTTCCCTTTCCTCGTCGTTTATTCTTAAAAATAGCCCTTCACCAGACTTCATGGCATCCTAGCTATTAACAATTACCACAATAAAAATCTCCTCTCAAATGTAATTTACCTAAGACTTTGTTTGTGTTTTAAGAAGATACAAACATAATGTAGAATGAGATCATTCACCTTTCACAGAATAGAGGCTTAAACTTCCATCAGAGCGATTTTCTCCCGAGAATTAAAATGTTCCAATCACTAGGCATCACGATGCTTTTTGGTAATAAATGCACCGTCACATATTTCTACTTGAACTAGATCCATATAGAGGAAAACAGCACAACCCTTGTGCATATGCCTTCCTTTAGGCAGCCAAAGCATTATCAGGTGACTGCACAGTTAATGTGACTCATCCTCTGTAAAGAATAAAGACATCATTTCTATATTATTATTATCAAGATAAAGATACTAGCAATCAGGCTACACATCATGCAATGCAGTACGACAAAGGAAACTAAAAAAGGTTAATTCTCTATGTGTAACTGTATCACATAGAGGTAATAAACCCTTCAATAAATCAATTACGATTATTTCTCAGCAACAGCAGGTTAAGCACTTATATCAAAGGTTCTGACAGGAATAGGACTGTTTCATATGCTTTAGAATGATATGATACCTTCCCATTGTCAAATAGTGGGCAGTGGTGGAGTACTTTCATAAAAATTTTAATGGTTGACTGACAAGTAGGGAAGACTCCTATCAAGTAGGTGAGAGCATTAACTAGGAGAGATGAACTTGAAATTTAAACCATTGTGATAAAATCTTCCGCAACAGAAGACAAATCAGATTTACGAAGGTTCAGATTGAAATTCATCTGAATCCAAAATGCTCTGGCAAGGCAGAAAAGGAAAAAACAACAGCAAAACAAAAGATTTGTATTTAAAGATATAGCCCATTCTATAGGATCATGATACACAAAAATCAGTCTATTTTGAATTGAAATGAATAGAGGTAACAGTATACAAGATAACTGCGAAAAGCCTGCACACTTTTTAAAAAGGAGATGGGCAAACCTGTGAAAAATTAATGCCATATGTCATTTGTATCTTTGGATTAGGGAAGGCAGCAACAAAAGAATCATCCCTCCAAACATACAACGGTTCATGGACTACAGGTGCCAGTTTAGCAATCTCTATGCCAGTGTTGTCTTTTGCAGAACAAAGGCCAGCTTCTTCTATTGCTTCCACCCATTCCCTGGATGATCCATCCAATATTGGAACCTGTTAGCCAATAATGAATGCATCTTAGTATTTTCCATTCATGAGAGCAACCAAAACATGCCGACTCAAGGGCTTCCCAAGACTAGTACTAGTACAAACTAGGGAATGATACAGTAAGTCATAGAAAACCAACGTCTTGTATGGATCCTTAAGTTATTTTATGGACCGACGATGGGCCACATCTATGGATTTACTGCTTCAGGCAACATATTGACATATTCCTATTGTTGGACGAGACATAGCCTACGTAGTTAACTTGAAAAAAGATTACTGGGTTTCTTTTAAAAATCATACATTCACACATGCTTATAAGAGAGACAGAAGAAGGGTGATAATTGCGTGTCTTTAGAGATAATGAGAGAGAAAGGGAAGACAAAGATATTGATACATAAAGACGTATGGATGCAACACGAAAAATCTAATATCATGACAATGGTTTACATCACGGATCACAGCTAGGATTTAATTCTATATGAGCTATCTCTCTTTGGAGAGATAGCATACGTAATACGTCGTAGGTTTTGTTATCACGGTTTACTTTTACAGTGCATAGCAATCTTCTTGCAGATGATCAAAAAACGGGCCGATGAAAAATATTCTGCCAGCTTAAGTGAGTCAATTCTGAGTCCAAGCGCTCGTTCTAAAGCAGTCATTCTCAAATATATTCCAAATGAAGTTAGAATGAATAAATCTTCATATAGAAGAAGAGACGAGAAAGTAAAAAACACCTCATTTCCCCCTTCAACTTCGACACGGACGTTGTCGACGCCAGAGCCCTCGAGTGCCGACAGCAGGTGCTCCACAGTACCAATTATAGCAGATCCCCTGCGTAGCGTCGTACAAAGTTGTGACTCGACAACGTGGTCAATGGTAGCGGGAATCGTCACCCAGTCGCCCGCCAGGGCGAAGTACCTTCCTTCCCCCGCCCTGGCCGGAAGTAACCTAACGGTGGCGGAGACTCCCGAGTGGAGCCCCGTGCCCGACCGCTCCACAACAGAAGCGAGGGTCTGCTGCGGCTTCCCAGTCTGGCATCGAGATAAGCAACCATTGTGAGCTACAAAACAACCGCGCAGTCGAGAACTGCGAGATGGTGAGATATCCAGACAATGGAGGAGAAGAAAAATCACCATCTCCCACGAAACAGGCGAAGAAGCCAGGGCCCTGAATGTTCGGACCGAGGCGGGCCAGCTCCGGCGAGCCATCACGCCGCGGAGGAACATCGTGACAGCCGCAGTGTCCTTCACTTTTCCTCATTATATATGCTGTGCCATATTATCATATACACCCTCGCTGGATTAAAAGTTGCATATTTACCATTCTCACAATTACCGGTCTTGCCTCGTCTCGTTATATCTAGAAAATTGTTCTGCATAATTGCATAAAAATTGTCTCATACCCAAACATAATTTTTTTTGAATTTTTTTTGATATTTTTTATTTATTGCATTTTGGGGCACTTGATAATTTCAAAAGTCAATTAAAAAATTATTACCCTGAATCCCTTCGTTGAGAAAAGCCTAAAAAGGAAACGTTCGCCATTAATTAATATCATAGTGAGCCAAACAGCTAATTAAATAATTTATTATTTCTTTTTAAATAGAAGTTAGCACCATTTTTACCGGTTAGTGGCGTGGAGCTGATACAATAGGTTATGAGCTAAGGCTCATTTAGTTAATCATAGAATACTGCTTCATAAGATTTTAATAAAAGTTGAGGTCCAATAAAAGCTTGACATGTGTACTATGGATAATTAATTTATAATTCAATCGATAATTAGCGTCGAATATTATTATAATAATAATTATTATTAATGCATAAGGTTTTAGAGACCAGATAGTGGGGCCGTCTTCTGGGAAGCCGTTGACCGGATGGATCCCGTTTACCCTGGCTGACGGTGTCGGGTGAGTCGCGAAATTGCGGCTCCCCCGCTCTGTAGAGGTTCTCCGTCTCCGTGCTATTTTTTTATAGCCCTCGCGGCCACCCCAGCGCGGCAACTCTCTGTACCCTGCATAAACCCCGTCGTCTGGTCGGGGAGAAGACGCCCTCCTAGGGTTTCGCTGGCTCCCTCTCTCTCGCGACTGGAGAGAGGGGAATGGCCTGGGAGGACGAGGTAGTGGGCCCCGACGTGGCGTCTGCTGGCCTGCATATCAGCGAGCGCATTGGCAGGGACGTCGCCGCGCAGTTCGACTTGGAGGAGGCCCTTGAGGCCTCCAGATACGCAAGCCACCCCTACTCTTCCCACCCCAAAGAGGTGCGCATTCTGATCCTTCGGTGTCTAGGGTTCGTCACATCGATGTCCTGGGAAGGAAATCCGAAATTACCGGGGTTTGCCACGAGCTGGGCTGGGTCTTTGAAGATTGCATTGTTCGTTCTTGGGTTTATTTATATGTTCCCACTGTTCTCCATGACAGTGGCCTCCGCTGTACGAAGTGGTAGACAATCGAGAGTTGCCCCCTGTTCTCATAGGGAGGTATAACGCTGCTGGCGGCGAGGGAACCGCTCTGTGCGGAATATTTCCAGAGATCCGGCGGGCATGGGCTTCTGTCGACAACTCCCTTTTCTTATGGCGTTTCGATAAGTGGTGACTTCTCTGGCTGATTGAGAATTGATTTTTAGTTTATATATAATGAGACCTGCTATTGATCCCTTTATCCTCGTGCTCTGTGTTCTGTGTTGTTTGTTTCAATTGATTTATGCAAGGAGTTTTGGTTGTAGGTTGCACTTTTGATTGTTATACAACCCCATTGTAAACTAAAACATGTTCTAGGAGAGCCTGGGAAGAATCTCCCTCTGCTGCCAACTGCGCTCGGGTACATGGTTGTCTGTGTACTTGAAAAGCAATCAGAGATTTGGGCCTCATTGTTGTTTGTGAATCATATGATCCATTTACGTCGTGTGAAGCGTAATTAACTTCAACTCTCCGCTATGTAAGTTTTGAAATGCACGCTCTGTGCTACGTTCCCTGTAGAAACTTGGTTAGGGGGTCATTCCGTGCAGAAAGTTGTTGAGTTCTTATTCTTTGAACTTTGTTGAACCATACATGCAACTTGGTTGGAGCTTGCCTTTTTTCTACCCAGAATGTTGCCCTAGAAAATAATTCCGTCATAATAGTGTTCGCAGAAGGTTCTATTTTTCTGCCTAAATGAGGAGAAATGCTGTACAGCATAACAGAGATACAATGGTGGGGTATGTGAGAATTGAAGAGTTTCTCAGGGCAGAAGCTAATGAAACGGGCGACAAAGAATTAAACTCCTCTTTTAAACTGTTGCTCCATCCTTGACAAGGATGGTAAGCACTAATCTGTCAAATTAAAAAAAATTGAAGGGTGATGTGTATGGGGATGTGATAATAATTCGAAACGGCTATATTAGCTAAGAGGAGGCGGGTGGAACATGAGTAGTAAGAAGAGGAAGAGTAGACATGTACAACAATGTCCAGAAATCAGTGATTTGATGCTTGAGCTTTGTTCTGCGACAGAAAGAACTAATAGAACATTGGAAAATACTTGGGTAGAATTTGAAGATTAGATTAGTGGAATTTTCCTCATTCGAGGGCTACAGGAGTAATTTCTTGCAACAATGGAGACAAATCATAAGGAACGAGTCGAGACATTCGCTATTTAGATGAAAGATAAATGAGGATTTATGCAATAGAGATGTTTCAGTTTGGTTATCCATCCCATTGTGGAGGTAGAAGCGCTTGTGGACTAGTTCCTGTAGCAGAAAGAAAAAGAAAAGAAAGGCTCAGATAGAACCTTAGAAAATTGATTAAGCGATATTCAATTTGAAAGGACTGCCCACGGTCCCTTGTTCGCTTACAGGGAGCACACTTCAATCTGAATTGTTCGGCGTCTGGTTTTTAGAGGTGTAAAGGGTGGTAAATGAGTAGACTTTCTTGGATGCAACAACAGTCAGGACCATTTTGGAGGTTCTATATCTTATTTTTGTGTGCCAAAATATGGTGTGGACATTGCTAATTATCACGAGAACAACAATGAACCTTATCATAATGCCAAAACGATTTCCCAAAATTGTTGATATAGAAATGAAGAATGGTGGTGTGAATATCACTGCATACCGAAGATATGACATTTAGGAATTGTCGCAAGATGTGAAATTCTTAGTTTTGTCGAGTTGGTGGAATCATATGACGGTATTTTGTCTTGAGCTAGATATTTTTCTTCAGTTATTTTGTGGTAAGAAATAACCAAGTGGAATTTGTGATGCAACTAAAAGATGTCTAATTGAGGTTCGCTACTGATCAGTTTTGAGGGGTCAGATAATATAACCACTGTCAGTCATCAACAGTTTGGAATACAAGCCACCATGCTTTGTGGTGGCTTTGAGTACCTTATTTAGGGAACATAAGCCACCCTTCCAAATCAACAGTTGTGCAAATCTCCACTTCAATTCACCAAGGCATCTAAAAAACTCTTTCTCATTTTTTCATTTAACTTTATTCTCCTTGATTGGGCACAATTCATCAGATTTTCATCTCTCAAAGGTAGATTGGTTAACTACCTCCCGAGTTCTTTTTGGGTTTATAGCTTTTCAATTTTGGTAAGACTTGGGCTTCTTTGTCAGCCTTTATTGGTAATTTTTTCTTTTTTAATGCGTTTTTTACCTCATGTTGTTTTTAGTCCTGTATTTTTAATTTTAATGCGTAATGTGTTTCTACCACCTTTTTATCACACAGTTGTCTTCCCGCGTACTTCATTGCTTCTCGCTATTGTATTCTGGTTCCTATCCTTGCGGTTTTATGCCAATCCAGAATATTTTCGGTCAATCTTCTGATATGATATTCTTATGCAAGACTGAAGGACGTTTCACAAGGATGCCTTTATAGCGTCTAAAAGTTATTCTACTACTCCTTGTTGTGCGGAAAAACTTATTTGGCTTTCATTTGATCCATAGTGTGTCCAAATGTAGAGAGAGAGAGAGAGAGAGAGAGAGAGAGAGAGAGAGAGAGAGAGAGAGAGAGCGAAACTCCATCTAGTGAGCAGGTCGCACATCTATATATGCTTGTCTTTCAGTCTTTGGCTTCCAAAGACTAATGTCCAGTTCTGCTTCCAACTTTCCATTTCTCCCCCTTAAAAGTTGAAAGGTTTTTACCAATGCTTGGAGACTAATAGTCACATGTGAAACAAGGACAAAAAGCTTTCATAACTATTACATCGCACTCTTTGGCTGCCCTAAAAAGTAGCTAAACTCACATGATGTTCAAAACTCTAATGATTATATCTCCATCTTCATTCATCACAAGCTGGCTATTTCTCTATATGCTAGTTAGAATTCTGGTATGATCGCCACCAATTGGACACTCTCGTCTTTAGCTACATGATTCTAGTAGCTCCCCTGTCTTCTTACAAATCTTTCTCAACTCCCAGTTGCCTTTGCGTCACATGCACATTTACTGCAAGTTTCTTATATTTATGATACATTCTTCAAATTTTTCCCATCAAGTCGATATGTGGAAGACTTTGATACAAGAAAACAACTTCATCTATTAGGAAGTGCTAACTACTGAAGATCTATTTGATCCAATGCTAATTGCACCTCTTAGCCTATTGGCACCTGCATATATCAATGTTAATGTATTCCTTTAAATGGATTGAGTTGGCTTCTGTTTAGTAATAGATCTCTGTGGGCGATGTTCCATAATTGTTCCAAGCCGTTTTAGTTGTGCCATGATTTGCAGAATAAGTTAGTTGAAGTTGGGGAAGTGCATCCAGATCACGATGTAGTCTAGAGTTTTTTTTTCTCATGATTATCGTTCTTTGCTAAGCATCTCTGGATACTCGTCTCTATATCAATGGCTTGCCCATTTTATTTTCAGTTGTTTTTTATTTCTAATGCAGCCTCTTTTTCTAATATTTAGGGATGGCCAGTGCCCTGAGTATAGTGGTGAGGAACAGGCAATATGTGCTGTTGGTCTTGTTAGATCTAAACCCGGAGTTTTTGTTGAAGGAATACAGTATCTTTTGGTCTTAGCAACTCCCGTTGAGGTTTGAATTTTCTGTTTCCTAATTCACATTTTCTTCCTTTAACTAATTTTTTTTTCTTTGCAAATATAAGGTTGCTTTTACTCTTTCTCAGAGACTACTTTTCTTTTGTTTAAAAGGAGCACATCATATTTGTAAAACTTAATGATAATACTCTTTGATCTCATTGCAACCTGCTAAAGAATTTTGTAGGGGTGTAGTTTCCTCTTCATCTGCTTTTTTCTGCCTTATTTTTTCTTAAAAATGCACGTCTATGCGAGTTTGCGTGATGATTCCATAAGAGTCTTAATTTTTAATTATATCATTTTACCGAACTTATAATATTTATTGGCCAGAGAATGCATGATTAATGCTGCTGTCTCTAATCTTGTTAGGTTCACAGAGTAATGTTGAGGTATTTTGGGATAAATAATGAGCCTTTCTCCTTGTTATTTTGACATTCATTTTAGTTCGTTGGAGACACTAAGAAACCATTAATCAGCAATCGTCAAGTTTGAGCACTGAACCTTTTTTTCACAAGCTATCCCAGTTTCTGTTGACTTCCATTTTAGTGTCCGAAGAACTTGGCTTGTCTGTGGATCCAGGTGCAACACGTTAGTGTAAAGAAATTTTATTTTTGTACATATTTCTTTCCTGCCTGTAATCTGGTCCACATGCTGCTTAGTTGGTGATAGCTTTCCTCTTGTTACACATACTGCAGTGCTGGTCATTAAAAAATAATTATTCTCCTTTGAAGTAGCATTTTTGTTGAATATTGTACGAGGACAGAGCATTGTAACGGTTGCATGTTCAAGAATTGTCTGGCTGACAACATGCTGAAAACTATGGCACATTCTTGAGTGGTTTAGACAAAGAACGTGTAATTTACCTTTGCAGTGTCTAAATTTCTTTGACTCATGATATATATGAGAATTTTGTTGTACATATGACGCTTACATGCATTGGGTTTATGATTGTTTGTATAGTTATGGTTCAATTCTATGTACACTTCCGTGCTCAAAAGCTTTCTTTTGATTTCTCACTATACAAAGGTCAAAATGTTTTGTTTGTCCTCATTTCATATGTTTCTATCATTGTTCATTATATTTTGATGATTTCGATCTTACATATGTTCTACTCTATATGTGATTTCTACTTCAAACTATTTCTTTTTAGTGTTTTTCCGTTATAGCACCAGTGCATTCTTCTATTCAGCTAACTTATTGCTCCTTTTGATGCTAGCTGATTCTTATTGGAGTATGCTGCTCAGGAAGGGGTGATGGAATAGATCCGTATGCAGATATTTCCTTGCAACCCTTACCTGAGTACACAATCTCGTCAGATGGAGTTACTATGACTTGCATTACATGTACAGATAAGGGGCAGATTTTCCTGGCTGGTCGTGATGGGCACATCTATGAAATGCTTTATACATCTGGCTCTGGCTGGCATAAGCGGTGCCGTAAAGTGTGTCTTACAGCAGGCTTGAGTAGTCTTCTTTCGAGGTATGTTCTCAGACCATGGTGAAATTTCTATAAGATAAGTTTTAAGGTTTGAATTTATAAGAACTAAGTTGGATGTTATTTTTTGTTCAGGTGGGTTTTGCCTAATGCTCTTAAATTTGGATCTGTTGATCCTATTATTGATATGGTTGTCGATAATGAGAGGCACATTCTGTATGCACGAACTGAAGACATGAAGCTCCAGGTTTATGATCTTGGTGAACATGGTGATGCTCCTCTCCGGAAAATCGCTGAAGAAAAAAACTTAATTGATCCCCGTGACACACAATATAGTGTTAGAAGATCCAACGGATCAAGAACAGCTTCTCGAGCACCAAAACCATCTATAGCTTGCATTTCCCCTTTATCTATGTTGGAATCAAGATGTCTACACCTTGTTGCTGTTTTATCTGATGGCAGAAGATTGTATCTTTCAACCTCGTCATCTAGTGGAAGTGGCATCTCTGTTGGTGGTTTCACTGGAATTAGTAGTATTAGTCACAGGCCGCGGTATTTGAAGGTTGTTGCATCTAGGCCTTCACCTCCTGTGGGGGTTGGAAGTGGGATTACATTTGGAGCTGTATCATTAGCTGGTCGCACCCAGACTGACGATCTGACCTTGAAGGTGGATACTGCTTTTTATTCATCAGGAACGTTGTTGCTTTCTGATTCTTCACTGTCGACAATGTCATCTCTCCTGATTGTGTACAGGGATTTGAGCATGCAATCCACTTCCTCAGGTAACCTTGGAATGACAAGAAGTACTCGAGCACTGCGGGAAATAGTATCATCCTTACCTGTCGAAGGTCGAATGCTTTTTGTGGCAGATGTCTTACCCCAGCCTGATACTGCAGCTACTATTCAGTCATTGTATTTGGATGTAGAACCTTGTGCTTTTGAAGGTTCTAGAGAATCGAGTGAAAAAGCATCAGCAAAGCTGTGGGCTCGAGGAGACCTGCCAAGTCAACATATCTTACCAAGGAGAAGGATTGTTGTGTTCACTACCACGGGTATGACAGAAATTGCTCTGAATAGGCCTGTGGATATTCTTAGAAAGTTGCTAGAGTCTCATTCACCAAGGTCATTATTGGAGGATTTTTTTAATCGATTTGGTGCTGCAGAGGCTGCTGCAATGTGCTTATTGCTTGCAGCAAAGTTAATTTCCGCTGAGGAAAATTTAATTAGCAACTCAGTTGCAGACAAGGCTGCAGAAGCATTTGAAGATCCAAGGATTGTTGGAATGCCCCAACTTGACAGCAGTAGTGCTTTGTCAAACACAAGAACACCACCTGGAGGTTTCAGCATGGGGCAGGTTGTCCAAGAAGCTGAACCTGTCTTTTCTGGTGCACATGAAGGGCTTTGTTTGTGCTCGTCTAGGTTGCTTTATCCCATATGGGAGTTTCCCATTGTAATTATTCAGGGGAAAGTTGGTTCTGACTCTCGGTCTGAAGGTGTAATTGTTTGTAGACTGTCAGCTGAAGCAATGCAGGTGCTTGAAAGAAAGATTCGTTCTTTAGAGATGTTTCTAAGATCCAGAAGAAATCAGAGAAGGGGGCTCTATGGGTATGTCGCTGGCCTTGGAGATCGTTCTGGTTCTATTCTCTATGGAACTGGTTCAGATTCGTCAGTTGGCCAAATTAAGGCCAGAAGTTTGTTTAACTCACCTTCTCAAAATGCTGATTCACCTGAGGCGATGCATTCTAGTAAAAGGCAAAGACTCCCCTATACTCCCACGGAGTTGGCTGCGATGGAGGTAAATTCCGTAGTGTACAAATTATCCATAGATGTTATACCTTGAACTTAGCTTTTGGCCACCTCACAGGTTAGGGCAATGGAATGCCTTAGGAGGCTGCTTCGAAGATCAAGTGAAGCTCTTTTCTTGCTTCAAGTTATTTCGCAGCATCATATTACCCGCTTGATCCAGTCTTTGGATACTGACCTCCATCAAAAACTTGTTCAGTTAACATTCCACCAACTAGTCTGTTCTGAGGAAGGCGACCATATCGCAATGAGGCTTATTTCTGGTCTAATGGAGGTAGCTTTAACTTTTCTGTCGCGCAATGCATCACTATTGGTACAGTTATGGGCTGTTGTGTATACCTTTAAATGACAATTGTGTTTGATGCCTTTATTCTTGGGAAAGCTTAGATGGTCTTACTCATGTTGCATACTTCAACCAGCAAGGGGAAGATGATATTGTATAATGTAGTGTATACATTTTATTTGTTGCCTTGATTTTCCATTTCTTTTTCTGGAAATTGGGATCAACAATAGGGTACTCGATGTTCAAACATATGTGCATACAATCTTATTTCTTTTCTTTCTGGTTGCAGTACTATATTGGGCCAGATGGCAGGGGCACAGTAGACGAAATTAGCGGAAAACTCCGTGATGGATGTCCGAGCTACTTCAATGAGTCTGATTACAAGTATTTCTTAGCTGTGGAATGCCTTGAGAAGGCTTCTGTTAGCACTAAGGCTGAGGACAGGGAAAATCTTGCTAAAGATGCTTTGAATCTTTTGACCAAAATTCCAGAGTCTGCAGATTTGAGAACTGTGTGCAAACGGTTTGAAGATTTGAGGTATCCTGCTTGATTTAGTGTCTTGTATCTGTCACAATAACTTTCGTTTTTTATTTTTTAATTAATTTGGTTATTCCCTGCTCCATCTTGTGGCAAAATCATGATGAGATGATTTGTGCAATGTAGATTTTATGAAGCTGTTGTACGGCTGCCCTTGCAAAAAGCTCAAGTTCTTGACCCTAATTTCGATGCGCTGAATGAAAAGATTGATGCAGGACGTCGGGAAAATGCTTTATCTCTTCGCTGCCAGTGCTATGAGATAGTAACTGGTGCTCTTCATTTTCTCAAAGGTGAATCTGGGCTGCAGGTACCGCAGAGGGAATTTAGTACCTCTGGAAAAATATCTAATGGACGATCGGTGCTTGATCAGGCCTCTCGAGACAGATACATACTGCAGATTGTACAGTTAAGCATTCAATGGCCTGATAGAGTATTTCATGAGTATTTGTATGATAAAATGATTGATCTAGGACTAGAAAGTGAGCTGTTGGAGTATGGAGGTCCTGATTTGGTTCCTTTCCTTCAAAGTGCTGGGCGTGAGCATTCGAAAGAGGTTTGTGCTGCATGTTCTTTCTTCCTATTGCTTTCTTCATAATCTTCTAGAACTGAACGATAACCCTGACTGGTTTGCCTGTGAAATCTTATTTTGCTTGAATATTGAGACTGATAAAGAAGACATGCACCCCTCTGGATGCTAAAATGTTACTATCAATTTTAATAGTTTCGTCTTTCATATCTCACATTTTGTAACTTATTTCACATTCACAAACATCCCCTGGCTTTAGTTGATACTTCAGCTCGATGATAACATCTTGCTAACTTATTTCACACGACCAGTTTGTGAAAAGAGGTTAGAAGACTGAGTGGCCGTTGTGATATCATTCCATATTTCCATTTGTTTTGTGTCTGCCATCTTAGATAACGCTTTCAATTAATATTTAGTCTTTTTTGTGTGGTCACAGTCACAGTAATGGCAATGACTTATTGGTTACTTGCAGGCTTCAATTTCTGGAAAAAGTGTGAAATACCTTGACCTTTTGGCGAAGTATTATGTGTTGAAGCGTCAGCATCTTCTTGCTGCGCATGTCCTGTATAGGCTAGCTGAGAGGCGATGTGTGGATCCCGCTGCTGGGCCAACTCTGGAACAAAGGTATGATTTGAAGCAACTTTTCTTGTATTTGTGCATTGTTTTAATAGTCATTATATTCATTTTAATGATGTTTGTGCTCCATTTCACTTCTTTTCTTGTGCAAGCCAGACAGCAGTATCTCAGCAGTGCACTTCTGCAGGCGAAGAGTTCTAGCAGCGCCATGTCAGCACTTCCTACGCGAAATGCTTCTGATGATGTGTTATTGGAAATGCTTGAAGGAAAGCTTGCGGTTCTTCGATTTCAGATGAAAATCAAGGAGGAGCTGGATACTATAGCATCAAGGTCGGAAGAAAGGTCCACCACACCAGAATCCCATTCAAGGGATCCATTTCCACAAGGCACCTTAGTGGCCGATGGGAATGCTGCAAAAGCTGCAAGAGACAAGTCCCAGGAGTTGGCTTTAGATTTGAAAAGTATTACTCAACTATACAACGAGTATGCTGTTCCATTTCAGCTGTGGGAGGTATGTTTCTGAATGGACGTTTTTGATCTCTCGTTTATATGATTTTTTGGACCGGTAGTGGGAGGCCATCAAAAATCTCATAAACTTGTGTCCTTTCATTGAATTTACATGAAGTATCACGATCATCATTCCTCCCATTGGTGCTTTCATTCAAAAAGAAATTTCTTACTGATCTTTGGTTCAGAGAATAGATGAAGAAAAATGTATAGAAGTATTCTGATAATTGAATAACTCTTTTATTAAAGATGTCTGTCTTAGTTAAAAGATGTTTGCTAATCTTCCTCATATCATAACTGTATAGGATGGAATTTTCCAGCTCAAAAGTTGGTGGTAACAAAGCTCTGTTGATCGAGCTTTGCCTGAACCGTCTGATTTGTTCTAGTTGAATTTTTAATGCCATTAAGTTCTAGCTTGCCACTAGAAGGCGTGAGAAGAATCCAGATTGCTCGGTGAAAAGTTGGGTCCTTGGGGATCGACTTCAGTCACATTAAGATTTTGCTTGACTGTAGTTTGAAGGAATTTTAGCCGATAATTACGTTTTTTCTATGAAGATGGAAGATAGACGAACATGCCACCTCCACATCCAGTTCTTAATGCTTGTTCCCCGCTTCTCCTCATTTGTTTCTTTCCCACTTCCCAAGCCATTGTGTTAACCATGACATGGCATGACACGGCATTGCCAGTCATTCTCTGGTGGTCTCAAACTCCTTGCAGTAGTGCGTTGTTTGCCTTCGAAGTTGTGAAAGTCGGAAGGGATTGGGGAAGTCAGTTTATGGTTTAAATAAGGATATTTATGAGAAAATTCATTATTGAGTATCCTGTTGTAATTAGAAGAATACGAATTTGTCTTTCAGATTTATAAAAATCATTTAAAAATCTTTTGTAGATCTCTTTGTATGAGTCAGGTATGACCTTTTTTCCAATCTGATTCAGTTTTCTGAAACGACATCAAGCAATTTTGGTGAGTCAATGCCAGCTTGATTCACAGACGGTTAAATGTTGCAGATTATGTTCAATATTTCGTTTTTATTGGTGAATAGTAATGGAAATGTAAAGAAGCTTAGGACGGTGATGCGATCCTAATAGAAGATTCGTCTGTCTTCCTCTGTATACAGAGGTTTTTATGTTCAGAGATGCATAAAACGTTACTACTTATATTGTCTCTTGATATCGTATTTAAAAACATAAGTTAAGCTATGGCGTCTCTGAAAAAATATGGGAATGTCAATTTTGCTTTAATTCCCAATGTTTTCTTTAGTCTTCATTGATTCATTCAGATTTACAGATTCAATTACGTATTCACCTTCTATACTGTTTGGCCAAAGATTTTTAGGTTTTCCCCCTACAATCTTTGCTTCTTTGGAGCTTAGAGGTCATTTTTAGAATTTATCTCATATTCATGTTTTGTTTTGTCACAGTTAACATTTATCATGCGGCTAAAGGTTTTCTTCATTTAATACCTTTTTCAGATATGCCTGGAAATGCTGAACTTTGCTAGATATTCAGGCGATGCTGATAGTCAAATTGTCAGAGAAACATGGGCTAGACTTCTTGATCAAGCTCTTTCAAGAGGTGGTGTTGCAGAAGCATGTGCTGTACTAAAGAGGGTTGGATCCATTCTTTATCCCGGTGATGGGGCTTCGATTCCTTTAGATACATTATGTCTTCATCTGGAGAAAGCAGCTCTGGTAAAATATTTTACCCATATTTTCTTATTGGCTGTTATCTTTTTGGGATATAGCTGGTCCCTGTGTTGGTTGAATATACCTTTTGGTATCTGTAATAATTTTTTCTTTGATTTCTCTGGATCAACGCAAAATACTCTGTTTCTTAATTTTTTTTTAATAAGGACTTTGTTTTAATCTCCATTTATCCGATTATAAAGGGATGTCTTGCCTGAGTCGTGATGATGAAGTGTACTTTGCTGGTGTGAACATGTGGAATCAGATCGATGCTGTATATCATTTATTCTTTACTCTTATATTACTTGATAGGGTTATTCCAAATGATTTTTCGTTTATTTTCCTTTCATGAACTCGACTTTTATGCTATCATTGTGTGATCCGTGTTTCCATTTCTTTCATTGGTATACTTTGCTCTTCCCGAATTATCAGTATATTAGCATTTGGTGTCTGCTAGAAAGATAACCTCCCCTCTTCTAAGGAATGGCATCAGTCTGGTTGCTAGCTGGAAAAAATGTCTAGTACTTGGGGTTGAGTTATATAATGCCTTCAAATTGGTTTAATGTTGAAGAGACAAACGTAAGATTGTGGAACATGCACGGACCATAATTATTGTGTATTTATTTTTCTGTTTCCTCTTTTAATGCAATTGGTTCTCATAATGTCTTTTTTAAAGATACCACAACATTCCAATTCTGGGCAGCAGAAAAAATGAAAAATCTTAGTTTAAGGTATGATGTGGATTTCTATACCAAAAACATTCACTTTCGTACAGTAATGGCAGTTTTAGAAGATTTTTTTTAATTATTTCAAAATTTTCTACTAGTCTCTACAGATAAATATATTTGCATATTTATTTATATCATGGTAAGATTTATTTGTCCTGCAGGAGCGATCAACGTCTGGACTTGAGCTTGTTGGTGATGACGATGTGGCAAGATCTCTTCTGGCTGCCTGCAAGGGTGCGGCTGAGCTTGTATTGAACATTTATGATCAATTACTGTCTAATGGCACAATTGTGCCTTCGCCAAACCTGAGACTGCGGCTTCTGAGATCTGTCCTGGCGGTCCTCCGTGAGTGGGCAATGTCTGGGGTAGCTCAAAAAATGGGCACGGCTATGTCTGGGCCTTCACTTGTTCTTGGGAGAGCCGGAGCAGTATCATTGGAGCAAACAACAATTAGTCAGGGGATTCGGGATAAAATTATCAGTGCAGCAAACAGGTTAGTAACCAACTAATGATATGTCATGAATTTCAGAAATTATACTGCCCAGTCTTTTCATTTAATCCTTCGTTTTTACAATTTAAGAAGGTTACTACTCTTCATTTGCATGCAATCACTTGCTAGTTGTGTCTTCTTTCTATAGTTAGTCAATAAGAACATTGGATTTAGTACTTTTCTTCCCTTTCATCTCTGTCATCTTCTGTTGGTCAGAAACCGCGCCATCTCAGGCTTTCCTTTTACGGTTCCTTTGATGAACCATATAGATAAGGACCCTGTTCAGGACCTCATCTTTTCTACGGCAGCCTTCCACCCTTTCTTCCGTTTGTGGTACCTCTACCTCAGCTGCCGAACTTAACCCTATCATATTGTAGAGAGTCCACACAGTCTGTATAGTGAAGCCCTGTTGTGGGAAAAGTGTGGAGTCTTTGAGCTTTCCTTCATTCGATACTGTGAATTCCTTTGCTTCTTCTTCATGTTTATCTTATCTTTGCTTCCAGGTACATGACCGAGGTGCGCCGGCTTGCTCTGCCCCAGAGCCAGACTGAGGCTGTTGGTCGAGGTTTCCGAGAACTGGAAGAGAGAGTATCGAGCCCATTTCACTTTTGAACCTGTTGCAGCAGCCTGTTATTTGTTCAGTCCATCTCTGTAAATCTGTTGCTGCGTGCCATACGAGGGTTGCTTGCGTCCATTGACTCGGCTAAGATCGGCAAAGAGACTGTGACATATACTACTGAGAGCCCTGCTGTTTCTGTACTCGCACTAACTCGATCTGACATATAATACTGCTGCCTGGTTGCATCCACGCGCCTTTCCTTTTCATGATTATATGAGCTTCTAGTAGACGTCTAGCTCTGCGTCTCTCTGCGGTTCTTGTCCCTCTATTCTTTTGGTCTAAACAATACCTAGTCTGGTGGGTCTAAATCTTGGTGAAATCATCCGATACATCACGTAAATTTATGGTGTTAGCCTACCATGAATAATCATATTTGAGAAGTAAAATAAATACTGGTACTACAAAACAAGATAGAATAAATAAATATGCTATGAAAATTAAACTAATTCTTTAGTGTGTGTGAGTAGGCATTAAAATGGCTACCGACAAGCTCTTTCCAAAAGTTTATGTCCACATTGATAAACGAATTAACTTGATCATTAATTTTACTGATAACTTGCATCAAATTTTAATCTTTAAAGAATTTATGGAAGAAACTAAGAGTTTCAATCTTCTTCATTCAAGGCCTTGGTATCATCTCAAAGAAGCACCATTATAAAGTTTGTAGAATTTTGATTTGTCATTTTCTGCTTCCACTGATTTACGTGGAAAGTGGTGTCACTCAAAATAGTATTTTGGACACAATGGCCTTTCATAGGGATATAAATCTAGAAATGCTGGGCTATTATGAAGAGCTTACTTTGTTGCATCTGAAAGGTGTGCAAGTTGATTCTTGATACTTTATGTATTTACACTTCAAGGGTCATTAAACCTAAGAGACAATCCATTTGGGAGGAAAATACTATAGTGTGAATTAGTAGAAAAAAATTAATGACATTATTTTCTTAGATAGCAAGTCAAATATGTTGGTCAAAAAGTAGGCCAAATAGGGAGGAATGAGAGGGATGGTGAATTGATTAATGCCTTATAAGGCACACTCACCTCTTTGTTACTTGCATCACCCTTTTACAAATACTCAACCTAAGTGCCTTTACATGTAGGAAAAGGGAGTAAGGATGATAGGCGTGTTTGAACATTAAATGAATAATATTTTGATGATGACAAATAAACTAAATACTTACTACATGATCAAATTACATGTGTTAATAGTACTTGAAAATGGAAAATATTCTTGTATAAATGGGCATGAATTTAATTTTTTTAAAGAAGAATTCAAAAGTCAAATATCAAAATAGAAATTCAAAGAATACATAAGCCTCATAATATTGAATTTCATGATATGCTGGATTTTCCCGCTCAAATTCTTAGTTGCATTTTTTTGTGAAAATTACTTGTGTTTGTGTAAGTTATCATTGCCATAAAATAATCATTATCACATTGGAATAAACAAGAATTATTGAAGAAAAATGAGATTATAAAAGCCTATGTTGTCTACTAGGTAATCATGAGGTTGATATATATATATATATATATATATATATATATATATATATCAACATAGCTCATATGTCCCTAACTAGGTAGAAGGAAAATAAGACAATATACTGAGAAACAAATATCAAGTTCTACATTATTTAATGATCAAACTTTGATGACACATCTGTAAAATAAGTGTTCATAGCTAAATGATTAGTCACCAAGGTTTGTCATTTCTATATGCCCAAGTGATCAGTTTATAACTTTTAACTATAAAAAAGAAGTTGTTCGTAGCTATTTTATTACCTACTCACACAATAAATAATTAGTTTATTTTGTGTAGCATATTTTTTGATTTTCACTAATTTTTTTATGTAACATTGATATTTATTTCCTTTTTCATCATTTTGACCCTTGCTCATGCATGATTGGAAAACACCTTCGCCTCAAAGATTGAGCCAAAATTGGAACATTCAGTCCAAATTCCTTAAGGTGTTATCAAAATGACTAGTACACACTAGCATTATAATCTAACACAACCTCACCATATGTCTATTTTCTTCACATAAAAAAATCTAATTGTAAAACTAACAAGTTGAAGAAGAACTCTAATAACCAAACCTTGGATGATGATATTTCCAATGAATGTCAATGTGGCTCCTAGTGCACCCATATTACAAGATATGGCGAGCTAAGTGAGGTCTTTTTAATGTACCCATCAAGCCATCAAGATATATAACGTTAGTATGTCTTTTTGATTTCAACCTAGATCCATCTCCATCATCTCAAAATTTTAGTAAAACTTCACAAGTTAGTGGCTCTCTCGTTTAAGAGAGAGTATTATCACCATGAAAGTGTTTGATATGAGATGTATGCATAGTTATACACACTACTCAAAACCTACTGATCATTTAATTCCTTCTGGCTACCATGATTTGCAAAGTTGGTTTACAAAACAGGAGGGCAGTAGCACAAGGCCCCCAAGAAAAGGAGCAAAGTGGGAAATGAATTCTGAACCCTTCAACTATTTCAATCTCTTAAATGGATATAAAGCACAAGGAAAATAATACAGATGATCTAGAATAGAAACTTAAACCCACTCCAACAAATTGCAGCTTATAGCCTTAAAAAAACCATTCATTTTGTGCTTGAAAAACATTTTATGTAGTATTTTGACGAAATTATCACTCTATTGAGTACCAGAAGAACTTTTCTGAGACTTACTAGAAACATAATGTACCCGTCACAATAGATGGTCTCATATTTCTTGATGCTCAATGACTTAGAACAGTGAAGTAGAATAAACTTCCCCATGACTAAAGCGACACAACTCAAAGATGTTCTGGGGTATGTCTACAAGAGCCTATGATTGGTCTAATATTGAGGTACTGTGCCAAAAAATTTAAAATTTACACCCTTCACCCTAGAAGGAAACTTCACTGTAATACATTTGTGTTAATTAAACTAGATTCTAATGGAGAAAATCACCTAAAGGAGTACAATGAAAAACCTCCAACTAGGAAGCAATCATCTAACTCCAATTCTTGGACCCTATGTGGTGGGAAAAATAGAGAACAGAGATCAAAAGGGAAGAAAAAACAGACAATGTAACTATATCAGAGCAAGACCTTCTCCCAGTCGGCGCAGTAGCGGGGTTTCTAGGCTGACGGTGAGAGAGGAGAGGGGCCCTGCGGGTGGGCCGGAAGAGAATGGACTTATTTGAGCAACCCGGTTGGGTTTTTGCGGTCAGCATAATTTCCAGCCTAAACCTAAGCGTTGGTGCCTGGGCCAAAACCCCAATGGTCGGTATGCTCGGTGTGCCTTTAATTCCATGGTATCCGGAAAGCTGGGGTGGGGAGAGAGAGAGAGAGAGAGAGGGGGGGGGAGGGAGGGAGAGGCTGGGATACGATGTAGCCGTCGATTCGGGGCAGCTCTGCCAGAAGGTTCCTCGCCCACAAATCCCTCACGTCCGCCGTCCGTAGTTTCCCTATGGCTACTCAGACTCTAGCGCGCAGTAACTGGTTGGCAACCTCCGGTCATTGGCGTGACATTCATATTTCGGGTAAAAATGGATATCGTGCAAGGCGGCAGCTCATACAGTCCCCATGTATGGTAGGCTCATCACGCTTTCACCCTCTACCTGCCACTGTTTCTCCCTCTCTCTCTCTCTCTCTCTCTCTCTCCCAGCTTTACGATGAGATGACCCCTAACCTTTCACTTGGTGGCCAGTTCCATCTCCTTTTTCTCTCTTTTTCGGGGGTTGTATACCCGTAACTTCAAGTACCTCAATAGCTTCTGCGAAGGTTTTCACCTCGGGGTGGCCTGGCTGTCGGAGTCACTCGGCCTGGAGATGGAGGGCGGCGCGGTGCACCAAGCCGGCGTCGACAGCCCGCTCACGACAAAGGTTTTCGACTGCGCGGGCAACATAGGACGTCCACGGCACCCTACACAGGATCGAGGAGGTGAGGGAGGTGTGGGGGTGGCATATGGGGGCGAAGCTGCCCCATAGACGCTCTCGCCTCCGCCCCTTACGCGGCGGTGGACACGGGTTCCCCGTGTTACTCCACCAGACTGCACTGTTCGCGTCCCCTCGTGAGCGCTACAAGACGTCAGGAGCAATGTGAACAGTCTGAAGATCATCGAACTCGGGTTCTCCTTCTTCGGCGACGGCGGGCGGCGCCGGACCTGGCAGATGAGCTTCAGCGACTTCGACGTTTCCTCTCCGTCAGATGTGCGATCGGAGGCCTCGGTGGAGCTGCTGAAGAGGAGCGGCGTGGACTTGGGCAGGACCAGAAGATCCGGGGTCGACCCGGATGTACTCTCTGAGTTCGGCGTTTCGATTTGGCGGGGAGGCGCAAGCCCCGGTGGGTGACGTTCCAGGGGCTTTACGACGTGGCGTATCTGGTGAAGCTCCTCACCGGGGCCTGTTGCCGGCGACCGACGCTCCCCGGATTCGCCCAGCTGGTGGGGGCGACCCTCGACAGGGTCATCGTCGTCAAGTACCTCAACAGCTTCTGCGAAAGTTTTCACCTAGAGGTGGCATGGCTGTCGGAGTCACTCGGGGTGGAGATGGAGGGCGGCGCCGCACAAGCCGGCGTCGACAGCCTGCTCACGACCAAGGTTTTCGAGCTGGTGATGGAACGACTGCGCGGGCAAGAGTAAGACGTCCAGGGCATCCCACACGGGATCGAGGAGGAGAGGCTCGTTGCCCAGCCGACGGAGAAAACAAACGGGGTAGACGGCGGGTGGAGACGGCATATCAAGAGTAGCTCCTTCTGCTCTGTTTTCTCCGTCGGCTATGCAATGAGCCTCTCCTCCTCGATCTTGATCCCTTGTGGGATGCCCTGGACGTCTTAATGTTGCCCGCGCAGTCGTTCCATCACCCTCAAAAACGTTGGTCGTGAGCAGGCTGTCAACGCCGGCTTGATGCGCCGTGCCACCCTCCAAATTCACGCCGAGAGACTCAGAGCCGAGCCATCCCGAGGTGTAAACCTCCGCAGAATCTGGTCAGGTACTTGACGTCGATGACCCTGCTGAGGGTCGCTCTCACCAGCTAGGCGAACCCAGGTAGCGTCGGTCGCCGGGAACGGCGCCCCGTTGAGGAGCTTCACCAGGTACGCCACGTCGTAAAGCCCCTGTAACGTCACCCACCGGGGCTTGCGCCGCCCCATCCAACCGTAACGACCGCAGAGAGGACATCCGGGTCGATTCCGTCCTGCCCAAATCCACGCCGCTCCTCTTCAGCAGCTCCACGGAGGCCTCCTATCGCACATCTGATGGAGAGGAAACGTCGAAGTCGCGGAAGTTTATCTGCCAGGTCCGGCGCCGCCCGCTGTCGCCGAAGAAGGAAAACCCGAGTTCGATGAGCTTCAAACTGTTAATATTGCGCCTGACGTCTTGGTAGCGCTCGCGGGGGCACGCGAACAGTGCAGTCTGGTGGAGTAACCGGGGGAACTCCATGTCCACCGCCGCGTAACGAGCGGGGGCGAGCGCGTCTAGGATCCGGGGCAGCTTCGCCCCCATATGCCATCTCTCTCTCTCTCTCTCTCTCTCTCTCTCTCTCTCTCTGAGCTCTGCCGCTCCCGCGAGCCGAGTTGCTGTTGAGCCGGAGGTGGAGGCCCCGTCTCTTATAGTTTTTTGCCGGGCGATTGGGGTTTTGCGGCCTTCCACCTACTGCTCAGGCTAAGACAATTTGTCCCTTTGATATAAGTTTAATCTACGTTTTTTTATTTGCTTTGCATCTCTCTTCTCTCCGATTTTTCCCGCCGAAGAGGTCCAGTCAAAGGAATTAGAAGATTGTTTCAATTTTAAAGGGATACAAACCCTTTTCTAAATTCAAATTGTTACATAACAGGATTTAGGTACTCATCTACAGATAGGTATCTATTTAGGAAACTAATGCTCCAGAGTGATGTTCTATGAGGAAAAAAGGTCTACTATAGTGAAGTTCACTTCTAGGGTTAATGTTATAAGTTTGATTTTTCTCTAACATAATGTCAAACTATTTAATAAGTAGACTATAATATTTATGAGAGTATGTATGATAAGAGGTTAATATTTTTCTACATAATAATTATTGACGAGAAAGGTTAAACTCTAAGATTATATGAACTCTAAATGATGAGATACATATGTTTACATAGGTGAGAGAAGAGAGAGAGATAATGGGCCCAAGTGAGTCACAAAGAGTAAGATGTCTGAATACTTTCCCTCAAGCTAGAGCATAGAAATTAAACACATCCAAATTGATACATATAACATCATAAGACATTCTTGTAAAACTTGGTGAAGATGTCCACCATGTAGTTAGATGAAGTGACATGTGGTGTGGAGATAACTCTTGTTACAATCTTGTTTAGGATGTAGTGATAATTAATCTTGATGTATTTAATCTACTTGTAGAATGTGAGACTCTGGATAATAAATATTGTTGTTTGATTGTCATAGTGTATATATACATAAGTCTAAGGAGTCACACCAAACTCTCTAGAAGAAAATAAAGCAATACTGTATTATGCGACATCTCAACCATAATATGGTATTTGGCTTTTGCATTGAAACAAGACACCACTTTTTACTTCCAAAAGCATCAAGTGACTAAGTTGTCACTAACATATGTGCATTAGTTAATTGTTGACTTTCAATCTCCTTTGTCACCGGCATACCTAGCATCTAAGTAAGCTTCAACATATAGGTGCTATGATGTATGTAGATGAGCCCCTTCTATGGAGCCCATTTGATATAGGTTAAGATATAAAGTGCTCCCTCTTCATAGACCTGACGAGGCTCTTACATTAACTAATTGAAAATACTAAATGTATACAAAATGTTAGGATGAATAATAGTGAGATATATCAGTTTCCTCTATAATCGTTAATAATGATTATCATCTTCCATTACATGTGATGTAATATCCCAAAACTTCAAATGTGTCTCTATAGGTGATGACTCTAATTTATAGTCAAGAAGCCTCATTTTCTAAAGAAAGATTGAAGTCATATTTCTTTTAAGATAAAGTTAACTTATCTAATTGATAAGTAAACTCTATTTCAAAGAAGTAGTACGGTGTCCCCAAGTCTCTTGTGATAAAGTATTACTACAAGTAAGCTTTGGTGGTAGAGGTGCCTACCTCATCACTCTCTATCATAAGAATGTCATCAACATACACGGCTACTCAAGACGAAAAATCTTAGATGTGATAAAATATTGAATAACAATCTCAGTGATAAATTAAGTAACAATAGAGAGAATTTAAGACCGATCATAGAGGAGATAAACTCAACTTACATGAGTAAAATCATCAATGAAAATGATGTAATAGAGATGTCTAGTGATGAAGTCAACTCAAGAGAGTCCTCAAACATCATAATGAACAAAGATCAAATATAGTCAATGATGGAATAAACTAGAATAAGAGGAATGATTATTTTGCTCATCTAACATGACTCGCACACAAATTTATTAAGAAAAAACCATGATAAAATTTTTGAAGTTTAGAAAAATAAATTAACCTAAACAAGATATCACAAAAGAGAAGAAGTAATAGTGAAAGCAACAAAAAGTACTCGAATGTTGGAGAAAGTTATATGTGAGATGAGTTCTTAAACACTCTAACTATTCTCATGCCCCAATCTAATCTTCCATGTAGTATGCAGATCTTAGAGACATAATAGAAGCAAAAAAAATAAAATAGTATAAAGTAAGACACAAGTGACGACAATAATAGATAAAAGGTTTACAAGAAAACCAGAAATGTAAAGTACTTAGGTCAATGGTAGGATAGAGGTCACAGTGGTAGTGTTATGACCTTTGATCAAATAAATCTGACCATCAATAATAATCATCAGGAGGTGGGTCATGGTATGATGAAGTGAGAAAAGTATGGAGAATGTATCGATCATATTGGTGGAAGTCTCCATGTCAAAAATCTAAGGTGACAAGGAGACAAATAAGGCATGTGTACCTAATATGGAGGTTCCTAGCATAGATGCAAGGTTGACAAAGGAGGCGTATAAGAGAGAGTGATCGTGGACCACTTCTAAACTTCATATTTTGCCGACGTGAAAGTTATCTGAATAATAAGAGGAGATGTCGTAGAGTGAACCATAGATGAGGTAGATGTTAGAAAATCCAAATGAGTGTTAGAGATAATAGCCTGAGCCCACTCAAACTTGCCGAACTACTTTCATCATTTATTTGACAGGTGGCTTGATTTACTATAGTAAGGGCACAATGGAAAGGCATTGTAGCCTTGCTTTTAAGAGGACAACTACTGTTAAGCTTTAGGCTACAACCACCATCCTGATCACGAGGAGTAGATGTAGTTAGAGCTGACAAGGTTGATGTGGCAATTGACTGAGTGGTGCTCGATTGAGTAATAAGAGTGTCCATACTCACATAAAGTACTGTAGAAAAAATTGATGGAAGGTTTGACACACAATCACTCGAGAGAACATGATTCACGAATCGACAAGGCAATGTTTGGAAGTAAACCACTAAGATATATACTAATATAGAATTCTTGACAATATTATTGAAGAATTTGAAGGTTGGTGGTCAAAGGCCGATATAAAGACAACTCTTAAATGATCGCTTAAAGTCATCCAAAGTATGTTTGGAGTGAGAGATCACCTTACTCACAAGTGAAAAGAAACTCGAATAATTACATGATATGACTGATATTTATCTTGTTGACATACATGATCTTAACCATGAACTAAAGTTGCCTAGCAGGTGTGATACGAGCAAGAAACTCGATGACATTCTACTCAACTTTGAAGCATCTAGGTGACTACAATAGAGTTAATTTGAGACTAAGAAGCATAAGTCAAGTCAACAATAGCTGATGAATTATTCATCAGATGATGAAACAAACTGTGAGATGTAAGGAAATACTCAAAACTCGATGCACATGATACACAATTGAAACCAATGAAGATATATGCTAGCCAAGTCAATTGCGCCATGATGGAGTGTTGTAGGGGAAGGAGTGTCGACGGTAAAGACATTTCGACTAGAAGTGAGGCTATGAGTTGAGGTCTTTGAAGTAGAGAAAATGTACTATCTTGGTTCATAATGATGAAAGAAAACAACATGTCAATGTAAACATAAGAATGTGTAGCAAGGAGGACACATAGTAAGAGATGACACGTGGCAAAAAGACAATGTGGCTGGAAGCAGTGTAGTAGGAGACAATACCACGATATATCATAAGATATTACAATAGTAGATACTGTGAGAGTGGGAGGGGCTATGACAAAAAGGGTCCGGAAACAACAAGGGGGTCGTGATGGCAAGAGGACTATGGCAGCGAAACAAGTGCTAATGGGTGGCACAATTGATGACAACTTGCGATAAAAGATAGTGCAGAGAGAGATAGAGAAGAAAGCATGCAAAAGATGTGGCGGTAGTGACACAACGGTGGCGGTAGCAGCTGAAAAGAACCCTAGTGCTTTGATACCATGTTGATGAGAAGGGTTAAATCTAATAAAGAGATACATGTGTTTATATCGTTGAAAGAAGAGAGAGAGATAATAGGTCCAAGTGGGCAATGTAGAGGAAGATGTATGACTAGTACTAATTATGTTTGAAATCTAAACATTTAAATTTAAGTAAAAGTGTTAAATTCAACCAAATAAAACTTTAGAACATTAATATTCAAATATATAAAATGTTGAGACTAAAAGTTATTTTTCAAGCTTATCCCCCCTCTCGATGCTCCTATTTCTCTTACACTCTTCCTTTCTTCACTCGTCCCATTCTTCTAGTAGCTTTAAATTTCTCTTCCTTTATACCAAAACTTCTTCCTTACAAGACTTGTGCATTTTCTCCCTTTTTTTGGTGTCATCAAAAAGTTGGAAAGTGCTCCAAGCTATTCTAATATGAATACTCTAGCAATGTAGATTCAGGGCTCATAATGTATATTCCAATAGAGATTTCAGAATAGGAGATATCATGGCAATTTAGGTGGAATTTCATAATCTATTGGTCTAGGTAAATTTTTCTTTATGATTATCAAATTGGTAACATTGGAGGAGATATGGGACTACCATGCTTTGAGGGATGGAGGGCTCTAAATTCAAAATATATTCTTTAATGGGAGTAAAGTGATAAGTAGGAAATTCGTCAGCTTTTGTCAATCATTATTTGTAAATTCTTGAATTTGAATTCATGGTCTTCTCTTGCTCCATAAGTATAGGACAATTCATCATTTTGAATTCCTAAAGCTTTGGCAAGGATTTCAGTAGTAAGCGGGTATGTATTTCAATGAAGGTGCTACCTAAAATATATAGATTATAAAATAATTTAGTCAATAATTCTGGGTAACTTGAGGACTAATGGGATGCAACTTGATGCTTGCTCCATTTCATTATAGAAGCAATCTTCTAATTACAATGCTTGGACCTCGTGACCAAAAAAATAGAGAAAAGAGATGCAAAGGGAAGGAGAAAACATATAAATGAAACTATATCAGGGCAAGGAGTTGTCCTAGTCTGAGCATTAGAGCGGTGGGTCTCAAGGCAGACGGTGAGAGAGAGAAAAGGGGCCCTGCGGGTGGGCCGGAAGAGTAATGGGCTTATTTTGAATTCGCAGCGCAAGCCCAAAGAAAAGTTGCCCGCGCCAAATCGCCAACGGTCCGTCTGGTCAGCGGGGGCGACGGCTAAGTACGCAATCCAGGTAGGTCTCGGAGCTACTCAACCTAGAAGAGGAAACCACGGCCTCTTACCCGTTTCCGTTCCTTCCGTCTCGGAAGCGAAAAGGGTTGAGCCACCAGCCACCCCCTATAAGAGAGAGGCCCCTCCATCCCCGTCTGCATCATCGATCTTCCAGAGAAGGCAGGAAGAAGGCGGCATCTTGGCTCGGGGAGCGGCGGGGGTGAGAGAGAGAGAGAGAGAGAGAGAGAGAGAGAGAGAGAGAGATGGCGGCACGCGGAGGGGACAGCGCGCCGGTGATGGCGTCGGAGGAGGTGAGGGAGGTGTGGGGGTGGAATATGGGGGCGGAGCTACCTCGGATCCTGGACGCGCTTGACTCCGCTCCTTACGCGGCGGTGGACACGGAGTTCCCAGGGTTCCTCCACCAGACCCCGTGGTTCGCGACCCCCCGCGAGCGTTACCAAGACGTCAGGCGAAATGTGGACAGTTTGAAGCTCATCCAGCTCGGGTTCACCTTCTTCGGCGACGGCAGCCGGCGCCGGACCTGGCAGATAAGCTTCCGCGACTTCGACGTTTTCTCTCCGTCGGATGCGCGATCGGAGGCCTCGGTGGAGCTGCTGAAGAGGAGCGGCGTGGACTTCAGTATGACCAGAACAGAGGGGGTCGACTCGGAGGTTTTCTCCGAGTTACTGCGGCGATGCGATTGGTTAGGACGGCGCAAGCCCAGGTGGGTGACGTTCCAGGGGCTTTACGACGTGGCATACCTGGTGAAGCTCCTCACCGGGGCGCCGTTGCCGGCGACGCTCCCCAGGTTCGCCCAGCTTGTGGGGGCGATCCTCGGCAAGGTCATCGACGTCAAGTACCTCACCAGGTTCTGTGGAGGGTTCGACCTCGGGCTGGCTCGGCTCTCTGAGTCTCTCGGCGTGAAGGTGGAGGGCGGCGCGGCGCACCAAGCCGGATTCGACACCCTGCTCACTGCTAGGGTGTTCGAATGGCAAATGGAGCGACTACGAGGGCGAGAGGAAGACTTCGAGGGCATCCTCCACGGGATTGAGGAGGAGAGGATCATACCCCTGCCCAAGGAGGAAACAGGACGGGAGGAGCTCCTCATATGCCGTCACCATCCGCCGATTTTAATCGGAATGACCGCTCCACTTCCTGGATTCTATGTGGGTCGAATAAAAATTTTCTTTTAAGGCTGATTCAAAATTGTTCCCAAGATCTCTACTTTAAACCAAATACAGTAGATTGATGCAGACCCCGTTCTTTACTGTTTTTTTTTAAAAGGTCTACGGGGAGAGAAGGAGAAATCAGTTTTATTCTATTCACGTAAGATGACCCGGAAACCACCGCCGAGCCCTCTACGACCCATCTATACCTGCCAAAGAAAGAGATTTTTCTCATGAAAATATGATCTGGCGAGGCCAGAAAAGAATCGTAGGGAGACGGAAAGAGAGCTGGACGGCTCCTTGAAGCACGGCAAATAGATTAAGTTTCCGCACCTACGGAAACAGCGGGCTTCTCTGTATTATTTGACGGTCTCTTCACTAATCCAGCCGAGTCAATGAACGCAACCAAACCTGGTTTGCTCACGGAGCAACAGATGCACAGATATGGACTGAACAAATAACAGGCCGCTGCGACAGGTTGAAAGCTGACATAGGGTTGATACTCTTCCAGTTCTCGGAGACCTCAGTCTGACTCTAGGTCAGAGCCAGCCGACGTACCTCAGTCAATGTACCTGGGAGCAAAGATAAGGTCGACATGAAGATAAAACCGAAAGAGTTCACAGCATGGAATGAAAGGTAGTTCAAAGATTTTAGGCTTTTCCCACGACAGGACTTCACTCTACAGACTTTGGACTCTCTGAGTCCTGTAACGAGTGGCGTCTACGAGATTCCTAAGCCTCAGCACGGTGATAACGGTCAAGTTCGCCACCTGAAGTAGAGGTATCACAAATGGAAGAAAGGGTAGAAGGCTACCGCAGGAAAGATGAGTTCATCAACTTATGTATTGGGTTCATCAAAGGAACCGTAGAAGAAAAGCCTCAGTCAGATAAAACAGCTTGAAGTCATAGTGACATAGCTCATAAGTTCACGCTACATTGATCATTTAGATGACAATATATTCCGTAATTCTATTTATAATAGTAGATAACAACGATGACAGAAAAGAAAACTGTCGATTCCAATATTATTACGAAGAACCATAGAAAGAAGACGGGACTAACAAATGATTTCAGGGAAATACAGTGTATAATTAGTAACCGTCTTAATTATAAATACGAAAGAATACTTAAAAGACTGGGCGGTATAATTTCCGAAATTCATGGCGCAGCTATTTGTTGGTTACTGAGCTGTTTGCTGCACTGATAATTTTATCCCTCCTCCCAAGTGGCTTCAAGTGTCGAAAGGTCTTCAAACTAAATACGAACTTCAGGTTCATGATGCGAGAGATGTACCCTTAAGACGGCATGGAGCACGACTGACTAGTTGAGCTCCACACCTAGTACAATTAGAAGTAGTTCGCTGCGTTCTTTTCAACTGAGCACATTCTTTAGTTGGGGCACATGCTTAAGTGGTAGGCCATGGCACTAATGCATTCTATCACTGAGTAGGGGCTGAAGTAGGGCAGCGTGGACATCTCAATGGATTTGCGGACTAACAACAGCAACCTATAAGGACATAATCTGAGGTCAACTAAATCTCCCTCTTTGAATTGAGCTCCTGCCACTTGTTGTCGACTTGGGCCTTCATTCATGGCTGGGCCGTAACCAAATGCTGCTTCAATTTTGTGAGGACGTTATCTTGGCCTCACACTGCTTTTCTACCATTGTGACAGATGACTTCTCGTTGTTGAATCGGATCAAGGTAGGGGGATCGCAGTTGAAGATCATCTAGAAAGGAATGGAGTTGGTCAAAGCATGGAACGTCATGCTGTATTAATATTCTGCCGATGGCAATCACTTCATGTCCTAGGCATGTCCGATCCAAAATGACATAGTTCTCAAATAATAATTTTCTTCCTCTATTTGTCTATCGGTTTGAGGATACCCTTCAAAGTGCTCCAAGGTAACTTTCTACCCATGATACAAAAAACGAAAACTCTATTTAAGGTAATTTCTGCTTGAGGACGCACAGTTGCCTGTAAGCGCATCTGCATGAACGCGTTCATATTGTGTTGCATGCGTGAAGGATTGCCATAATTGGAAAACCAACTAACTGCACAGCACAACATCCCCGAGCAACAGAGCTTTGTACCTAGATGGTACTGCCGGGTTGGAACAACTTTCACAGAATATGTCTGTGAACCTCACTGGATGAAATGCACGGAACAACATTCGCAACAAACCAAGGCTTGCAGCCGGATGGCACTACCAGGGTGGAACAAGGTTCGTGGAATATATCTATGAAGCTCACGGATGAAGCGCCACACGATGGCACGACACCGCGCCGATGGTGACAGCATGTGGAGAGTGTAGTATGCGTACGTGCACAGCACGTGAAGATAATTCCGTCAGTATACAATGAGATTCACGAAGGCATTTCACGAACCTTAAAATCTACTAGTATACGGTGGTATGGGGTGGCATGCCGATGACGCGGTGTAGGATGGCATGGTGTACACACACCAAGAGCATGGCAGGACACTGTGCAAGGTTAACAAGGTGAGCAGGTAGCCTCTCTGGCATGGCCCACTTTAGGATGTCAAGCGATAAACCAATCTCTTCAAAAGAAAGGCTTAACCATCAATCCAAATGTGGCTTGAGTAACGCTCACATATTCCTTGCTATATAAACGTCCCATCAAGGGCGAGGGGGGACGTTAGCCCATGAGGGGCAAAATATAAGAAGCACATGGGTAGTTGCTCCCTATAAATAGAAGGGTCTGACATCTATATAGGGTAGACGGAAAGGGGTTGTTTCCTCTTCTCACCTGTGTAAGCTCTTGTTTGATTTAGAAGTTTAAACTGTTTTGATGGTGACAACATGCGTGGAAGGAAAAGATGAGATGGAGCTTCTCACATCGCCCATCTTCTTCCACAGAGTTCGAGCAACATTTCTCTATTCTTGGGCATCTGCAAGAAAGTAAGATTAGCTGATGCTCAAGATTTTAAGTAATATTCAAGGTCATACCCTTGCCAACATTTGAGAGAAGTTTGTAAAGGAGTTAAATGACTAATCCTCCCCAAGGAACAACACATATATGATAAGAGATTAAGTCCATTAGTTGTAGATCAAATAAAGCATAAGGAATACCAAATGAGTAAAGAACATTCCATCACGAAAGAATTAAAGAGTGCCTGGTTGAGATCCCAGTTAGAAGAGTGAAACCAAATCTGACTAATAATAACATTCGATCCTTGAGTATTAAAAAGCAATGACGACCAATTGGTGCCAAGGCCTTCAAGCTTTCCTCCACACCAGGTTCTCCAGCAGTAAAATCAGAAGATCAGAAGCCTCTGAAAGGCAAGGAACTGAACGCCGATAATATCGTTGAATTTATTGTAAATACTGTGTGTGCTTACTCTATAGCAATATAGGACCAATAATCTAGAAGAAAAAAGTGAGGAACTTTGGCTATCGGCCCTCTAGAGCCATGAATTTAGAATGAGATAATTGGCGACGGTTCTATCAATCATCTGCTATACGAAACACCAGGTTCCGCGTTGAACTATTGTGTTTTGAATGAGGAACTTAATTCCCTAAACATTGTGTTACAGTGACCTGCCCTTGGTTTTAACTTGGTTGTCGTATGGTAATACACAAGAGGACTTTTAGAGGAGTTTCCTAAGCCGTCGTTCAAAGGGTCACGCGAAAATCTTAACCTGTTTGTCGTGATTCAAGGAGCCCTACGTCATTGTACATAAAAGTCCCCCGAACGCAGGCAGAGAGCGAGGCGGGGTTAAGGGTTACCCAGATCATTCATACTCGTCCATTTTACGACCAGGGAAAACATTGGAAACGTCAGTTCGAAGGTTATTTTCTGTCTTCCGCACAGGCCATCTGGTGTTCGTCAATTTCTAGCTAAGATTGCGCTCCCAATGGCATCGTCGGCAGGAAACCTCTGTTTACGCTATTTCGCCAAAGGAGACACCTTGCCTCCGCCACCTACGACAGGCTGGGGAAGTCACGAGCTATTGCCTCCTGTTTCAACAGCCGTTCTCGATTTATCTAGATCGAGTGTTACCGCTAGAGATGCGGATATGGGCAAGCGAGAACCAGAGGAAGGGAAAGTTCCATGGTTATCACCTCTTCGCTCCGGGAAAGCCTGGGCCTGGGCGGAACCACTGAGCAGCCGAGCTCAACCGCGGTCGACCGTCTATTTAAATCAATGGCATTCTTCCTCTTCTCCTCACCAGAGAAAATCTGCTATCTTTTGTTCGTCTCCACCTCGATTGAGTTATCAGGGAAGAGTGGGTCGTCAGAAGGAGCCCTCTCCCTACCGACAACAGGGAGTTTGGGGAGCCCGTGGAGAATGTCGTCTCCTCTAGCAAAGTTCCTGCTGTTCTCCCTGCTGCAGACGATGGCCTACGCCGCCCCAAAGGCAAGCACTCATCATCATATGTCACACATAGTTTCCTTCAGGCGGCATTCTCTCTCTCTCTCTAACTTTTACACTCACAACCGCACATACTTAAGTCCGTATTCGGCCAACATTTATTCAACGGGTGGGTCTGCAGAAATCCTACATTGTGTACCTGGGAAAGCATCCACACGGCTTAGACGGTTCTTCGGAAGATTTCGACAGGGCCGCTGCGAACCATTATGCCCTCCTTGCATCGTTCCTGGGCAGGTGACGATCTTCCCGATTGAATCCTGGCTAAGATTTAGAGAATTGGGAATCTCACCGCCACCGCCAGCTGAATTCAGGTCTCGAGAGTGGTGGAATTTAGTCTCCTGACCTTCTTCTTCGTTCTTCACACAGCGCGGAGGAGGCCCACGCTGCGATCACTTACTCCTACACGAAGAGCATCAACGGATTTGTCGCAAATCTTGACGAATACGAAGCAAAGAAGCTCGCGAGTGCGTCCCTCGTCGCTTATATTGTAGTTACATAGAGACGCCTATCCCATATTCGTCGATTACCATCTGTGACACGCCCCTTGTGTTTGTCCTGACAGAGTGGCCGGGGGTTGTGTCCGTCTTTCCGAATAAACGGAACAGGAAGCACACAACGAGGTCGTGGGAGTTCCTGGGGATAGAGAAGGACGGCCAAATCCCTGAGAGCTCCATCTGGAGTAGAGCGCGATTCGGCAGAGACGTTATCATCGCAAATCTCGATTCTGGTTCGTCTCCTCTCGGCTGAGGACGCTGACTCGCTGGATTCTCCCGAGCAGGAGCGGGACTATCGAATAACCCCTTCGAAATTCCGCGTAGGTGTCTGGCCGGAATCAGAGAGCTTCAATGATCGAGGACTAGGACCAGTTCCCTCGAGGTGGAAGGGATTCTGTCAGAAATCCTCCAACCCCAACCACACGGTCACCTGCAACAGGTAAAGATTTCTGGTCTCCCCCTCCCCGGCGGCGTGATCCCCTCCAGCATGCATGAACATAGACGAGCAGGAGGAGATCGCAGTTTTCGGCTGCGACGGAAGATGCGGCGCGAAGACTGACTGAACGACGGCTGTGCAGGAAGCTGATCGGAGCGAGGTACTTCAACACGAATGGTTATTCAGGCGACGAGTTTAGTAGCCCCCGCGACTTCGACGGCCACGGAACGCACACGCTCTCCACGGCCGGCGGCAGCTTCGTCCCCAACGTCAGCCTCTTCGGCGTCATGAACGGAACCGCCAAGGGCGGCGCCCCCGGGGCCAGGGTCGCGGCGTACAAGGTCGGCCACGGCGACATCTTCGAGGACTCGGACGTCATGGCGGGCTTCGACGCCGCCATATACGATGGCGTCGACGTGATCTCCCTTTCCCTTAGTGGGGACTCCGCCTGGATGGATCTCATCAGCGCCATCGGCATCGGCTCCTTCCACGCCGTCCAGAGCGGCATCCCCGTCGTCTGCTCAGCCGGGAACGATGGACCGGGAACGTACTCGGTTCTCAACACCGAGCCGTGGGTCCTCACGGTGGGCGAAGCGTCGTCTGGCCGGTTATTCTTCTCCGACGTCACTCTCGGCGACGGCCGCAACCTCGAGGTTCGCCCGCCCTCACCGACCGCCAACTGGCCTTTTTAACGCATGTTCGCTCACCATTACACGCTCCGCCCCCTACTGACACACCACTCTATCCGTCCACCTTTTCCTGGTCTCAGGGGTGGAGCCTCGCAGAAGGGCGCATGCCCAACGGGAAGTTTTTCCCGGTCGTCCATCCCAGAGAGGCGAAATCTCCGGGCGTAGACGATTACGACGCGTAAGTGGCCTCCGCCGCTCCTCTTCCCTCCACCGTGACCTCCAACACGAGCCTCTGAACCCCCGTGAATCCCCAGGGAGAGGTGCAACCCCCGTTCGCTCGACCCGTCGAAGGTGAAGGGGAAGATCGTCGTTTGCCTCGGTGGCAGTGACAGGTGGACCAAGTCCCAGCAGGTGTCCGAAGCCGGGGGAGCAGGGATGATCCTGGTAAACACCGCCGAATGGGGGGGTTACCTCTCATATGACTACTACACGATTCCCGCCCTCCACCTCAATTACACCAGCGGGCTTGCTGTTTATTCCTACCTCAACTCCACCAGGTACGCCTTCCGATCTTTCCCCCCCGGATGGATGTTTCAAACTCTTCAGCCCAGGATTTACTTCGGGACGTAATTTTCGATTATTCCACTTAATATATACTCAATCACTCGCGAGTGCGGACGAGAATACTTCCTCTCTCATAGCTGATCACGGTGCTAGATCTTTTTTTTAATCCTGCATCGGACCGGTAGTTGACATAAACTCTCAAAGGTCGCCCACTGCCCATATCGGAGCACCTACAGCTCGCATTGTGAAACCTGAACCGGAGGTGTGCGCGCAATCAGGAAGAGGACCCGGTTACCGTAATTCGCAGCTCCTCAAGGTTGTTCGCAAGTCTCCTCCATCAATCGTTTGATTTCCGATTGTGGACTGCCTCATTCGGCATGCCACTGAAGGCGTATTCTTTGTTCTTTCTCCCTTCCCTTTTCAGCCTGATGTTATCGCACCGGCAATCTCTATTCTCGCCGCTTATTCCCCAGCAAAAGTAATCGAATCAAGGATCCCTAACGAGTCGAGGCGTCTGCCCTACTTCATGTTATCCGGTACCTCAATGGCGTGTCCTCACGTCGCCGGCGTGGTCGCCCTGCTCAAAGCGATGTACCCCCATTGGAGCCCCGCGGCTCTCAAATCCGCCATAATGACCACCGGTGAGATTTTATTCTCTTCTCTACAGGCGGGCTCTCGTGTTTGAACGCCTGAGTGGGTGATTGGTTGAAACCGTGGGGAAAGGCTGAAAAATCCCGTCGCATGCCGACGCAATCTCAAGAGTTGCACCTTCGAAGCCTCAATTGCTGCTGGATCATTCAAACCCATCACACTATTTCCCATTTCATTTAGAAAGCTGAATCTAAAGTCGTTGCATATGTGCCTCCTTCTGCAGCCACAATTCAAGACAACACGGGAGGGCCCATCCTGGATGCTGTCACGAATGACGATGCCACACCGTTCGACACTGGCTCGGGCTTTCTGCAGCCCAATCCCGCCATGGATCCCGGCCTTGTGTACGACGTCACCACCGAAGACTACCTGCGCTTCTTGTGCGTCTCCGGCATCGAATCCTTCCAAGTGCAGATGTTCGCCGGCGGCAAATTCAGATGCCCTCCGGAGGCCGTGAAGATAGAGGACCTGAACCTCCCTTCCATCGGGGTCGCAGATCTTAAGATGCCCATCAATGTGACCCGCACCCTGAAGAACGTTGGGGCACCAGGCACCTACCATGCCCACATTCAGCCACCACAGGGTGTCACTATCTCCGTAGAGCCCGCTACTCTGGACTTCAAGACCACGGGAGAAGAGAAGACGTTCTGGGTCGTGCTGGCGCCGGAGGGAGGGAAGCCACCCTCGAAGCTCGTCCACGGCCAGCTGACGTGGTCCGATGGGAGTCACACCGTGAGGAGCCCTATTACGGTGGCCATTTCTCTTTCGCGTTGATTTCCAAAAACAGGGTTTATGTTGTGATAAGGAGTAGAGCTCTGAAAAAAAGTCAGAGCGTAAATGATCCAATAAATCTGAAAACAAACCTTCGATGTCAAATATATGCCTGTGGCTGTGCAGAAGATCATATCATACTGCAAGTATACCTAATGTCATAAGTGCAGTGGATTAGTGACTTCTATATTCCTTATAACACAAGGTATCTTCAAAGAAATCAAACACTCAAAATTACATGCACACACTGATAAAAGACTGATTCAAATCACTTTGAATAGAAGATAAATAAGTGATAAAGTGTTGTGGTTCGAAGTTGAAACTCTTATATCCACTGTCAAACAAAAGGAGATAGAAAAATAGAGACAATTGAAAGAAAGATGATTCCTTTGAAACTCCTATTACCAACTTGAAGACAAGATTCTTTGGCACCAACATAATATCAATGAGGAACATTAGAGAGGCATGACTCTTCCTCTTTTCTTCAAGCCCAATAACTCCACCTGAAGTAGTTGTCTTCCTTCTCTATGAAGTTTTAAAACCCCTTGATTTTGAAAATACATTTCTCACTCTTTCCCATAACTCTTACTTCCCCTAAGAGGGGGAGAAAAGGACATGTTACCTTTTCTAGGTATTTGGGCCCTTTAATATGTCTCATCATATGATTTTGGGTAGTAAAAAAGAACGTTCTCAATCTTTTGACTCATTAAAAAAATTAGCTACATAAAAGATTAAACAAAAAAATTATTTAATAGAAATAGATTCATGTAGACGCCACTCTTCAGCTGACACAAAATTAGTCAATTTCATGTAGTGATAAAATTTGGCTGCAAAGAAGGGGTTACTCATCATATTAGTAACATTGTCTTATGTAGAAACCTTCACAAGTTGAAGAACTCCTACAATAAATTCACATAATTTATGAAATCTAATGTTAATGTGTTTAGTCTCAGAACGTTACATTAGATCATTTGTAAGACATGACACTTTGACTATCACAATATAGGGCCATGATAAATTGATTGATGACAAGTTTTTTTTCACCAAACCCTTCATCTAGAAAGCTTCATTTACTACCTTGACTACAACAATATATTTAGTTATAACAATAGAGAGTGCAAAAATAGTTTGAAGTAATACTTTTCAACTGATGTCACCTCCACCAAAAGAGAAAATATATCATATAGTAGATCTCCTTGTAGGTCACATACATAGTCTAAGTTAAGATATCTAATAAGAATATTATATTTGCTCTACTTAAATAATAAATCAAAATTTGATGTGCTTCAAGTATGATGAAAAACTCATTCTACAACATTTCAATACTCATTTCATAGATTTTTCATATATCTACTAATGGCACTAATGACTTGTGATAAATCAAGTATAGTTCAAACCATTACATACATCAAACATTCAATTGCATTTGCATATGGTATATTCAACATTTTTTCAAGTTCTCTCTTGGATTTGGGACATTGTTGCAAAAATAATTTAAAGTGTTAAGCTAAATAAGTACTTATTGATTTAGCTTTTAGCATGCTGAATTTTGTCAACATTTTTTCAATATAACCTTTTTGCATCAGCCATAAGTTTTTGCTAGATCAATTCATTCAAATTTCCATACTTAGGATCCTCTTAGCATTACCCAAGTCTTTCTTTAAAAATTCTAGATTATGTTGATTTTTCAATTTAGTAATTTCATCCATGGATTTGGATGTAATCATCATATCATCAACATATAACATAATTAGAATTCTGTAATATCATTGAGGAAGTGAAAATAAACATAATTTTCATACTTACTTCTTGTATAATTGATATGGAGCTTGCTTCAAATCATAAAGAGATTTCTTCAACTTACAAATCAATTTTCTCAACTAAACAAAACCTTCTAGTTGCAATATATAAATTTCTTCATCCAAGTTTCTATGTAGAAAAGCTATTTTCACATCAACTTGCGCTAATTCCAAATCAAATATAGTAACGATAGCAAACATAACACGAATTAAATAGTATTTTACCACTAGTGAATTTTTTTATTAAAATCTATACTTTTCCTCTAACTAAATTCCTTTTGCTACTAATTGAGTCATGTATTTGGATGATTTTGTCTATTGACAAAGTCTTTTTCTTCCTATACACCCACTTTTTTATTACTTAATTACTTTTTTACCTCTAAGAAATGTTAATAATTCCTAAGTATCATTTATGTGGAGAGAATTTATCTCTTCCTCCATAGAAATTCTCCATTCATTGATGTCCTAAATATGAATTATTTCTTGAAATATTGTAAGATGAGAAGAAACAACAAAAAATATATAGACAACTAAATCTTAAAATATTGCTACCATTTTTAGTTCTCTTCTTGCACGACATGTAACAATAGAGTAAGCATCATTTTGAGTTAGGTGCACTAAAGACTCATTAGGGGGTGGATAATTTTCTAGGTTTATGTGAATTCTTTCCATTTTATCATTCAACTACACCTTAACTAAGTTATTAATGCCATTCTTATAATGATACTTCATCTAATATGACATCTCTACTAAGTTTAGTTTTCTGAGTTATGAGATTCTATAACAAAAATCCTTTGACACCTCTTTATATCCAAATAATATGCAGTATTTTGACTTAAGATCCAACTCAATTCATTCACTATCTTGCAATAATACATAAGTAGGATAAACAAACATATGTATATTAGAATTATATATAGGTCTTCCAAACAAAAGTTCTTCAAATGTCTTAAGTCTAATTGTTGTAGAAGGCAACCAATTTACTAGATAGCAATTTGTGCTAAAAGTTGTGTTAAAAGTAAATATATTATGTCAAGTTGTTTGTGGAATAGTGAGATGACAAATGTTTGTCTTCTTTAGAATAGAAGTTTTCAAACTCTGTTGAGGTGCACTCACCATGATTATCAATGCATTAAAATTTAATTTTCTAATTAATTTATTTTTCAACTTTAGTTTTCCAAGGTCTAAAAGTATCAAACACTTCATATTTTTCACCGAAATAATAAATCTAAGCTTTTCTAGATAATTCATTGAGTTTCTTCTAATGATGTGACTAGATATGCATCCCAAATATCTAAATGCACATACTCAAGAATATATTTACTTCTTTTAGAAGAAGTAGAAAATCTTATCTTGAACTATTTGCCAAGAACACATGATTTGTGGAAGTTAATTTTGCAAAACATGACACGTTTGAGTAACTTCTAATTGTATAGCTCTAACAGCTATCTCTCACTCATATGGTTAAGCCAAACACGCCATAACATTATGCAAGGTATGTTATGGCATGTTCTTTGGGACAATCACCGAACATGATTGTCTCAAGTAACCTTTAAAGAGTTATAATTTTCTCCTCTTTCATGACAACTAAAGTATATTTTTTAATTTTTAGAATGCTATGTCTGATAGTATAATTGTAGCCATTCGCATCTAAGGTACCTAAGGAGATTAATCTCTTCTTTAAATTAGGTACATATTTCACATTTGTCAAAAATTTAATTACTCCATCAAATGTCTTAATTTTTATAATTATTATGCCAACAATTCTACATTCTGAATTACTTATCATCATAACATTACCTCTATCATGAGATTTCTGTGTGTCAAATTGGTCCCAAAATAGACACATGTGGAAGAAACAACTTGTATCAAGAATCCATGTTCCAGAGTAATTTAAGCTCTAGGAGATTGAAAGAGCATCTTTTTGAGCTTTTGAGTTAGAAGCAACACTAGCCTCTACAATTAGTTTTTTATCTTTTTTTTTCTCTTTGAGCTTGAGGTAGTATGATTTATAATAACCTTCCTTTTTGCAATAATGAAAAACATCATTTCCTTTTGACATTGATTGTAAATGATTTTTCATACAATCTCTAAATTTTGAATGTTCTTTATCACGATCAGCACTTTTAACAAACAGACTTTTAGCACTTGTGAGAGATTTTAATCTAGCATCATTTAATAATAATGTTGATTTAATCTCTTCCATTTTTAAGAAGTCTTTACCATCTAAAACGATTGTCACCAAATGATTAAAGGATAAAGGTAAAGATGTAAGAAGAAGTATGACTTGGTCTCCTTCTTCAATTTTAACTTCTACACTACAAAGTTGGTGCATCAACTTATTTAGAACATCGATATGTTCTAATAAACTTTCCCCTTCATTTATATGTAAGTTATAAAATTATTTCTTAACAAATACCCTATTTATAAGTGTCTTAGACATGTACAACATTTTTAATTTCTTCCACATATCAAATGTAATTTCAACATCAAATATGTTAAATAATATTGACTGCTTTCAAATCTAATTGAGATCAATCCTAATGACTTAATTTTTTAAGTATTTCTCTTCCGTAAAGATCTTTATATAATTCATGTTGTACAAGGAGTGCCTTCACTCTCCTTTCCCATAAATTGAAATCTATTTTTCCATCAAAGCTTACAACCTCAAATTTTATCATTGACATGTTTGAAAAATAGATTTAATAAGGAGTACAAATTCAACTTTGATAATATCATGGCCAGGAGAAAAGCTATGAAACTAAGTCAAAACTTAAATGATCTAAGAAGTTTTAAAACAAACATAGGATGCCAAATATATGTTTGTGGTCATGCAAAAGATCGTATCATATTGAAAATATATAAATGTCATAAGTATAGTAGACTAATTTCTTATATATTCCTTATAATACAAGGTATCTTTAAAAAAAATAAGCACTCAATATTGTAAGCACACATTGATAAAAGATAAAATTAAATCACTTTGAATAGAAGATAAATAGGTGATAAAAGCACATGGTTTAGAGTTGAAACTCATACATTCACCATCAAATAAAAGGGGATAGAAAAATAGATACAATTGAAAGAGAAATGATTCTCTTGAACCTCTGACTAGCTTGAAGACATTCCTTTGACACCAACAAAACACCAATGAGGAAGAGTAGAAAGGTATGACTCTTCCTCTATTCTTCAAGCCCTAGAACT